GTTTGAAAATGAGGATAATTCAGTTTTTATGCGATTTAGTCGTATGAATGTAACAATTTTTAACCAAATAATACTGAAAATTAATATGACCATACTAATTTTCGGTATAATTTGGTTTAAAAACTGATACATTCATACGACTAAATCGCATAAAAACTGAATTATCCTCATTTTCAAACATATCATATTAATTTTTGAAACGAAAAGTCTTTCAGTGTAGTTGTTCTGAAACAATAATACATGTTTAAACCTCACATTTATTTACAAATTAGAAAAAAAAATTTAGTGCTCTAAACTATAAATTCTATTCTATTTTTTATATAAAAAAAATATTTTTTTCAAATAATGTCTATTATTAAATAAATATTTACTTGAACCAATAATTTCTCTATTTAAAACAAATACAATTTAATTAACTCAAAAATTATTTGGTTCAAGTAACCGATTATTTGAATCAAATAATTTTTTTTTAATAATTCTATATTTTTATGATCGTTCTTTTTCTGGATATTAGATAATTTGATTGTATAAGTATTATTGCACCTGTCATTAAATTTTTTTTTTTTTTATTCCTGCATATAACGTAGTGAAGCAGAAATTCGCGAATTCTATAATATAATCCACTAGTCCGTAATAACGAGTTGGTAACTGGTTAACGAATAGCTAGAAGAAATTAAACAGCTCGAAAATAATTGAGTTTCGAAAACACTCGAGTTATTCTCCAACAATCTGCACCTCATTCTCATCGAATTAAAAGTACTTTCTTCTCTTATATTGAAAATCAAGTTAAAATAATTAGCAACGTACAGCACTCTCCAACTTTCTAAAAATCCTGACATTAATTTTTTACATCTTTTTTTTCGTTCTTATTAATTGTTCGTTTCTATATGTGGCTCTCGAATAAAAGTTCATGTAACTTTACTTATTCTCAGAAGAAATTCGATTTTATTAAATATAATAATTAATGACGAAGAGAAATTTAACAAATTTTTTATTATTATTTTTAAATTATTATTATTATTTCTAGCTTTCGGACCCGTCTAATAATAATAACAATAATAATAATAATATTGCTCTCTAAATCTGAATTAGTAAAAATGTTTACTAATTTGAATAAGTGACTCACTTTTTGCTTTAGAATTAGTTAAATTTTACTAATTGTTAGTAAAAGTTACTAATAATAATAATTAGTAGTAAAATTTAACTAATTCAGAAGCAAAAAGTGAGTCACTAATTCAAATTAGTAAACATTTTTACTAATTCAGATTTAGAGAGTGCTATTTACTATTAATAGTTATTATTTTTTAATTTCGAATATTAAATAAGTGAATTTAAAAAAAAAACTGCTTTCCATAATCCTGTTTATTATCAGTGTTATAGTGTCGTTTTCGGACTTGAAGCGAATTCTAATGAAGAACTAATGGGCCGTAAGATTAGGCGTTTAGGGACAAACATGATCTGCAATCTAAGCCCCCTAATCTTCTTGTGATTGAGTATAGTTAAAACTGGTATGTAGATTACGTACAATTTGCAATTGATCAGTCACCCACATGTACAACATATTGATAAGCTGAAAAAATATATATTTGATTCAAATAATTCGTTACTTTATTATTAAATAAATATTTCCTTGTGTACCAAATAATTTTTATTTGAGTCAACTAAATTTTATTTATTTCAAAAATTGAGAAATTATTATTGATTCGAATACAATTTATTTGATTCAAATAAAAATTGTTTGATACAAATAAATGTGTTTGATAAATAATCAAGAAACTAATTATTTCAATAAAATATATTTAATTCAAGTAAATTCTTATTAGTCTATTTTAATTTTAACCAAATTTCCAAACAGAAGCTAAATAACTGTAAAATAATTTTTGTAGAATATTAGTGGAAAAACCACCGTTGGAAGCTAAATGTTTTATTCGTTTTGATTAAAAATTTTGATATACAGAGGTAATTGATTTGAATTTATTGAGTTAGAAATATAGAATTTATAAAATTATTAATTTTCGGTTGATTAGTTTTGATTTATATACTTGCGTATTTTTTTTGGGAAGTGTGGAATCTATCTGCAAACGGAAGATACAAGGACACAGCCGGATGCAAGATAGAGCAATATGCGTGTGTAGATAGATATCCTGTGCAAACATGCTACCTAATTAATAGCTACGTAGACGAAGGAGATAACGTGATGAAATATCGATGTTGGCAACGGATTTATGCTGTTTTGGTTGATAATGTTTCCAAAATGATTTTGTATTCTAATAGGCGTGAAATGAATCCGATATAATTTATCTTAGGAAAATTATCGTTAAACTAATTTTGGAATCGAGCATACACCTTTGGCTTAAAATAATACCTTTGGAATAGGTTTAGGTTTTCTTAATATTGAAATGTTCTTCTTCCTGAACATGATCCGGCTTTATTTATTAAAATCGGAGTAAAACTAGAACTAATTTAAAATTATCAAGAAATTGATTTTATTTATTTAACGTCTCATACAGAATTAATTTTTAAAATCTTGACAATTTTTTTTCAACCCCAAAATTTATATCTCCAATCATTTTTAATCATGTCACTGGTCTTTTCGGCAATCATAATTATTGGTGCATTAGTATTACCACGAACAATTTTGGGCATTATCGAAGCATCAACAACTCGAAGTTTCTTTATTCCATAAACTCGTAATTGTGGATCAACAACAGCTTCCGCATCGGATTTTGGACCCATTTTACAAGTACCTACAGGATGACCAGCAGATGCTGTATAATATTTCATCATACAGAACCAATAATCATCAGTGTTGAATTGAAATTGTTTGCAAAGTGGCCAAGGTCTTTCATCGAGTGTCATTTCATTTTCACGAAAGACTTTTGTATTAAATAGCGGTAGGGACATTCTTATTCCTTCCAATAGACGTTCTCGATCAGGACTTTTGGTGAAAAATCCATAACGAATTACTGGTGCACCCCAAATTGGATCTGTTGTATTTAGTGTTATGGATCCTCTGCTATTGGGATTTAATACAGCAGGAATTGCTGTTATTAGATCATAGGAATTTGGAATGGCAATATCTCCATCACTTTCGAAACCTACAAAGTGATATTCAAAATCAGGAACTCCGATTTCTGTTTCTAAACTTGTTTTAATAAAGGTAACACTTTGTAAGGGTCCATTTGATGACAGTGGACCTGTTTGATTCTTTAAATATAATTTTAGATCCTCAATTCGTTTCTTTAGACTCTTTTTTGTTGATGTTTTATTGAGTTTGATAGTGAGTCCTCCAAGTGAGACATGTTCCTGTAGATTTTGACCTACTTGTAAATCTTTAATGATTTTAATGTTGTGCTTCTTTAATTCTTTTGAGGGTCCAATTCCGGATAGCATGAGTAGTTTTGGTGATTCGATTGCACCTCCTGATACGATCACTTCTTTTCGTGCCATTACTTTCTTCATTTTTCCCTCCTTATTTCTGTATTCAACACCAATTGCTTCTTTTGTTTTAGGATTTATTATAATTTTCGTAACTAACACCTCAGTTTTTATAAATAAATTTTGTCTTTTATCTCTTATTGGTCGGATGAAAGCATCATTGGTACTTTGACGCCTTCCATTAAGTGTTGTTGTTTGTAGAAGCATTGTTCCGATTTGTTTATCAGCATTTATGTCTATATATTCGTATCCTATTTCGTGCCATGCTTCTGATAATAATTTAGCATTTGGATCGTTGTACGGAAAATTTCCGACTGATAGATATCCACCTTTTTTATGATAGTGAGGATTTGCTTTAACAATCTGAAAATTAATTACTACCTCATGTATTTTTTTTGTTTTATTTTTTGCATCCATAATTGTTTAATTATTATATGTGAAAAGATAGTAAAAAGAAAATTGCATAGTTTAAATAATTAATTATATCAAAATTAATTTTCTGTACAAGATTGTTACTCACATTATTATCTTGATTATTTTCTGATTTTTTAAAGTAGGGTAACACTTCATTAAAGCTCCAACCTTTGTTACCTAATTTTGCCCAACCATCGTAGTCTGAAGGTGATCCTCTTACATATAACATTCCATTGGTAGAACTAGTTCCACCCATTACCTTTGAAAATGAAAATAATTATTTTCTTTCAAACAAAAATTAAATTTTTATTTACATACTTTACCACGTGGCATACGACAGCCTTTATCAGCTTGACAGGAATTTTCTTCTGCTTCTGTTTTATAATTCCAATCAACTTTACTGCCATGTAATATAGAAGGTGTTGATGGAAGTTCATTAATTTTTAGTTCTTCACCACCGGCTTCCAAAAGGAGGACCTGCGTAATTAAAAAAATTGTCATTAATTTTTTTAATTTAAAAAAAAAAGTTTTCTTTATAAAACAGCTTTTGTTAAAAAAAAATGTATTTACATTCCAATTTTTAATTTCCGTTAAGCGATTAGCAATAACACAACCCGCGGAACCAGCTCCCACAATTATAAAATCAAAATCTTTTGGTGTTTTACGTGGTGTTTTCTTATCTCTAGAATGTCCAAAAATAATGGCGAGAATCGACACAAACATAATTGTTTGTGATGGACAAGTTGTACATTTTTCACCCAAATCACAGGCATCTTTAAAAACTGGTCCTGGTTCCCAACCCATAATTGTGTAATTTAAAGTAATTTTTAACTGAAATAATTATAAAAAATCAGTCCTAATTTATTATAAAATATTCAAAATTAAAATAATCGAAACACGTATTTAAATTTATAATTTTATAAAAATAATGTTACTCACATTGTTCCTTAATGTTTTAAGTACTCTTTTGCAATATATATTTTTTTTTATACAAAGTGACTGTATTTATCAAGTTTAAATTGTACGTAATACTGAATTGATAAACAGTAAAATGGTAAACGAGTTTCTTATGAGGAAACACTTGTTAATATTAGTTATTGTTAAATAGTAATTATTTTTTAGCCAACGGTTTATTTATTTATTTTAACAAAATATTTGATTTTTTGATACAATTAAAAATTATTTGACAGAATGAATTTATTTAATGGATTCAAATAAACTAAAGTATTTTTAAGACGAATTTTTTAATATTTTATTTTAAAAACCTTATTTAAAAAAATTGCTCTCGTTATTATAAAATATTGGTGTTACTTGAAAACTTTTAATTTCCAATAATTTTTAATCATGTCGCTAGCTTTTTCGGCAATCATAATTATTGGTGCATTAGTATTACCACGAACAATTTTGGGCATTATCGAAGCATCAACAACTCGAAGTTTCTTTATTCCATAAACTCGTAATTGTGGATCAACAACAGCTTCCGCATCGGATTTTGGACCCATTTTACAAGTACCTACAGGATGACCAGCAGATGCTGTATAATATTTCATCATACAGAACCAATAATCATCAGTGTTGAATTGAAATTGTTTGCAAAGTGGCCAAGGTCTTTCGTCGAGTGTCATTTCATTTTCACGAAAGACTTTTGTATTAAATAGCGGTAGGAACATTCTTATTCCTTCCAATAGACGTTCTCGATCTGGATTTTTGGTGAAAAATCCATAATGTATTACAGGTGGACTCCAAATTGGATCTGTTGTATTTAATGTTATGGATCCTCTACTATTGGGATTTAATACAGCAGGCATTGTTGATATTAGATCATAGGAATTTGGAATGGCAATATTTCCATCACTTTCATAACCAATAAAGTGATATTCAAAATCAGGAACTCCGATTTCTGTTTCTAAACTTGTTTTAATAAAGGTAACACTTTGTAAGGGCCCATTTGATGACAGTGGACCTGTTTGATTCTTTAAATATTGTTTTAGATCCCCAATTCGTTTCTTTAGACTCTTTTTTGTTGATGTTTTATTGAGTTTGATGCGAAGGCCTTGAAATGTCACGTGATCTTGTAGATTTTGACCAACTGCTAAATCTTTAATGATTTCAATGTTGTGCTTCTTTAATTCCTTAGAGGGTCCAATTCCTGATAGCATTAGCAATTTTGGAGAATCGACTGTACCTGTTGATATAATCACTTCTTTTCGTGCCATTATTTTCTTCGTTTTTCCCTCCTTATTTCTGTATTCAACACCAATTGCTTCTTTTGTTTCAGGATTTATTATAATTTTCGTAACTAACGCCTCAGTTTTGATATAAAGATTTTGTCTTTTTTTTCTTATTGGTCGGATGAAAGCATCATTGGTACTTTGACGCCTTCCATTAAGTGTTGTTGTTTGTAGAAGCATTGTTCCGATTTGTTTATCAGCATTTATGTCTATATATTCGTATCCTATTTCGTGCCATGCTTCTGATAATAATTTAGCATTTGGATCGTTGTACGGAAAATTTCCGACTGATAGATATCCACCTTTTTTATGATAATGAGGATTTGCTTTTACAATCTGCAAATTAATTACTTCCTCATGTATTTTTTTTGTTTTATTTTTTGCATCCTTAATTGTTTAATTATTCTATGTGAAAAGATAGTGAAAATTGCTTAGTTTATGTAAAATTAATCGGTGTTTGTTACTCACATTATTGTCTTGATTATTTTCTGATTTTTTAAAGTAGGGCAATACTTCATTAAAACTCCAACCATTGTTACCTAATTTCGCCCAACCATCGTAGTCTGAAGGTGATCCTCTTACATATAACATTCCATTAATAGAACTAGTACCACCCATTACCTTTGAAAACGAAAATAGTACTCTCTAACTCTGAATCAGTAGAAATATTACTAATTTAATCAGTACTTTTCATTTTAACGGAAGTTTCAGTTTTTTTTTTGAAATTTACTAATATATAAGTAAATTTCTACTAATTGTCAGTTGCTCAATTCTAGCTGTGGCATAATTAGTAGATTTCTACTGCTAATCAGTAAAATATGACTGATTCAGATTTAGAGAGAATTTTTTTTAAATCAAAATTAAGTTTCTATTTACATACTTTACCACGTGGTATACGACAGCCATTATCAGCTTGACAGGAATATTCTTCTGATTCTGTTTTATAATTCCAATCAACTTTACTGCCATGTAATATAGAAGGTGCTAATGGAAGATCATTAATTTTTAGTTCTTCACCACCGGCTTCCAAAAGGAGGACCTGCATAATTAAAAAATTGTCATTAATTTTTTTTAATTTAAAAAAAAAATGTTTTCTTTATAAAACAGTTTTTGTTAAAAAAATGTATTTACATTCCAATTTTTAATTTCCGTTAAGCGATTAGCAATAACACAACCCGCGGATCCAGCTCCTACAATAATAAAATCTAATTCTTTTGGTATTTTACGAGACATTTTTTTATCTCTAGAATGACCAAAAATAATGGCGAGAATTGAAACAAACATAATTGTTTGTGATGGACAAGTTATACATTTTTCACCCAAATCACATGCATCTTTATAAAATGGTCCTGGTTCCCAACCCATGATTTTGTGATTCAATTTAAAGATAATTATTTTTATCTGAAATATAACAGTGATAATTCATCATTTATTTTAAATTTATGATTTTATATACATAATATTACTCACATTGTTCTTTAATGCTTTAAGTATTCTTTTGCAATATGTAATTCATTATTTTTCTATACAAATTAACTATATTTTTCAAGTTTAATTTGTACGTAATACTAAATTGATAAGCAGTAAAATAGTAAACGAGTTTCTATTAAAGAACACTTGTCAATGATAGTTATCGTTATAAGCAGTAATTATTTTTTAGCCATCGGTTCATTTATGTTAACAAAATATTTGATTTTTTGATACAAATAAAAATTATTTGACAGAATTAATTTATTTAATGGGTTTTAATAAACTAAAGTATTTTGAATACGACTAATGTATTATTTAATACTAACAATTTATTTTATTAAAACTTTATTTTAAAAAATTGTTCTCATTGTTACACAAATATTGGTGTTACTCGAAAATTTTTAATCTCCAATAATTTTTAATCATGTCGCTTGCTTTTTCGGCAATCATAATTGTTGGTGCATTGGTGTTACCGCGAATAATAATTGGCATTATCGATGCATCAACAACTCGAAGTTTCTTTATTCCATGAACTCGTAATTGTGGATCAACAACAGCTTCCGAATCAGATTTTGGACCCATTTTACAAGTACCCACTGGATGATCATCAGTTGCTGTATAATATTTCATCATACAAAACCAATAATCATCACTATTAAATTTCCATTCTTTACAAAATGGCCAAGGTGTTTCGTCAAGTGTCATTTCATTATCTCGAAAAACTTTTGTCTTAAATAACGAGATGAACATTCTTGTTCCTTCCAATAGACGTTCTCGATCTGGATTTTTGGTGAAAAATCCATGACGTATTATTGGTGCACCAAAAATTGGATTTGTGGCATTTAATGTTATGGTTCCTCTACTATTGGGTTTTAAAACTATAGTAAAGACGTTTATCAAATCATAGGAATTTGGAATTGTATCGCCTTTACCTTCACTTGGTGTATAATTGTATTCAATGTCTGGAACTGCTTCTTCTGTTTCAAAATGTGTTTTAACGAATGCAACACTTTCCAAAGGTCCAATTGTTGATAGTGGACCATTTTGATATTTTAAATATTGATGTAGATCCTCAATTCTTTTCTTTAAACTCTTTTTTGTTGATGTCTTGTTTAGTTTGATGCGAAGGCCTTGAAATGTCACGTGATCGTGTAGATTGTGACCTACTGGTAAATCTTTAATGATTTCAATGTTGTGCTTCTTTAATTCTTTAGAGGGTCCAATTCCTGATAGCATTAACAATTTTGGTGAATCGACTGTACCTGTTGATATAATCACTTCTTTTCGTGCCATTACTTTCTTCATTTTTCCCTCCTTATTTCTGTATTCAACACCAATTGCTTCTTTTGTTTCAGGATTTATTAAAATTTTTGTAACTAACACTTCAGTTTTGATAAATAAATTTTGTCTTTTTTCTCTTATTGGTCGAATGAAAGCATTATTTGTACTTTGACGTTTTCCATTAAGAGTTGTTGTTTGAATGTTCATTACACCAATTTGTTTATCAGCATTCACGTCTATGTATTCGTATCCTAATTCTTGCCATGCTTCTGTTAATAGTTTTGCATTTGTATCGTTGTAGGGAAGTTTTTCCACTCCTAAATAGCCACCTTTTTTGTGATATTGAGGATTTGCATTCACAATCTGTAATTTCGAATTTAATTAATTTTAACAAAAGGGATAAATATATTTATTTATTTTGTACAATAAAAAAAAATTATTTAATTCAAATAATCGGTTTCTTGACTATTATGAAATAAATATTTTTAAATAATTATTATTTGTCAATTAAATAGTATTTTTATCAAATACAGAAATTATTGGTTCAAATATAGTTTATTTAATTCAAATAAAAAGTTATTTGATTTAAATAAATATTTTATAATAATCAAGTAATCGATTATTTGTGTAAAATAAATTTTTTCTTTAGTTTCTGAGGGGAATATTTCTTAAAAAATTTTTTTACGGTGTAATTTTAATTTTCTATTTAAAAATAACTTACATTATCATTTCGATTATTTTCGGACTTTTTGAAATAGTGCAAGATCTCTTTATAACTCCAACCTTCGTTACCTAATTTAGCCCAATCATCATAGTCTGAAGGTGTTCCCCTGACATATAACATACCATTGATGGAACTACAGCCACCCATTACCTTTTTGAAATAAAAAAAGAAAAAACAATTATTATTTTCATTAGAATTATTATTTATGATCAGATAAATCAAGTTTTAAAAAAATGAAATTAAAAACTGTTTATTAATAATTTTTTTTTACTTTGCCACGTGACATAGCACAGCCATTGTCAGCTCGACAAGAATTTTCCTCGGGTACAGTTTTATAATTCCAATCACTGCTACTGCCAAAAAATGTATAAAGTAACGCTGGTACATCATTCATTTTTAATTCTTCTTCACCTGCTTCCAAAAGTAGGACCTGTAAATAAAATTATTCTCTGAAGTTACAATTATTGCAAATGATTTTATTAATTAAATTTATTATTAAATTTATTAATCAAATAATTATTATAATAATTTATTTAATTTAATTTAATTAATCAAATTATTTTAAACAACAAAATTATTATTATTTAATCATTATTAGTAATTATTAATTAATTAATCAAATTATTTTAAACAACAAAATTATTATTAATTAATAATTATTAATTAATTAATTTAATTACTTTTTATTGAAAATCATTTTATTAATTAAATGTATTATTCTAGTAATTTTTATATAATAATTAATTAATAGAATAATAAAGTTCAAATTTAATTAAACAAATGATTTTAAAAAAAAAACTATTTTTTTATTAGTTAATTTTTAATTTTTCAGAAATGTGTGCAAATTTTATTACTTACTTTCCAATTTTTATTTTCCGTTAATCGATTAGCAATAACACATCCAGCTGAACCGGCCCCCACAACAATAAAATCTAATTCTTCTGGTATTTCACGAGTTGATTTTTTATCTCTATAATGTGCAAAAATAATTGTGACAATTGTTACAAACATCACAGTTTGTGATGGACATGTTGTACATTTTTCACCCAAATCACAAATATCTTGAAAATCTGGTCCTGGAATCCAAACCATGTTTCACGTCCCCAAAAATAAATTTTTTTTTTCTCGCTATTCTAAAATTTATAATTTTATTAAATTCAATTATATTTTTAATTTTGTAATTGTTTTAATAGTTATTATCTTACCAATTTTTTTGTTTATTCACTTTTTTAAAAAAAAAATTGAGTACTTAATAAATATTTTTGAAAGTGCCTAATTTTTTTTTTGGCAATGTAAAATAAAAATTAATCATTCTTTTGCGATAAACAACTGAAGGTATTTATATATCCAGAAATATAAAAATTATCTTTTTTTTACCACTTGTTTATATTCAAATATTTGCGTTTAATATTATAAAATTGAAAAAATATACCAGGAAAAAATTTTATTAACATTCAAAAAAATATTATCTTTATTGTATTTATTTCAAATTATATAACATTTTCTAGAAAAATATTTTTTTTCTCCAGAACCATTTTTTGAATTATTATTTTTTATATTATTGTTAAAAAAAATAATAATTTTCCTAAAAAAGTTATTTAATTAATTATTACTTACATTATTTTTATAAGAAAATATATAAATTAAATTTTTTATTTATTAACGGGGAATCCCTTCGATCTGCCATATCGACAATACTTTTAGTTTGCATTTCGGTCGATGAGGGCACTGTTTTCAATTCCCCACAGTCAGTAAAACAATTTCGAAGGTAATGAGTTTCCTACTTTATCAACAATTTTGTAAATGGTTGATAAAGTAGGATAAAGTAAAATTGATGCAAACTAAATAAATTTTCATTCACTGAAGCATTTTTAATATTAGAAAAATAGTTATTTAAATATAATTATATTTTTCTAATTCTAAAGAATTTTTATATTTATCACTGATTTGAATTAACCCGGGAAAAAAGTAGCCAATCAAAAAAGGCGCATGCGCAAAAAGTGGCACAGTGTGTTTTGTGTTTCCCGCTCAAAATTCTTTCTGTCTGTTCTTGCAGCGTCGGTTTATTTTTATTAATTAAATAGGACAATAATTAAAGTGTTTCTTAAAGTTTATTAATTTATAACATCATGGAAGGTTTTGATCAACCTGGAATATTTTTCTCTGACAATTTTTCTGTTGACGGCGAACAAAATCAAGAAGATAATGCAACTTTTCAAGCATCAAAAAAAAAGTTAAAGGAATTTATTCGTCAATTTCATGAAGGGAATTTTAATTATAAATATCGGTGAGTTTTTTATATATATATAATTAACTTTTATAGGCTTAATTAATAATTTTTAATTATCGTTTATGTATTAGAACGATTATGTATGTATATATTAGTGTTTTAATATTTTGAGGTTAGAATGGTTGGAATGAATGTTTTTTCTTTAGAAAAAACATGAAAATTAAGTAAAAGGAAAAAAAATTAATATATTTGTGATTATTGCAGTGATACTCTAAAACGAAATTATAATCTTGGCAAGTACTGGATTGAATTTAATTTAGAAGATTTAGCTGCTTACGATGAATCGCTTGCGGAGAAAATTTACAAACAACCAACGGAATATTTACCATTGTTTGAAGAGGCTGCGAAAGAAGTTGCTGATGAGCTTACAGCACCAAGATTAATTGGCGAAGAAAAAATTGAAGATATTCAAGTTCTTCTTACATCGGATGGTAATCCAGTTTCATTGAGAGGAATGAAGGTGAAAAATTAAAAAAAATTATTATTCATAAGAAAATTAAATTGCTTTTATTTTTAATACATATTATTTTTTTAACAATGCTTTTCAACTTTAATAACAGCAGTGAAAATGAGAAATTATTCGTTGTTGGAACAAAAAGTTTTGCTATTCATTATAATTTCTATAAGCTGATTTTAAATTTTAGGCACTTTTAAATATTTATGCTGATTTTAATTTGAAATTTGTAATTTTTATTTGTTTGGTTATAAATTTATAATTTATAAATATTATATATTAATTCTGATTTTAACTTGAAATTTGCACATTTATTTGTATATTATGATTTATAGAATTGAATATATTTTCAGCCCGATGCAGTATCGAAATTGGTGAAAATTCCCGGTATAATTGTTTCCGCTTCGGGTATTCGATCAAAAGCAACGAAAATAGCAATTCAATGTCGTTCTTGTCGAAGTGTACAAACAAATATTCCCATAAAACCCGGTCTAGAGGGTTATGTTTTGCCGAGACGTTGCACCACGTAAGTAAATTATTATTTTAAAAATTTATAATTTGTTTTAAAAATTTTTTTTTTTTAAATATTTACAGAGAACAAGCAGGTCGTCCCAAGTGTCCTTTGGATCCATTTTTTATAATGCCTGACAAATGTAATTGCGTTGATTTTCAAGTTTTAAAATTACAAGAGCCAACTGATCAAATACCACAGGGAGAAATGCCGCGACACATTCCACTCTATTGTGATCGTTATCTTTGCGATCGTGTTGTACCTGGAAATCGTGTTCTCATTTTGGGAATTTATTCAATTAAGAAAGTTTCAAAAAGCGGTGGCAAAACAAGAGGAAAAGATCGTGCACTCGTTGGAGTACGTGCACCTTATATTCGAGTTGTTGGCATTAGTGTCGATGGAGAGCACAGTGGAGTTGGTAAGATTATTTTTTTCAAATTTTTTTTATTTTTGGTACATAATTAATTTTGGAAAAATTTACAATAGGAACTCAAGAGCCAGTGACGCAGGATGAGGAAGATCTTTTTAGAAGACTAGCAGCTGATCCTGATATTTATGAAAAAATTGCAAGAAGCATCGCGCCTAGTATTCTCGGTTCAATGGATATTAAAAAGGCAATTGCGTGCCTACTTTTCGGAGGTTCGAGAAAAAGAATGCCTGATGGTCTTTGCCGAAGGGGTGATATAAATGTTCTACTGCTTGGTGATCCTGGAACTGCTAAATCACAGCTTTTGAAATTTGTCGAGACAGTCTCGCCAGTTGGTGTTTACACATCAGGAAAAGGAAGTTCCGCCGCCGGTCTCACTGCCTCTGTCACTAGAGATCCAGCTAGTGTATTTATTTTTCATAATTTTTTGTTATTTTCAAAATATGTTCAAAAATTTTTTCTAAATCTTGTTTTTACTTTTTTTTTTTTAGAGAAGTTTTGTGATGGAGGGCGGAGCAATGGTGTTAGCCGACGGCGGTGTTGTTTGTATTGACGAATTTGATAAAATGAAAGAAGACGATAGAGTAGCGATTCACGAGGCAATGGAACAACAAACAATATCCATTGCCAAGGCTGGAATTACAACTTCATTAAATACACGATGCTCAGTTCTTGCTGCTGCTAATTCAATTTTTGGTCGTTGGGACGATATCAGAGGAGAGGAGAATATTGATTTTATGCCTACAATTTTATCACGTTTCGATATGATATTTATTGTCAAAGATGAACACGAGCCACAAAGAGATATTCAAATTGCAAAACACGTTATGGAAATTCACGCGAACGCGGGTCAAATCACCGAGGATAATGTCGAAGGCGAATTACCATTACATATCTTGAGAAAATTCATTCACTACTGTCGAATGTAAGCAAATTTTTTTAAATTTAATAATATTTTTTTTTTGTTTGAAAAATGTTAATAATTATGTTTTGATTAAGGCGTTGTGGGCCAAGATTGGATAAAGACGCGGGCGATAAGCTGAAGAATCGATATGTGAGAATGCGTGCCGGTACACATGAACACGAATTGGACATGGAGAAACGATTATCAATTCCAATTACTGTTCGTCAATTGGAGGCTGTTATAAGAATTTCTGAATCGTTGGCAAAAATGTCTCTTAAACCATTTGCTACGGAAGTTCAGGTGAACGAAGCTCTTCGATTGTTTCAAGTTTCGACATTGGACGCTGCCACAAGTGGATCTTTGGCAGGTAAAAAAAAAATATATAACTGAGCCAAAAATTAGTTCCTATTTTTTGTAAAATACCTACTCGTTAGCAAAATGAGTTAATAAATTTTAATTTCCTTTTTTTTTTATTTAAAAAAATAGGTGCTGAAGGCTTCACTTCCGAGGAGGACCATGAAATGTTGGTTCACATCGAGAAGCAATTGAAAAGGCGATTTGCAATTGGTGCCCAGGTATCACAACAAAATATTGTCAACGATTTTACTAAACAAAAATTTCCTGAAAATGCCATTATCAAAGTAATACAAACGATGATTCGTCGTGGTGAACTTCAACATCGTATGCAACGTAAAATGTTGTTCAGGCTCTTTTAAAAAAAAAACCGGTAAGGAATGCTTTTATTGTACATTTTGTGTTCGTTGTAATTCCTGTCCTATTTTCATTGTTCTAATTCGTCCTTGAATGGATAGTACGGATGATTCTCGACTCTGCAAAAAAAAATCTATCATGAATATTTTTTAAAAATAATTCTTATCAAAAGTTAGATAGTTTTTAAACTACAGAATCAAGAACTCTTTCTAATAAAAACAAATTGATGTAATTTTAAAGAAATACTTACCCTTTAAAAAAGAGGAATGAAAAAATTCGTCCTTTGGCGCCACGATCGAGATTATCAAGTTGTTGAAGTTCCTCGTCGGTTAAATTAAAATCGAATATATCAATATTTGCTTTAATTCTCTCAGGATTTGAACTTTTTGGTATCACAATAAGACCCTCTTGAATCATTTGTCGTAGAAGAACTTGTGCTGTTGTTTTTTTATATTTATCGGCAATTGTTTTTACCACTGGATGTCCCAAAAGATCGGGGAATTTGTCTGCATTGTAATTGTATTTATTTTTAAAATGTTCCTTGGCACCGGGCGATCCAAGTGGACTGTAAGCTGTTATCGTGATATTGTGTAATTTACAAAATTCTCTCAACGCTCTCTGTTGATGATAAGCGTGTAATTCCACCTAAAAATTAACATAATTAGAATATTTTTTTTTATTTTAATTTTTTTCTGTTTCGTTTACCTGTAAATTACTCGGTTTAATTTTCGCATTGTTTATAATGTCCATAATTTGATTTTCGTTAAAATTACTTAGTCCTATTGATTTCGTTAGTCCTTTTTCAACCAATTTTTCCATTTCCTGTCCAAAAATATATATTTTTTTTTTTTAAATCCAATTTTTGTTTTGAATCGAATTTTGATTAGAATTTGAAATAGGTGAGAAAAAAAGAAATTACTGTTTACAGACCTTCCACACTGCTACTGGATTACTAGATGTATCTAACATAAAATCACCATTTTCTTTGACTGCTGGGGACAAATCTGTTTCATTTAGGACAAATGAAAATGGCATATGAATTAAATACATATCGAGATAATCAAGGCCGAGACTTTCTAAGGACATTTTAGCAAATCTTTCCACATCGGAGGGTCTATTTCCATAATTTGGCAACTGAAATTATGATCGACATGAATGTTTTCGATTATTTTCTTTTATTATTACTGATTTTTTTTATTGTGATTTATAATTATTATTATTTTTTTTTAATTGAATTGACGTATGGTATTTTTATACCTTAGAAGTAATGAAAATCTCTTCTCGTTTTCCACCTTCTTTAAGCCATTTTTTTAAACTTCGACCAATTGCATCTTCGTTTCTGTAGTTAAACGCCGTGTCAATGTGTCTGTAACCATTGCCTAAAGCAGCAAGTACCGAGGCCTCTATTTCCTCTGGTTTCGCCTATATTAGATTTTACAAAAAAACACTTCTTTTTTTTCAAACACAAGCAATGTATAACTCATAAAAAAAAGTATTTTTTTCTATAATATAGAAATTTTTTTAACATAATTCTTGATGTTATTTGATTAGAGGTGTTTTCCAAAGGTGTTATTTTTGTTAGAATTTTTCAATTTAGAGATTTTTGAAGAATATTTTCTAAAATTCTTATTTTTTTTGATAACTATTTGTTAATTATTATTATATTATTAATTTTCTCCAAAAAGGAAGTATTTAGAAAAATAGATTCGAAATTTTATAAAAAAAAATTCAAATTTTTAGAAAATATTCAGCCTTAAAGTTGCTTTAAATTGAATAAGTTTTTCTCGTCAGTTTTTTTTTTTTTTAATTTTTGAATGATCGATTTTTACCTGCCATGATCCTAACCCCACAGTGGGCATATTATATCCGGATGACAGTCGTAGGGATTGCATTACAAATCCTTTCTTTTGATCTGTTAATTGCCGGTAGACCCTCGCACTTGAAATTACACTAAATTCATGAGACGACTGTTTTATTTTTAGAGAAACTCTCTTACCTCTCTTTAATACTAGTAGCAAAATACAATGTTTATTTTTAAACTGCAATACAAAATCTGCTCACATCAACTATCGTAGTTGCACACAAATGCAACAAAAAAAATAAATAAATAAATAATTTCACTAAAAATTATGTAATTTTATGAAATGACAACTTTTTTAGAATTTTAAATAATTTAGAAACATCATTATTAGTCTAAGAAATTGCACATTGATTTTAAAATGACCGTAGGTGAATTCACGTACTGAGCAAGTAACACAGCCAAGGCTATAGACAACAAATCGATATAGAAAATGTGGCAGAATTATTTTTGCGAGTTCAAGTACAATTCGCAAATTTAAGAAGAATATAACGATATCTTTTTAAAGAAAATAGAAATCAATTTCAAGGGTAATTCTTAAAAAGAATAAATTAAAAAATATTTTTCCCTTATCTGTTAATGTTCTTGAAAAAAAAGATGACATTTTTCAAGAGGCTATAATAAATTTTGGAAAAATTAAACAAAATTTCAAACTTAAATTTGTGAATTAAAATTAAAATTTATTTTATAATTAAAATACTTTACATGTGATTGGGAGAAATAATAATTAATTTACGATTAAAAATCACGATGAACTTGTCTCTATTACCTGAACATGATGAAAAAACAAAAAACTGCCGGAGTACAGAAGCGACTCCATCTCCAAAAACTGAAATTTAATAAGAATTTTATTTTTCAAAACAAAATATTAATATTTAAAAAGTAAAATTCTAATCCTTTTTTTTCTTACACTTTTTATTATTTTTTTTCAAATAAAAAAATAGTTACCGGAGAATGTTCTCTTAACCTATAAGCGAAGAAAAATTCGCTTTTTGTCGAATTTATAAGTTAAAATACTATTTTTTATTGTTGAAAAAAATAGAATTTAAAATTGACGATTCGTAATAAAAATATAAATTCAATTTTCCTACCTTGGAATCATTTTGCAGTGATATTTTGTATCGTGTTTATATGAAACTAAATACTTTGATGCAATGAAACAAAGTTTACTATAAAGAAAAAAAAAAATCTCCCCTCATATATCTCTATACAGATGAATGAAAGTTGTTCTCTAGATTGCCTTGAATAAATATTAATGATGATGCAAATTAGCCACTGAATTTTAAATTCAAAATTGAATTTTATTAAAAAATATTTAATTTAAAATTTAATTTTGTTACAAAATATTTAATTCGAAATAAATATTTTGAAATTTTTTTTTTAATTTAATCAAATTAATTAAATTTTATTATAATTTTATTTTATAAAGAAATAAATTTTCAAGTCAAAGATTCTTTAAAAAAAAGTAAATAAATAAAGTTTGATTTTGTATAAAAATTTATTTATTATCACTCAGAAAGTAAAGCGACGTAAATAAATGGTTTATAAATAAAAAGAGAAAAATCTCAATGTTAGGAGAGAATGTGTAGCGTTTTTCGCGTAATTATTGCTAAAAACGAAAGCACACAATTTTTTTTTATTACAAAGAAGCATTAAAGTCAAAAAATTTGATTAAGGAAATATATATATATATGTATAATACACATTTTATAAATGTACAATTGAGACTGTTTTAGCCTCTGATAGTCGGTAAATGATCAAAGGTTTGCTGATGTAAAGATGAGCTTCGTGGACGGATTTCATTTTGATTGTGATTCAGCACAGCTTTAGGAAGTTGAGGGAGCACCATTTGATTGTAAGTTACATTCTACATAATGAAAATTGCAATTATTATCAAGAAAAATAAATATAAGTAATTTATATTAAACAATTAAATTTAATTATTAAAATTTTATAATAAAATTACAATTAATTACTTTCTAATAATGATAATAGAGAAGAAATTTTCGTCATTTTTATCTATGAAAAAAAAATGTACTCACTCTAGATCGCTCGCGATACTTTTTCAATTTTTCAAATTCATCCTGCTCATTTTGTGGCATTTGAAAGTGGAAATTTTCAAAATACATGTGTTGCAAAAGTTGATCGCAAGTCCATCTTTCTTCTGGATCCTTATTCAGGCACTTTTTTAGGAAATCAATCTGCTATCAAAAAAAGAATTTTCCTTATTGATAATTTTCAATAAAAATGTTGTTTTTATAATTTTCAAATTCGAGAAATTTGAATAATCGTTTAAGTTTTATTTTCTATTGAAAAAATACAAAATTTACAAATAATTTAATATATTTGGAAAAAAAATTGATTATGAAAATTATTAAATTAATATTTTTTTTTTGATATTAATTAGTATTTTTTTTTTTAATCGATTCGTGAAACCTGCCTGCACTGGAGTACTGGCTTTTTCTGGAAGAGTATTTTCCAGTGGAATTAATGACTGTGGAGTGGGTAGAGTAACACCGGCGAAAAATTCATTTTGCTGAAAAATAGCCATGTGCCTTGGCAAAAGATCACCAAGAGTTCTTCTAATTAGATACAATTGATCGACATCAGATTTTCCAGGCCAAAGAGCTTCTCCTCTTACTAATTCAGCGAAAACACAACCAATTGCCCAAACATCGACTGGTGTACCGTATTGCGTATCACCAACCTGAAAAAAAATCATTTCACAAAGGTATAATTAATTTTAAAATTAAATTAAAAAATTATTTTTTTATTCTATTATAAAAATTATTATTTATAAGTAGAATTATTTTTATGAGAATTACGTTAATTAATGTACAAAAACAAAAAAAAGCACGTACCAACAATTCTGGTGCTCGATACCATCTTGTTGCAACATATTCCGTATAATTTTCACCGGGACTTAACATTCGAGCAAAACCAAAATCACAGAGTTTAATAATACCATCGGATGTTAGGAGAATATTTTCTGGTTTCACATCTCTATGAACAATTCCAAGTCGATGACAATAGGCGACACCTTGTAAAATTTGCCACGTAAATTGTTTTGTCGTTATATCGGGACAGCCTTTTGGATATCTTTCCATTTCATGCAATAGTGTGTGTTCACAATATTCAAAAACTAAATGTAGTTTTCGTTTTCTCCTAAATACTTCCAATAGATTTATTAGATTTGGATGCTTAAGATTCTGCGAATAAGACAAAAATTTACAATTTTAATTAATTATTTTCTTAATTTACAAAATAATTTTACTTCTAAATTAATATTTCTGTTTCAGAATTTTACAAGCTTTCAGTTTCAGTAAACTTAAATGAGAGTTGGAAAAAAAAAATGATATCGATCAACTAAATTAAAATTTAAATGAAAAGTCATTAAGGTTATAATTTATACAGCGAAGAATTGCAAATTACTGGACATGAAAAATGAAAGGGGAGTTAGTAAATGGAGAAATTGTTGAATATAATATGAGAAGTATAATATATATATATACTTTTTTTCATTTTCTAATTCGCAAAAGGTCCATTTTGGTTAGTTTAATCTGCACGCGATCTTCAATGACGTTTGTATATATTTGTAGAATATATATATACATAAAGTCATCTTACAAAAACGAATTCTATAAGATGTGGAGGTATAAATAGCAATATAAGTGCATAGTCATTTCTAATCTCTAGTTACGATTTTATATATACAAACATTGACTATAGTTTATATGCAAAAAAATCCTTGGCGTTTATAAAGAAAATGTCAAAGGCTTCAGGTATGCATATTTCAAGGCAACAGGCCAAAATCTTTAATTTTCAATGGAAACTTTAATTTCCTCTTTATTATATTTATTTGTGACTCGTCTTTAAATAGATATTCATTACATTCTTTTTTTTTATTATCTTATAATATTTTTACTATCACAAATTTGATCAAATCAAACGATTGAATAATAATAAATAAATAATAAAAATAAATAAATATAAAATATAGATTAATATTTTTTTTAGTTCATTTGGTAACAATTAGAAAAATTGATTAGAGAATAAAAAGAAAAGTTTTATTTAATGCGGAAATTCTTTTTTTTTATTTTTGGATAATAAAATCAACTTTTAGATATAAATATGTAAATAAACCAACAACAACAACAAAAAGAAGCATAAAATTTAATGATTTTTTTCCAGTGTTGATTTGAGGAGGAATTATTAGAGGAGAACGAGTACTAGGCACGCGATATATTGACCGTACAACGTTATTGACCAGTGGCTAGTTCTCTTAGGTTTTTGTGTGTGAGGGTGAATTCTTCAAAAAAAATATCTCTAATGTATGCAAAAAAAAAGAGGTAAAAAAATTCCATTTTCAAATAGCACTGCAGAAAATTAATCGATTCTCCTGCTGATAAATTTTTATTGTTAAATTTTATTTTCTACTCTTTACTGAAAACGTTTGAGTATTTTTCCAATTCTTCACAGGGTCATTGAACCTTAAGAATATCTCATGACGGTTCGTTCTTTCAATACACAGGAAATATAAGAAAAATAGAAAGGAAAATTAAATTCATATTCATTTTTTTTTTCGAATTATATAAACATGAGCGAAAAAGTTGTTTAAATATAATTTTTATTATTCATAACTAATGTTATAAATATTTTAAATTTAAATTGCGATAAAAAATTGTTTGACAATTTTTGTAAAGTTTTTTTTTTTTAAAGAGGAGAATTTCTTATTTTGTTTTGTAATTTTTTTTGCAGAATATAATGTGAATGATGAGAATATACGAACCTTAAGAAGACGTATTTCTCTAAGGGCTATCTTCCTAATAAGTGGATCGTCTTCTGTCTGTTGGAATTTTTTGACAGCCACCAATTTGCCAGTTTGTCGGTCTCTGCATTGGAAGACAACCCCATAACTTCCTTCACCAAGACGTGCCAGTCTTTCATATCTTTCCATAGCCTTACTTGGGGCACGCGACCTAAAATTATGAAAATGAAAATCAATTTTTTGGATTTTCTACAGTATTTAATTTTCACCACACTTAAAAATGTAAGTAGAAAGAAAATTAATTTTTCTCTATTTTAAATTATTTTATTTTGTAATTTTACTTTCATTCGTTAACAGATAAGAATTTTAATTCAGCCCTTAACGGATATTATTTTTTTAATTTTATTTTCTCTTCAAAAATATTTTTTTTATTATTTAATTATTTTTTTATTACTTTATTATTTATTGCTTCCTCATAGAGAAAAGTATTTTTTTAATTTGCCTTTGAAAGAATACTTATTTTTTTTATTTTCATTTCTTATTTTTTTTTTTTTTTATTTTTGTTTTAACGTATTTTGGAACCTTTGTGGAAATTAGTTTTTGACTTAAACAAAAAATGGAAATGGAATTTTTTTTTTCTTTTATTTTTATTCACGCACTTTTTATATTTTGAAAGACATGGCAAGTTGAATTGTTGAGTAAAAAGCATTCTATTTCTTTGAAAGCTGAAGACCTGCGACTGCTTTCTATTCTCATCACTGACCAAGGGTCAAACTCCCTTACGGGGGTTTGTCTATTTTACAAGTAACGCAAGCGCAATATCATTTATTTTAATCGAGTTTTAAAGTCATTAAAAAAAAACATTAATCACTTCCGGTTTTACTAATTACAAATATTTTATCAATTTTAAGGGTGACTTAATTTTTTTCTTCACTTCATTATTCATAAATTTAAAAATTGGATACCAATCTCAAACGAAAATCAAAAAAATGTTTGAAAAATTCAACATTTATTAAATTAATATTAATAATAATAATAATAAATAAATAAATAATAATTTAATAATAATAATTCAATTAATGCTGGTTTTAATCTACATAAATGTGAAACAATAATAATTCTTATTTAATTATTTTTTTTTTAAAGTACTTTTGAAAAAATTTGTTTTTCAATAAAATTTATTGACAAATTATAATTCTTATTTAATTAATTTAATTGTATTTAATTTTTATGTAATTTGCTAATATAATTGCATATTCAATGAATGCTAATCGTTCGGTAAATATTTAATTTTTACATCTCACCATATTGGAATCCATTGTTTGTAATGGGCAAATCTTAAATCATTGACCATTTTTGAAATAATGTATAAAATTGTTTAAAAAATAATGTTCTCTTATAAAAAAAATTATACTACAAATTACTACAAAAATATAAAAAAAGTAAATTATTAAAAAAAGTTTAATAATCACGTTTTTTTTTTGCTACAACGTAATAATAAATAATAATAATAATAAAAAGTTTATCAAATAAAAAACTAACCTTTTTATGAAAATTTGATTATGACAACTTCATTTTGTTTATTTTGGAATAATTTTGTGTTTATAAAGAACAATATCTTGATAGATTGAAAATATAATATGTGTAACAGGTGTATAAAAAAAGTGAAATTTCTATCAAAATTACATCAGATATTAAAACTGTTAAATAATTAACATTTATATTAATTATTTCTAATTTTATTTATTATTTACTTAATAATATTTTTTTTATTTAATTATTTAATTATTTAATTTTATCAATTGGATTTCAATTCCCATGTGAATTTCAATCTTTTCGTATTATTTGTATTTTAAAAGTCAAGGTCGTGAAATATTTCTTTAAAGTTAAAAATATTATTTCTCTTCGCTTAAATAAAAATTTCATGTATTAATTTATTATTTATATTATATTTATATATTTTATTTTAGATAATATTTACATTCTTTTTTTTTTTTTTGTTTTAAGGAAAAAAAAAAATTCGAATTGGAAAAGGAGAAAAGACATAAATTTTTTTCGAAAGTATACGTACAAAAGTCCAAAGAAGAAATTCATGTAGTCTTTTTATAAAAAGAACCTTGTCAGAGAACATACCGAGGAATACTGGACATACGTAGCATTTTTATGCTTGTTGCTTGATTATTGACAATCGATATTTACTTCGTCAGGAAACATGAGTTTGAACGACTTTTACAGAGGGTCACATATTTTAATCCAATATAATTCTCCGTGGATTATGCATATTTTATGGAATATTGAATATTAAAAATTAATGACAATTCATGCTTGGTAAGTATATTATAATCACGTGTTGGAAATGAAATATTTCTTCATTTAATAATTTTACTTTTTAAAAAACAGTCTATTAACAAATTACACAAATCGTAACTAAAAAAAAAAAATTAATTTTTAGTTAAATTTTTAGAAATTTTGTTTTTTTTGCACTTTGAAATATTTAAAATAGAAAATAGCTTTTTTAAAATTTGTTAAATTTAATTTTTGGTATAATTTTTAATTATTTTCATATGGAGAATTTCAAGAGATGGCATTAATTATTAATTAATTATTAATAAGAATTTTATATCAAAATTATAAAGAGAGTTACAAAAATTTTTCGGAATTGAATTCGTAATGAGAAAAATGTTTATTGTTGACTTTTTAACACAAGATGAATTTTAAATTTATTCTCTGAAGGTTTTAATTATTGTGCCATATAATTTTTATTATTTTAATTTTTTTTTTGTCATCAAAAATTTGCGTTTGAGAAAATTTTGGTTCAATTCTTTTTATTTATTCTTTTTAACAACGAAGTGAAACGTAACAACAACGTTAAACAATAAAATAGAATTTACTTTAAAACAAATAATTTTTTTTTTCCTAATTTTGACGTTTTCTATGTAAAAACGTTTTTTCTATTTAAAAAAAAGTAGTTTTAAACTACACATAAAATATTGTTGTTTTAAAATTATTTTCAAAAAATCTTTTTTTTTTCATGAAAATAATTTTGAAAAAATAATATTTATTTATTGAAAATTACCTTCGTGGTAGCAAAGGAAGTGTGCTCCCAAACAGCCAGAGCTTTCTATCTTGTAGCCATTTGTCCATGCGTTTATTGAAGTATTCTTTATAAAAATGAAGAAATCATAAATTCCTCGTGAAAAATGTCTTTCATTGTTGTTAGCACTTCACATTCTAAATTTGAAAAATGAAAATCGTGATACATTATTTATTTGTAAAGTCACTGCGCTGTCATGAAACTAACAATGCACCTTTCACTATAATATGAACGTGACTGATTCATGTGCGCGAAATTTACGTCACTTAAATCGATATTTAGGCAAACTATGTTTTTAAATGAGAAACTATCAAAACACGTCAAATGCGATTTAAAAATAGTCGGTTATGATTTATTTTTTATTTATTTTTTTCTTTTTTTAAAGAAAAGAAAGAGTCACGCGGAAAATATATATGTTTTCAACAAAAATATTTAAATTGTTTTTTTTTTTCAATTAACTTACCGAAGTTGATCAAAAATTTTGGAAATTTTTTTTTAATTAAAATATTTTTTTTTTAAATTAAAATATTAGGAAAAATAGAACTAGATACGAGTATTTAAAAAAATGGAACTAAATAAATAGACTGTTATTTAACAAATTGTTATTCTTTTTAATATTCTCTTTTTTAAACAAAGCTATTTATGAGCTTCTTTAAATATGAACAATATAGTTTTATTTATTTTTTAAATAATTAATTTTTTTTTTAAATATATATTTATATTTACGAGGAATTTTTCGTTTACAAGGCATAATTATTTTTTTTTTTTTTTTTTAGACACTTTTCGTGTTTCTTTGTGCGCTGTTGGGCAGCTTAGGCTTCTCTGTTTCTAATGTCTCACCCCTGACCGTAAATGTAACAAAATATCTCTTAGTGCGATCCAGTCTCTCTGCCGGAAGAGCAATCACCTGTTTTTCTTCTCCGTGCGACACCTCCACCTTTATGACAATTCAAAATTGAATCAATTTTTAATAAATTTTGATTTTTAAATTCAAAATCTCAATTTTAGTTTTATTACTTTTCTAGAATATGAAAAACAAATTGAAATCAGAATTTAAAACGATGGATTAACGATCAAATGAATAATTATTCATTTTAGTTGTTTAGTTAATTAATTTAATTATATAAAATAATTGTTGTCACATTGTCATGAATAATGGATGATAAGCGGTTTTTGAATTGAAAATAACCTGATATTAAAAAAAAAACCTAATAATCAAATAATGAAAAAATGTATTTTCTACTACTAATTTTTCTTTCTTTTTTCGTAGTTTGGCTGTTTACCGTCATTTGCCCCTTTCCCCGACTCTCAATCTTCGGAAGAAGACTCGTCCCTCGTTCTGGGACGCCTCCACATACTGCAATTATTATCTAGGATCAAACTATGGAAACTGATTCTTTTCAAAAATTCAAAATGCCTCTAACTCTAAACGGAAGCAGAATCCCTGCTGTTTTTCTATTATTTTTACAACAAGAATTCTATATCGTAATGAAATTGCTGCTCCAAAATATTGGTGAGTTTTTAATTGTTCACTATAATAATTTTTTATTAGTTTTTCATTTCGTATTAAATAATTATTAGCAATTTTATTATTTAAAAATAATTAAATTAATAATTAATTGAAAATAATTATAGAAAAAAAAATCATCGAGGGTACAAAATTATTAAATTTGGAATTAATTTTCTTTTAATTTCGTCTTTTTGAAAGAAGCAATTTCCAGTTTAGGATTGAAATAAATTAACTTACGATAAGTGTAAATTGGAACTGATGTATAGGCACTGGTGGCATGATGACATCGATGAGTTTTTTGAGTGCATTGCTTTGCTTCTGTGCACCAATCAGAAGTCGCTGGTCTTTTTTGAAGACGTCGAAGTTGCTCGTAAAGAAAAGATTCAAAGTCCCTTAAATAAAAAAAATAGAATTTCGTTAAATGACGTAAAATTCAAGAAAAGTTAAAGCGAATACAATGGAAAAAAATTTATTTCGTTCAAATAGAATTTTATTTCATTTGAATAAAATTTATTTAATTGAAATAAAAATTATTTGTTTCAAAGAAATATTTATTTGATTGAAATAAAAATTATTTGTTTCAAGTAAATATTTATTTTATGAAATAAAAATTATTTGTTTCGAATAAATATTTATTTGATAAAATAGTTAAATAACCGATTATTTAGAACAAATAATTTTTTTTTTTTTTATTTAAGCTACGAATAATTGCAGAAAAATAACAAAAATAAACCAATGTGGAAATAATAATTATCTAAAAAAAAAAAAACGAAAATATTTTTTCACTAACCGAAAAGTTAATGGCTTTTCATATTTGACAACGCCAAGTGTTGGTCCAGTCATTCCCGCTTTATTAAAACTGTCGACCTAGAAATTTTTTATTATTTTTTTTTCTAATTTAAATAATTAAATTCATATTTTTATAAGATTTTATTTTTAAAATAAAATTATTATAATTAAAATATTTTAATTTATTAAATTAAAAATTCAAATTGTTTTAAAGAAAATATTTACTTGTCTTTTAACTAAAACATGCTCGTTCGTTTTTCCATGTCGTATTTGAAGCCTCTTTAATTCCATTAATTGAAAAAATATTTTTCTCTCTAAATAATAACGTCGAATACTTATTTGAACATCCCTCGTTATTGTATTCATATTAATTGATTGTTGTTTTTCTGTATTTGGATAGCATTTTAAATTTCTTCGCGGTATACGCGAAACCCTGGGACTTGGTTCTATTCCACTGTCACGTCCACCACTGTCTTTTCTTTGTTTTTGACGAATTTTTTCTTTTCTCATTTCATGAGGACTTTGAGATCTTGTTAATCGAACTTGAGGTTTCCTTGATACCTTGATGCAAAAAAAAAATTTATTTTAATATTAGAAACATTTATTATTTTTTCAAGAAATGAACATTCTTAAATTGACATTTAAATTCTTAATGTCAATTTAATTGAAAAAAGAAAATTAATTTAAAAATTTAGTTTATTTTTGATTTGTTATCTAAAATTATTTTATTTATAGATGAACCATTTTCTAAATTTACCTATATAAGGTAAATTGTCATTTATTTCTGGTATCAGTGACTCCTAATTTTAGAGTACACTGATGGGTGAAATTTATTAAAGGCTAGATTTGAGTCAAGGATTGTTTATATTTGCATGACTTGAAATTTTAGTACTTGATTAACCTAAATTTAGAACTGAGATTAATTTTCCCCGTCAAAGAAAGGTGTTGATAATTTGTCAGTTGGAAAATAACAACTTGTATATATTTTAAAATAAATTAATACCTGTGGTAAAGTATCAGTTCCAGGTCTTCTTATTATTCCTAAATTTCGTGGTGTTTCCTCTTCACTTGTACTTGGTAGAATTCTTATTATTCCAACACCATCATCATTTTCCAATTCGGTATCTCTTTCTATATCATCATCATTATTATCACCGATTGCATTTCTAATTTCGTTGACAATTTCTTCGTCCTCCTCCTCCTCATCATCATCTTCTTCCCATTCGGGACTTTCAATAACAGCAACAATTGCACTTTGATCTTCTGAATTTTGCTCTTCTGATGTTTCATTCAAAAATGTTGTTCTTTTTTCTTCTTTTTTTGAGGGTGACGATTTTCGTGATTTTGCAGCAGTCGATGGCCTTGATCGACTTGCCAATTTGGAAGACCTTGGTGAACTTGACGAACTTTCATCAATAAAACGTTGATTATCGGAATTATCAATTTTATTATTTTCCCTGTTGCGTTCTTCTTTCGTTTTCACTTTTCCCGTTGTTACCGCGTCTGTGAATTATAAAACGTACTATTTTTAGGGATTTTTCATCTGGATTGTGAAAAAAAAATTGTATTTTCCCAGGATTTCTACAATTCACATGGATTATTTGGAATATTTTTTGAATAATGGAATTATGGAAATTTCATGGAATTTTTGTATTATTCAAATTTACTTTTAACTGAATTTTTTATAGTTATTTGGCAGAATTTTGCATTTTGCTGAATTTTAATTTTGTCGAACTGTTATTTATTTGATATTTAATTCAAATTCCAATTTGATGGAATATTTATAATTTTTATTTAACCGAATTTGCCTTTGAAAGAATTTCAATTTAACGAAATTGTAATTTTTTCGATTTAAAAATTTTATTATAAAAATTCTATTAATTTGAACGTGGAAATCATAAGGAATTTTGTATGGAAAAAAAAATTGTAGAAACCCTGAATTTATTATTAGTTAAATATTTTGTATAAGTGATTATTTTTTTTTTAAATCTCTTACTTTTGATTTCAGATCGTTTTTTGTTGGCTTTTGGAAAATCTGGAGATTCTGAATACGAGGAAATATCCGATTTTCCACGTGCTGAATCAACATCGGGTTGATCTCGTGACGATTTGTCATTTTGAAGATTCTCTTCTTTTGATGATGAACCTGCATCCATTTTTGGTGAGTCATCAGATTTTCTTACATCTGGCGATTTTCTTGAAGCACTTTTTCTCTTGTCACTGAATTCTGTTTTTGATTCTATAGATTTTTCTTGTTTTGTACTTTGTTTTTTGTTTGTTTTTAGTTTTTTCGTTTGCTTGTCCTGGTTAATTTCTTCAATTTCGGTTTTTAATTTTGTTTCTGTATCGAATTCTTTTTGTGGAATATTTTCGTTAATTTCTCCAACGGTTTCGTTTATTTTTGACTCTTGATTTATTGTTTCCGATTCTTGAATTGATTCAGTTTTGTCAATTTGATCTTTTTCAATTGGAACTTGATCCTTGGTGGTGGATTCAGATTTATCTTCAGAAGTGTTTTCAATACGTGGAGATTTTTCCGACACTGTTTCCGAGGTAGAAGTTTGTTGACTCAATTCTTGTGATTCATTTTTATCTATTTTTTCAACAGTTTTTTTTTCTGAATTTTCGATTTTGTTTTCCATTTTTTGTAACAATTCTTTTTGCATTTTATCCGCTTCTTGGAGAATTTGATCAACTTTGTTTATTTTTTCGTTGCTTTTAGTTTCAATTATTGTATCTTCTTTTTCTTCTTTTAATTTTGGAGTATCTGGTGCTTGATCTTTGTGTACCATTGCAGTTACAGTGACTGTTTCCACTGTTTCATGACTTGTTGAATCAGTTACGTCTTTTTCTTCTTGAAATTTGTCTTTTGTTTTTTTTACACTCGTCTCATCGATTTCGACAGATTTCTTTTTTCTTTCGGATTCATCTTTTGTTTTATGATGTTTCTTACAACTTTTCCGCGATGATTTAATAATTTTCTTATCCTCATAACTTTCTTTTGGTGTTTTTGATTTTCGTCCTGAAACTAATTTTTCCGATTTTTTTTCCATTGATTTAACAATTACAACTTCAAGACTATCATCACTAATTGTTGATATTTCTTCTTGATCATTTTTTGATGTAATATTTTCTTTATTTTTCGATAAAATTTCTACATCTGTTTCAGATTCAGTCCACGATTCACTGTATTCGTGTTTATTTTTCCTATGGCGTCTATATTTTTTTGATGATGATTCGTCATCTGTTTCAGTTTCATTGTATCTGGCCGATTCGCTTAGCGCTCGTCTTTGTTGTTCTTTTTTATTGAATTGCGTTTTTGAATGTCGAAGTTCCTCTTCGCTGAAACTACGACTATCCTGACGTGAGAGTTTTCGTGAATTTCCTTTTCTTCGTCGTGTTCTTCGCTCGATCCAACGTTCCTCGTAATAAAGATCCTGATCACGATGACGATGAGATTTTCTTCGAGGGCTACTGTCACTTTCTGTACTTGAATCTGGACATTTGACTCTTAATTTTGCAGCGAAGACTGAAAATTTAAATTAAATTTCTTTGAAAAAAATTGTTTTTTTTTTTTTTAAATGTAAAAGAATTGAAAGCAATTTTAAATCGAACCTTTGGAAGGTGCAGTTTTGTGTGCTCTTAAATGTTGAGCTGTCGAACCACCGTGCATTTGAATTAATTTAGCACAATCTCGATTTCCACGATAGAGAGCCGCATCCAATGCTGTCATTAAACTGCCTTTACTTGTTTTTAGTATAACATTGATTTTCACTCCATTATCCAAAAGTACTTTACAAACGTCCAAATGACCATGAAGTGCCGCTACATGAAGTGGAGTTTTTCCATCTTGAGTTACAGTATCGAGTAGTGTTTTGCGCCTTTTTCCTAACCATTTAACCAATTCAACACAACCTGACGCGACAGCTTCGTGAGCAATTCCCGTACCTCTTATTGTTCTCGCATGTAGAGAACCGCCATGAACTGATAAAATTTTCAATGTTTCCAATTGTCCCTTTGCTGCCGCACACAAAGCTGGCCTGAAAAAATTATTTAAAAAAAAAATGTACTAATTATTTGAATTTGAAATAGAATGCTAATTGTATTTTTTTTATTTTTAGACATACGTTCTGCCTTTTCGATCCTGTCTGTTTGGGTCAGCGCCTAATCTCAAAAGCAAAGCAGTGGCATCCGCGTGACCTAGTGTCGCAGCATAATGAAGCGCCGAACAGCCATTATCATCGACGTGATCTGGTTGTGAACCACACAAATTCACAAGTGCCTCCACGCACCTGGCGTGACCTCGAGAGGCGGCGCAATGCAGAGCCGTCAATCCATCCTTATCAGAGGCGCCCGCAGCGGCTGAACCACCGGCTCTAAAATGCGGTCAGTAGTCATTAACGTTCAACCTAATCTTTTGAATGTAAATTTTCCCTACCATGAAAATTATTTCTTTCGGATGTCCTTAAACAATCTACTCATGAGTATAATAGAGCAACTTTTAAAGATATATTCACGTGATTTTCACAAAGTGATCGTAAAAAATTTAATATTTTCGTCAAAAGAGAAAAGATAAGAAATTCATTTTAGTGTTAATAAAATATTTTCATTTTTCATATAAATGAGGGGAAAATATTTTTAAAAAGACACCAAATTGATAAAAGTTGGTTTATTTATATTAATTAAATAATAATAATTATTATTATATAATTATAATATAAAATTATTTAATTACCTTGTTAAGGCGAGAACTGCTTCGACGCTACCGGCACTTGCTGCCCATAAAATTGGTTGTCTTCCATCCTCGTCCTTTGCATTCACGTCTGATCCAAATTCCAAAAGAGTTTGAAGTACCTGAAAAAAAATGTCCTTCTTTTTAAAAACCGAAAACAATTTGATTCAATTGATTAATTTTTTTATTATTATTTTTATTCGAAAATTATAAAAATAATATACAAAAATAGTAGAAATAAATAAAATTTGCCAAATAATACGATAAAAGTAATTAATTTAAAATTAAAAATAAAATTAAATAAAAGTAATTAATTAATTTAAAAATAAAAATAAATTCAATATCAATTATTGATTGATCTATTTAATCTTTGGTGGATTCAATCGTTGTTTTTTATTGATTCGACAAAATTCTTCTTGTTAATTTATAAATTTTTCAAAATTAAATAAAATAATTTTTTTGTTTTGAATCAAATTTTTGTATGTGGCAACAGTAATAATGAAAAAATAATTTGCATTGCATTAAAATTGATTTATATTTTATAAAAATACCTTGAGGCCAACTTTTTTTGGAACTGAGAGTTCAGCAGTTACTGCTGCTCCACAACACTGGGCAGCATAGTGAAGAGGCGATCCTCCTCTTAAATCAGGAGTTGATGGTCTCGCTCCAGCTGCCAGGACTAATCTCACACATTCTGCTTCTCCACAAACTAAAATTAAATTAATTAATTACACTTATTTAAATTTAATAAGTAAAATAATTTAACAAATTAATAAAGTAAAATAAATAAATAAATCCAATATATAAACAAAAAAAAATAATTTGTTATTAATAAAATTAATTTAATAATTTATAATTTAATTAGTAATTAATTAAATTAAAAATAATTTAATAAATTCAGTCAACGAATTAAATTTATCAAAAAAAAAAAAAATAATTTGCAATTCATGTGAAAAAAAAGAATAATTTAGATTATCTTTTTCAAATATAGCAGTTGAAAAAATGAATTAATTTGAGAATGAAATTTATGTGAATCTAAATCTATCTGATTTTCGGTGGTCAAACAGGACGCTTGTTGGTCAATCATAAGGAAAATCTGGACAGTATCCAATTGCGTGAGCGATAAAGTCTCTCTGGAATTACATCACTTACGACTGACCCACTGACCTTAGTTGGCCAGTTTTCCATCCTGTGTAAGTTGTGTACTATATACATATAGTATCAAACCTCCTTCCTGTTTTAGATCTTAAAAGAGAGATTAAATTTGTCCATAAGTATTTTAAACTTGTTTTGAAATTCATGACAATATATATTTCTTTCGTCCTTCGGCATATTACAATCATCTTTAAGAGTGATTTTTCTTCCCTGATAAGAGGGAACGAAAAATAGGTCAATATCATATTTTATTTTCCTATTGCCTTTTTTTTAATGGATTTCTTTAAATAGATCGGACAAAATATCTGACCTTGATATTAGAATTTCCAAAAGAATTGGTAATTTTTCTACGAAACGGCGAAGAAAATTCTTTTTGAAAAGAAAATGTGAAGAACAATAAATTAATTTTTTTAATTAACCAATAAAAATTAATTGCTTTATTTTGTATTTAAAATTGATTTTTTACTTTGAGAGGGTCAAAAATAAAGAAGAGAAAATTATTTTATAGAAAATTTTTATATTCAAAAATAGAAAGAATGTAGGGAAATTTTTTAATATTTATCTATTTTTTGCAGATAAACTGTGGAGTTGAGAAAAAAATTGTCTGCCACTTTTGCGAGAAGGCTCATTTCACATCAAGAAACTGATAACGAGCGGAGAAAATCTTTCTGCCTATCTATAAAAGTTTCACGGGAATCGATGGAGTTAAAAAAAAAGTATAGAAAAAAAAGAGGTAATATTGTTCTAATTTTATAGAATAATTTTGGTATTTATCTAATATAATTTATATATTTATTATTATATTTATTTAATATAATTTATATAAATATTATTATTTTTTTAAATATTAAAAAAAAAATATTATATATTTTTTAAAAATATTATTTTCTTTGTTTAGAAATTACCAGTTGCCCAGTGAAGAACACTGTGACCCTCAAAATCTTTGGCATTGACATCGGCACCGTTCGCCAAAAGAACAGCAACCAATTGTGTATCACCGGCAATTACTGCAAGATGTAAAGGTGTATGTCCCTCAGCGTCAGGATGATTAACCAATTCAGGTGCCGCCGATGCGACGGCACCACCAGTTCCGGCATCCATGCAATAATGAAGTGCACTTCTTAAGGTACGATCTCGATAGCCAATTGTCTCGCTTTGTTCTTTTAACAATTTCAAAACTCGCGTTCTGTCCCCCTGTTGACATGCATGCATAAGAGGTGTTGCTCCGATTTGAAGGACTCTAAAATTCCGGAAAAAAAGAAATTTTTTATTTAGTTTTCGTAAATTTTTCATTTTTTTTCTTAATTATTAGTATTTTTTATATAGAATTTATTAATATTTGAAAAATACTATTTTCTATTAAAACAAATTATTAACAAAAAAAATTTGATAATTAATCATTAATAGAATTTTTTTCCAATTTTTTTTTTCAATCTTTTTTTTTTTTTGAGAAAATTATTATCAAAATTGTTTAAATTACTTAAATTCTTTCAAATAATTAAAGAATTGTTGAAGAGTTCTTTTTTAATTTTTAAAGAATTACTTTTGAACTATATTAAAAAAATTAATTATTTTAAACAATTATAAAGAAAATTAGAAGTTCTTTGGAAATTAAAAAAAAAATTACATTGAACTATTAATAGAATTAATTGTTTTAAATAATTATCAAAAAAATTAGAAAGTTATTTGTAAATTAAAAAAAAAAAATTACTTTGAACTATTAAAAGAATTAATTATTTTAAATTATAAAGAAAAATAAATAAAAACACTGAATAGTATTTAAAAAATGTTTCATTAAAATAATTTGTCTTTGGATAATATTTAAAAAAAAAGAATGAATAATTGCTTAATAATAATTATAATTTTATGATAAACATAATAATAAAAATAAATAATAATAATTTAATAATAAAAAATAATTGTAATATAATAATAAAAATAATGATAAAAAGTGGTTTCTATAAAATTTTAATTTTTTGAGCAATTAAATTATGTTTAAATGAAATTAAGTAGTTTATTGATTGAAATATTATTTTTTATTTAGGCCTTATTCCAGAAATTGGAGCAAAATTTTAACATTCATTGCTTATTTATGATACTGTAATATTAGGGAACACGTAAATGTTGAAGCTATTAAATTACATACTTAAGTATTTCAGAAAGTAGTTTTTTTTTGTCAAAATAACAAAGAAACTGAGAATTATAAATAAAAAAAAAAAACTTTAATGTAAAAAAATTGTATAACATTTTCGTAATATTAGGGAAATGACAAATTTAATAATTTATTAATTAATTATTAAATTAGAAATTAGAAATAAATTGAATATTAGTAATATTTTTAATCTCACAATTTACTAATTCAAAAATCTCACATTTAAATTCTATTTAAATAAATAGAAAATAAATATTAAAATTTTTTTTTAATCTATTTAATATTTTTAATCTCACAATTAAATTCTATTTATTTACTTATTTTATTCTCTCTATATTTATTCTATATTATTATAATTAAAATTTTATTTTGTAGATCTTTGGAGTTTGAAGAATTATGACGGAACGGTGAGTAATCAAAAGGGAAGAAAATTAGCACGCTATAATTAGTAAACACAGTGGCTCAGGTACAGAAAATTATTAAAGATCCATTTAAAAAAAATGATCGAAACAAACTTTTAGTAGTTCAATAATATTGAAAATCGAAAATTAATAAAATATTTCTTAATATTTTCCTATATATTGAAATTCAATTTATTTTGAAACTTACTTTAACATCATGACAATATAAAAAAAAAATCTATTATTTTGTTTATTTAATAAAAATATTTTGAAATTAAGAAAAGAAAAACAAGAAACTAAAAGAAATTTAGAAAGAAAATTTCTTTTGAGAAAAATAAGAGAATGGCATATATTCTGATCTGGATTATTTTTTTTTTACTTGTAGGGTCTTCTCTTGAGAGAATCTGGAAATCCCAAAGGATGAGACTTGGGCGGACTAGAATTCCATGAGGTTTTCACTCTTGGACGATGATTTGGGAACGGTGTCAATGGGGGCAAGGACACATCGGCTGCGCGTTCCTGTTTTTTTGAACGTAATTTCTCCTGATGATGCTGTTGCTGTTTCTGCGGAATCAACGGAGTCTTAGTGTCCATGCCAGTCTTTGCCACCGTGATGATTTGATTAAATCAACATCGACGAGAGACATCCTGGACACCATCCTCTGAATTGTTGTATCATTATCCCCTTTGGTCACACCTAAAAAATGGGGTCAAAAAAAAAAAAGAAAAAAACAAAGAAGAAAAAAGGGACTGGATGATGTTTGATTATCGCATGATTAGGTGAGTCTCGACCTCCTTTTCTGAATAAAGCGTCTCAATGTGGCGTGTATTACGCGATAATCTTAATTGAGCACAGGAAAAGCAACTAAACATAATACAAAGAATCTCAAGCTTCAAAGTCGGGTTTTTTTTTTTTTTTTTTTTTTTTTTTTGAAACGCAAGCATTCTAAAGTGATAACCACGTGGGTGAATTGACCAGGTCACTTGGTCACCATAGAAACCGACTGCCACAACAATATCGCGTCCGATAAAGAATTCTAATGGCATATCTCACGACAAGGTCGTCTCGTGTCAAAAAATAAACACTTCCTTAACTTTAATTTATGGCAGTCGCTTTCTTCGATTTATTGGGGGGTTTTCTTTGGTCAGCTGACTGGTGTGAATTTATATCCTCGAGAGGAGAAATCCCTGCCTTCATGACCTCGTCGTCATTTGGGTCGATTATTTATTATTATTTTTTCCCGACCTTCAACTATATTAGGGGGAAATTTTTATCTCTTTTTTTAAAAAAATTTTTGAAATAATTTTTTTCCTGTTCGCCTCACTTTTTGATTAAAAGATTTTATTTTAAAGAAAAATATTACTGTGACAATTAGTTTAAAAAAAAAATTGTAAATTTTCTTTTAGATTAGATTTTTCTCTTATTAGTTTTACAATTTTTTTTTAACCCTGAAACTTGAAAAACTAATAGTGAATAAAAATTGTAATATAAAGTAATAAGAAAATTTTCTTTAGAAAAATGATAATTTTTGGAATAAATAAAATTTGGGCAAACAAAAATTATCTTAAAGACATTTTGAAAAAAAAATTAAAATTATGTTTCATATGGATAATTGATTAATTGAAAAGTGGGGAAAAAATGGGAATTTTTTTTTATTTATAATTAGTTAATTGGACATTGAGAAAGACTTCCGGAGTCTCTAGTAAGCTTTACATGTTTGATAGGTCAAAACTTGTCAAGTGCAAGGAATATTGATTTTTTTTTTTTTTGCAAAATGTAAATTCAAGTCTGAAGAATGAAAATTAACACTTTTTAATTTTTTATGAATTAAAAATTACGAATTTTATTTTAATAATATTATTTGTAAATAAAAAAAAAACTTTAAATAGTATAGAAATCAAACATTTTTAAATTAAATTTTTTTTTTTAATTTTAATTTTTTTTAAATCTTTATTTTTTTCAAGAAAATATTAATTTAAAGATTCTGCAATGCAGTTATTGATGAATTGACGGTATTATTTATTTTTTTTTTTTTGTAACAAAAAAGAGTTTTTTTTCCCTCCCAATTCTCTTTTCTAAAATGAAAAGTTGTGACTCGCACCTCATTTCGTAGACGTGTTACTCTAGTTTCCTCAATCTTGTATTCACAGACTTGCATTTGCACACATGTACATAAAACCTACACATGCTTCTTAAATAGGCCTATCTAAGTTCTCAAGCATTTGCCCGTCAGGTGTCACGCTACCATAAAAGTTGCCCTAACTTTTGAGTTCATGTTTTCTGAATGAGAATCAAATGAAAAAATAATATTTTCTCGTATTTATAAAAAAAAAGAATATAGCGTAAACATTTGTTCTATATTGACATTCGAAAAAAAAAATTAAATTAAATAAAAATAAAAAAATAAAAAGAAATAAATATATTATTTATTGGCTCTTTGAATTTTAATTTAATTATTAATTAATTTTTGAGATTATACACACAATATTTTATTATTTTTATTTATAATATTAATTTCAATAATATAATTAAAAATAATAAAATAATTTTTTGTACGAATTGGAAGTAAAAAAAAATATTGAAAGTTAGTGAAAAAAAGCGAGGAAAAAAAGTAATGTGCACTTTATTTAAAACAAAAAAAAAAAAAAAAAATAGTATTCTACAGTATTGCATATTATAAACTTAACGCATATCGATTACTTGTAATAATAAGTAAGCGTAGAGCATATTGTGATTCATTAGAATCTAAAGTTGAATATTCATGAATGAAATTCTCATATATTACAAAAACTTCGAATCTAAAAAGTTTCATAGAACCATTGCATTACAAAATAATTAATAATAGTAAATGATTTTTTATTCTTGGCAAATTAATTTTTTCTTATGAATTAAATGATTATTTTTTAATAAAACAAAATTTCATTAATTAAATTAATAATTCCGCAGAAAAAAATTGAAAGTCGGAAAATATGTTATTAATTAACTAAATTAATTTAGATGAAATGATTGTTTAGAGATCTTTTTTTTTTATTTGATTTGTATACAGAATTTTTTTCGAGAAAAAAATTTTTTTTTTGGTAAAATAGAATGTGGATAAATAAAATTATATATAAAATAAAATTATAAATATAGAAAATATAAGTGTTAGGGAAAAATTTTTTTAATTCTTATTAAGACGAAATGTAGGTAATCTGTATTAAGAGGTGTTTACTCTTTCAAGTAAACGTTTTATATATAATGAAGGATTTCACGGGGTTAGTGTAACAGCAATGACTGAAAATCGTTAATTCGCACGTGAATCTTTATTACCCAGTTATAATAAGTTCAATTTTCTCAATTCTCAATTTTAATCTTTTTAATTATTTTTGTACATTTTTTTTTTACTTGGAAACTTCGTCAATTTTAGTTTTAAAAAAAAATTACAATTAAATATTTTATTAATCATAATAATTAATAAATACTTAATAATAATAATTAGTAATAATAATAATAGTTTATTTGTTAAAATACTAATAATATTTTTATAATTAAATATATTAATTTAAATAATATAAATTTAAAAAAAAAATTATATTTTTTAACGTCTTTGTTTTTTAAAGAAATTTTTTATTATTTTTTTTATTTTCCTTTCTTGTTATATCAACTTAAAATTCGAATAGAAAAAAAATTTATAAACAAATTTTTTTTTATAACTGTTATAAAAAGGTTAAATTGTTATTTGTATAAGAAAAGGTATTATTTTCTTTATTTCATTAATATTAATATTTTTAAATTATAAAAAAAAAAATTTCTATAAAAATTTACTGTATACAATTCATAAGATAAAAAATTATGTTCTCTACAATCATAAAAATTTCGAAACAAAAATATTAAAAATTACTATTATAATTACTAATTTAAATTGATATTACTTTTCAACAAATATCACATTCTAATTAGAAGCGTTTGGCATGAAATTTCATCAGAAACTGTTCAATAGTAATAAAGCCCCAGATTAAATCTGATCGAAATTCCGATATCCATTTCCCGTGATATTAAAACGATTATATTCACGTGTCTTGATAATAAATTTTTTATTCTATTTTCGATTAAAATAAAATAAAAAAAAAAAATTTTAACCCGACAAAAATTTTTTATTTTCTAAAAAAAAGAATTTAATTTTTTATTTTTATGTAAAAAATTTTAATTTTTAAAAATGATTTTTATAGTTTAGTATTAAATTAATGTAAATGATGAATTTTTATTTCTTTAATAATATAATAAAAACTTACTTTAATGTCCTTAAGGCGCAGCCCTAGGAAATATCATTTTGATTGGATTCGGTGAGGCGAGAATTGAATTTTGTTTTTTTATTCATTTTGAAATTTGATATTAAATTAAAAATGTTTAGCCACGAGGTTTGATTCATAAAGAGAAATTTATGAAACACTCCTCACGAGGGTGAAACGCGCACTGATGATGACAACATCCCTCGACTAGACCAGTTAATATATGTAAGTTGTAAGGGTTGCTTGGAAACCATCAACCACCTCAGGGGCGTACTTTATATTGAACCATTTTTATATTCTCGTCTTTTTTTTTTTTAATTTGAATCTATATTAATTATTCTTATAATTAAAAACTAAAAAAAAAAATTTCACTTTTTTGAAATTTTAAATTTTCCCGCCATGATATTAATTTTAAATTATTAACGCCTTTATTTTTATAGAATTTAAAAAATTTTAGATTTGAAATGAAATAAATTTTTAATACATTTAGATAAAATTATTGTTTAAAAAAAATTTGAAATTCGACTTTTTTGCAAAATAGGTGTATTAGTTTAATTATTTTTTATTTAAAATTGTTATGTTTTAAAAATTGTATTTTTTATGAGAATTTTGTATATGTATATTAGCGATTATATTGAAATAGTTCTTTTTGGAATTATGCTAATTAATTTTAAAAGTGAAGGAAAGCTATAGTAGAGTCTTAGAAAAATTGAGTCTCAAATGGGGGTATAGCTCAGTGGTAGAGCATTCGACTGCAGATCGAGAGGTCCCCGGTTCAAACCCGGGTGCCCCCTCTACCCTTTTTTAAATTTTTTTTCTCCAATTTCCCGCATTATTCATCTATTTATCAAATTTTTGAGTAATAATTACTTTAAATTATTGTAAAAATATACAAATCCAAATTTTTTCAAATTAATAATTATTTATTTCTGTCCCATTTTAATTATTTTAGTTTTTTTTATTTTTTTTTTCACCTAGATTTTTCTATTTTTCTCCATTGTGTACTGTTACAAATATTTACAATTCCTATTTTTATTATATAAATTAAGAAATCTCTAAATTAAATTATTATGTTTTTTAAGATTTAATTACTTTATTTTCTATTATTCTTAATATATTATAAATTTTAATTATAATACTTTATTATAGTACTCATTATTAAAAATATATATTATTTTCATTACAAGTAATATAATATTCGTTATTATAATTTGTATATCTATTATAATTTCTGCAATTATTTTATGGAATATAGTAAAATATTGAAAATATTGAAAATTTTAAAAATTCCCGCTAAAAGTAAATTTGATCTACGGATCAATTTGATTGGTTCTGGTAAATTACATTGTACCAACTGTAAAATTTTGTGATTGGTTAGCTGGTGGTTAGCTGAGATATCATCGATCGGTAATGTAGATTTCGCGATTAATTTTTACCAGCCCATCATATTTTTATGTTGGCAACACTGTTTGTCAATTGTCTGTTTTGCTTAATATTTGCGTGTTTTGAAATTAGTGCTTTTTTAAATTAGACAGGTAAATTGTTTATTGTAATTTATCGCTATTATTTATATTCCATGTCATTTTATTTCATAACTGATTATATTTACATTATGGTTATATTAATCAGACCAATGAAAAGTATAAATACCGATTAATTTTTAGGTTAGGTTTCATTTTTTAAATATTTTGTTTTTTTATAGAAAGAAATATTATTTCTTTTGCAATTAAATTAATCTTAATTATTTTTTAATTCTAAAAAATTATTTTATTTTGTCAATGAATTTTAAGAAATGAAAAACGGCGAATTTAGTTTTTAAATTTTAATTACAATTTTTTATTTAACAAAAAAAAGAATTACTTTTTTTTATTAAAGTAAAATTTAAATTAGTTTTTATTTTAGTTTCAGTTTAAGAAAATTATTAATAATATTATTAATAAAACGAACTTGTTTAAAATTTTTGTCATTTACAGGCGTAGAAGGTTTAGTGAATAAGTGAAGGAATATTGAGTGAAAAAATAGTCTTAGGTGTTAAAACAAAAATGGGTCACGGAAAATGCATTGTCACAGGATGTACATCTAGTTTTTATAAGCAAAAAACTAAAGAAAAGAGTGGAATATTAGAAACAGATCCAAAAAATAAGACATATTTTTTTAATGTTCCCAAAGTAGGTCTAGAATTATGGAAAATAGCACTTTCAGGAAATAAAACTACAATTAAACCTGGACAATCAGTTTGTGATAGACATTTTTCCAAAAATGATTTACGATGGAGAAAAATATTAAGGGGACCAAATGGCATGATCCTAGGAGTGGTACGTAAATTATTTTATATTTTGAAATTTTCTTTTTAGTAAAAGTATTGATTCTGTTTTGAATTTCGCGAATTAAAAATATAAATTTTTTATTGAATTTTGTTTTTAAACATTTTTTATATAAAAATAAATTACCAATAATATTGTAGAGTGCCGATTTCAAAATGCCAAAATTAAAAGAAGGAGCAGTGCCAACTAAACGTTTAGGAGATAATCCACTTGAAGAAACTGATGATGATGATGATGAGAATGATAATTCAGAAGCAACAATTTCAGATACTGAAATTATTAAAAAAGAACCGATAAACGATAACGAAAGTAATGTCGAGGATATTTTTCAAGATTTCGAAGAAATTGAACATTTTGAAGCATACTATCATTTAGCAGCTGAATCGAAATTAAAAATAAATAAATCCAACAAAGAAATTTCTTTATTTGACATTATTCACAGTAATGAGAAAAGTGTTGCATTACCATCAGTTTGGACACGACAAAATCTCATGCATAATGGTGAAAAATTTATTGTCTTCAATCAATTTGTAACAAAAATGGAAAATGGAATTATTGAACCACGCTGCTCAAAACAAGTGATGCTTGATAAAAATTTACAGACAACAATTTTCATAACACGTGAAAAATTAAAAAATGAAAATACCGAAATAAAAGACATTAAAATTGTCAGTATTGATGATCTTGAATTTTTATTAAAAGTCATTCATTCATGGCGTATTTGCGCTGGATTAAAAATACAATATGATAAAACAAAAGATTTTTCATTTGTTCGTGTTGATAAGGAAAATGTTGTACGTAGTTTAGAATGTACATTTTATATACCATCAATATCGCGTAGTAGTTGTTGTGATTATTGTCGAAAATCGCGAAAAACAGTTACACAAAAAATAGCGCGAATGGAAAAAAGTTCAACGCTAACGCGTCTTCGTCTTTGTTTAACGGGTAAACAAAAGAAGAAATTAGATGAAATGAGACGTGAAATTAAAACACTTCGTCGTGGAAGAGCAAGATCATTGGTGAGAATTAAATTGTTAAAAGAATTACGTATACGTGAACGTGAAGAATTTTTACGTTGTCAAAAAACATTGGATCAAATGTTAATGGCAAGTAATCTTGATGCAAATCAAAAATTAGTTGCAATGGAAATGTTGGCATCAACAAAACAAGCGCCACGTGGAAGAAGATATTCGAAAATATGGATTTCATTTTGTTTGACGTTACACAGAAAATCGCCGACTGTGTATAAATTTTTGAAATTGAACAATGTTTTACCATTGCCTGCAACTCAGACTCTCAGCAGGTATTTAGTTTATTTTTTTATAATAATAATTAATTACTTTTCAGATTTTTTTTTCAATATTTTCAAAGTTTAGGAAGAAAATTTAATTTTTTAATTCCACAAATTTTTAACTAAAATAAATCTTTTGAAATTTAATTAATTTCAAAAGAATTTCAATTAATTTTTAATTATTTTAATTTCAATTATAACTCTTCCAGTTTTAAATTATTTTTAATAATTTTAATATTTCTTTAAAAATTCAATTATTTAAAAAAATTTTAAATAAAAATTCTAAAATTGAATTGTCAGATTTTTTTTTTTTAGAAAATAATAATAATATAATTAATTTTCTAAATTAAATTTTTATTTTTATTAAATTGAAATTTTTGTACAATTGAATTTTTTTTGTTAATTTATATTGTTAATTAATTAATGAATTTAAAAACTTGAAATATTTTTAAAGGTTCGCTCAACAAAATCCAACAGTGGATCAAGAAATTTTTGTTCTTGAAGCTAATGAAGAGGAAATGATTATTGATGACATTACGGAAGCTATGTTTGAAAACGAAATTGTCCCTTTAAATGAGTAAGAATATTTCTAATATTTTTGCAAAAAAAAAAAAATTTACCTAAATTAAATTGCCGATTTAATGATTTTAATTTGAAAATTCAATTCTCATTTTTCTTTGACGATTTAATTTAAAGAAAAATGTTTATTAATAAAAAAATTTTTTTTTCAGACTACCTGATATCGAAATAGAGACTGAAGTTATTTAATTTAATTCCTAAATTAAAATTTGCAAAAAAAAAAACGCGAAAGAAAATTACTGCTCAAATATTATAGGTGAGTGAATTATTTATAAAAATAGATATAAAAATTATTTTCGAAAAATTCAATTGATATGATCAATTTTCAGATGGAATGATTCCTTTAATTTTAGGAAGAAATTTCGAAAATTGGACGTTAATATTTAACAAAAATTTTTTTTCCATACTTTTATTTTGTTTAACGTGTTTAAATGTTTCGTTTACGTATGTTTTTTTTCCAAGTATTTTGTTTTTCGTTTAATTATTTTTTATTCTTTTTCTAATTCATTTTTTTTTGTCATTCAATATTTCATTTAATATTTCAATTAGAAATATTATAATTTATTATAAATAATAAATAGTTTATTTTGCAAAAGAATAAAATTTTGTAAAAATTATAAAAATTCAAAGTTTTAACATAGATTACGTTAAAAATGAGTAATAATTCATTATCGTTATTATTAATTTACTTAATTTATCAAAAAAAAAAAAAATGAAATATCGAATTTTTTCAGTACGGTTAAATTTAATGTAAACTATTTATACATTGTAGAAAAGTTTACTAGTCTTTTAGAAGAATAATTACAATTGACACTATAAATTGTTTCTGTCACGCAATACAAATCGATTGTTTTTGCTTTTGGAAAAAGTCATATTTTATTTTTCCATTTGAATTTAATATTTTTCATACACATTTTTTATGTAATTTATAGAAAAGAAAAATTATGAAACAAAAATTATTTTTTGAATTTTTCTAGTAAATTTAAAAAAAAATTTTTTTTTAGTAGTAAAATTCCTGTTTCAGTACATAATGTTAAAATGTGCAGTATATAATTTAAAGTATGTTTGTTTTAAAAACTTGGAATTTATTATGATTCTGAGTTGACTTTTTTTTTTGTTAACAAATAAAGGGAAACATAAAAGTTTCCTGGAAACCGTTTGAATAGAAGTTAGGAGGCACCTGTATTTTTTTTTTTTTATTTTTTTTTTTTTTGTATCGACGATGCATTGCGTGGTCAATAAATATATTCACGTGTCCCTCTGTGCGCAACTTGATAGATAGAAAAACCACACAGAACTCATGCAAAAGCGGGCAGTTGATTATTCTCACCCTTCCTTGGCAGTTTGACCCGCATGGAGGGAAAAATGTGAAAAAAAAAAGTTCATTCCGTATTGAGTCGCTTCATCGATTTGAAACAAGTCTAGTGAGTTGACATTTTTTATTATTTATTTTATTATTATTTTATTTATTATTTTATATTTATTTTAATTATTATTACTTAATTATTGTTAAATTATTTTTATCAAATTGTAAACGTTCTCCAGTATATTATATGGAGAAAAATGGAAAAACGAATAAAGTAAATTTTACTATTTCTATAGTAAAAATTGCCAGAAATGCGCAGAAACTGTGGACAATTCAAATTTTACTTTTAAAGTATTAAAAGTTACTTTATTCGTTTTTTTTATTTTTCTCCGTGTAGTTTGAAACTTTTTTTTAATTTACAAATTTTTAAATTATACATATAATTCTTATTATATTTATTATTTATAATAAATAATTATTTATAATTTTGTCTATAAAAAAATTTTTAATTGAATTTTAATTTACTTATTTTATTTTTAATGTTGGTTTTTAGAAATTTTTTGTTACTATTATCATCGTATAAGATTTCTTTTGTGTTTAATGCATTTTTTTCTTTCTTCTGCGACAGATATAAAACCATTTGATTATACTTACCTTGAAACAAATGGGAATAAATGAAGTATTTTTGAGATGGGGTGTGGATCGAGTACCGACGTCGTAAAAAACACTATTTACAAACAAGAAGAAGTACTATCGTCTGAGAATTCAATTCCTAATTCACGAAGTTCACCATTGCACGACAACAACAATACAAAGTCAGCTTTGCGTAGGTTTTTTTTTCTCATTGATAAAGAAGTATTATTTTTTTTTAAAAAAAGTTAAATAATATTAATTATTATTAAATAATTGAAAATTGAGATTTTTTTCTATTTTCTATTTTAACTTTAGGGAAAATATATTCAAATTAGGTGATTTATTTATTCGAGAAAAAGTAATTATTTGATGGGAAATGAATATTTTCTTTTTTTTTCAGGTCAACCCTTGGCTTTTGAAGTGCCTATAAATGATGAAGAAAAGTCTATAATTAAGAGGCATCCTCCAATAAGATTTCAACGACTCGAGGAGCAACAGTTGCCACAGCCTGAGGTGACCTTGGAACTGTTGCAAAAGCGACAGGCAGAGGCTGAAATAAGAAGGCGTAGGGTAAGATGTTCATCTTGTAATTAAGCACCACCCGTTTCATAATTGCAAGACAAAATTCTTCATCTTCTGTTCATATATACAAGTGATAGAGTAAACCATATTTCTCTTTTTTTATTCAACGATTTTATTTTTCCTCATTTTTTTCAAATATCAATTGCAAATTTTTCCACCAAATTAAATAATTTCAAAAAATTTTTATCACGAATTTAATTTATTTAAATAAAATTTATTTTTTATTTTTGTAATTTAGTTATTTGTATTTTTGTAATATATATATAGTTTTCTAATTTTAGTACCTTGGTACGAAGGGATTTCTTTCCTTTTGTATGTAAATATTTATTTTATTTATTTAATTATTTGTAATTTAATTATAAATTACAGAACGTTATTTATTATTTTTTTAATTATTTATTTTATTTATGAATTACATGACCTTATTCTTGTTTCGTGTTGAATGTTAAAATATAGTTAAATGAATTTAGAAGAAGTAGAGAAAGAGAGAGAGAGAGTATTAAAAGAAAAAGAAAATATTTGTAAATCCACTTTTCTTTCAGATATTACTCACGAGGGTGCAATCTGCTCAACAATTTCAACAAAAAATTCGCACTACATCGTAACTCGAACAATACTTTCACGCTGTGTTATTGCCAAGTTTACGATTTATTATCAAGTTTACCCATATAGGTAAAGCTGTTCGACGTCATGTAAGTTTCTGTTATAAAATTCTTATCTACAATATTTTACTTCAACGGTTCTCTTTAAAATGATGATAATTCTCTAAAATAGAAAAAATGTACATAACACTAAAAAAAGTTTGTAAAAAAAAATATTGATTTTTCTTTTTTTTTAAGAAAAAAAGAAAAGATAAATATACATTTATGAAGGAAAATTCAACGTCTTTATTTAAAATGAAAAATCCTTTTTATTTAATTTTTTTATTTAAAATTTTTTTTGTTATGTATAGTTTTTCCATTACTTTACAATTTACCAAATTCAGTTTAATTATGTAATTTTGTTTCTTAAATAAAATTTTAATGAAAATATTTTTCATTAGAATTTTATTATTTTTTTTTTGTAATTTATTTATTTATTTTTCAGTTACCTTTTTTTTGCTATACACATTTACTGTTCTATTTATATTTACGTTTGAAAATTTCTTTTCAGCTTTTGAACTTTAAAATGATTCTTTCGCGTAATGAGGTGAGGTGCACTTCGATATATAGAAAATATATTTATACTAATACTAAAATATTCAGTGACTCTTGTTACTTTCGCAAATAACAGATGAGAGATTCATATACAAAATAAATATACAAATATTGATTCGCGTCCCGCGAGAGAGACCCCAAAGGAAAAAAAAAGTGTAGGGTCAGTGACTGGGGGAATGAAACAACATTTTATTGACTTTTACTATATATATATATTATATAGTTCAATTTTTATCTGATTAATTTTTACATTGTTTTCCTTTTTTGTCTTCTTGAATTGTATATTTTTTTTCGTTCTATTTTCCTAAATAACAATTTCGATTGAAATTAGATTACAATGTATTTTCAAAAGAAGGGAAAATTATAATCGTCCTGAATTGAAATTCACTGGCTTAACGTGTTTGCTGAAATCAGCTAAATGAACGTTTTCAATGTAGTATTATATCGATTTCTTTTTTCCAAGAGTCAGCAATGTTTGAACAGTCCGGAAGAGTTAGTTCAATGGATAACTTTTTTCTTTTCTTTTTTTTTTGATCAATTGTGGTTTTTCTTTTGTAAAATCTATTTTTCAATGGAAGTTTTATTTTACCTTTGTGGGTTTTTTTTAAATTCGTCAAGAAAAAAAGGTTAAATTTTCCATTTTTTGTGTTTTAATTATTGAAATTTCGAAAATAGGAGGAAAAATATTTTAATTTTGTAAAAGTTCCAAAAAATAGATTTTTTTGCGGTGCGCATGAATTTTTCGATAAAAAACATTAATTAGAATTTTTATTTTAACTTTATGTTATTTTTACTGAACAAAATTTTTAGCTACCGAAATTTTTGTCAGAATTTTTATTTTACAGTAATTTTCTTCACATATATGACTTTTTATATGTAAAAGAAATTTTAATTTAACGAAATTTTCATTCAAGAGAATTTTTAAATGACAGAAATTCAATGAATTTTAATTTATACGAATTTTTAATGCGTCGAATTTTCATTTGTACGAATTTTTAATAGGTCGAATTTTCATTTGTCCAAAATGACAAATGTTTAAATAAAAAATCGATAGAAATATTTCGGACAAATGAAAATTTGGTGCCTTAATAGATTAGATTAGATTTTATTTCTCCATTGTGTACTTTTTATAAATTTTGTGCCTTATTAATTATATAAATTAAAAATTCGGACAAATTAAAATTCGATGAATTGGAATTTTTGGTCATTTAAAAATTCGAATCACATAAAAATCAATTGAATGAGAATTCTGATAAATTCAAAATTCGAAAAATTTATCTAAAATATAATTTCTATTTCTAAAAAAAATTCTTGAAAATGGAAATTCTAATTATTGGATATTATTAATTAATGGAATTAATTTATTTTTTATGAAATAATCATGCGCTTTGGTAATTAATACAATTTTTCATTTTAAGTTAATATTTGTATTTTTCTTTTGTTTACAGTTTATTTGGATCTTTTAAACAAAATTGGATTTCATTAAAATAAAATTTGTGTTTAATGAATGTACGAGAGAGAGAAAATCGAAATAATTTCGAAAATTACGAATTAAGGACAACGAGAAGACTTTGGATTCTATGGAAAATCGAAAATTTTGCGAGGTATTTCAATATAATAATAATAATAATAAAAAAAATAACAGGACTTAACTATTTAGAAACCATTTACAGGACGGAATTTATATTCTCGCATTTCTTTTTTTTTTTATTTAAAAAAAAGGCGACCCTCTGAAGTAGTAGGTATCTGACGAACGTATCTGAGATACTTGTATCTAGATATTATACGGTACCGGTCTCGCGTATATATATATAAAGCCGCTCGCGTAAAGCGAATGCAAGAAGAGACATTACAAAAGTAGTGGGAGGCGATCGTGACCCGAGCAAGAGGAAGAGAGAATAAATGATTAAATATGAGAGTAAGAGAGATGAGACTAGTGACTGAGTCAGTAGTAAAACGAGCGGAGTGAGTGGGTCAGCAGCGAGAGAGCAAGAGCCGAGAGTTGTAATCGGGCAAAAACGAGAGGGTGGAACGAAGAGAGAACGATGTGAGGGTGGCTGCAAGTGAGAGGGAATGACTCAGGGCACTTGAGGTCGAAAAGAAATACATAGTGATTCTTACGGCGAATCGAGTTGGATAGACACAGAGGAGAGAGAAAGAAGGAAAAAGAGAGAGAGAGAGAGAGAGAGAGAGAGAGAGAGAGAGAGAGAGAGAGAGAGAGAGAGAGAGAGAGAGAGAGAGAGAGAGAGAGAGAGAAAGCGAGTGCAAAAGAGCCAAGTCTCTTGATCTTAAAAAGGCTTAGGAGAGAAAAAGAGAGATATATATATAAAATAAGAGAGGGAGGAATGCTATTAAATTCTTGAGAATTTAGATAAGGAAAATCTCGGGTTTGAAAATTCTGTTTTTCCTTTCGGATAGTAAATTTTAGGAATTTTGTAAATTTCGTATTAGAATTTCATTAATTTCTATACAGTAATTGAATTGAAAAATCCAACTAAATTGCTTTTATTTATTCATAAAATTTATTTGTTATATTAGTTTTGTTTTCAGTTTTTACTTTTTGTTTTATTTTTTTTAAAATAAGTTTTCTTGTAATTTAAATTCAATAAATTTTCTTCTAATTCGTTCCTTTTTTTTTCTTAATTACTTTTGGATTATAAAAATATCGTCAATTGTTTTTAAAATTAATTTTGATATTTTAAGAATAAAACTTCCTCTTGAGGAAGCAATCATCAAATATATCAATATTTTCATTGGAAAAAAATTTGTTTTTATAGAAATTGGACCAATTTGGAACTAAAAAGCCGCAGATGCAGAACAGTTTGCAGAAGAAAAACTTATTTGTCACACTTTTGGAAATCAACAGCTTTTTTTGAGATGAATGAAAATAATTTAAAAAAATTAAAAAGGTATTTAAAAATTATTTTTGATCCAATAATTAGCAAATTTTTTTAAATAATTAAATTATAAATTGTAATTTAATATTATAAAATTGAATATTTAGAAAGAGAAATAAAGTTGTAAAAAATAAAATTCAAAAATTAACAATTTTCTAAATAATTTAATTAGAAAAAATTGAATATTTAAAAAGAAATACTTTTTTTTTAAAAATATTTCAGTTACAAAAAAATTGAATGTTTAAAAACAATTGAAAATTTTTTCAGTTATAAAAATTTAAAAATAATTGAATTTCTTTTTCAAAATAGAAAATTGGATTCATTTTTTGGAAAAAAAATTGGATTCTTTTTTTTTTTTTTAGAATAAAAATGTGAATCCCTTTTTTTTCAAATAACGAGAGTCACGTCTCATTATTATGATTATTATTTTCCGTAGGGAATTTTTCAAATTCATTATCAAACTGACCGAGGTAATTCCACGCGAAGAGATGACCACATGGGATAAGGAAGAGGTAAAAGCGAGGATGAACAAAAATAAAGTGTATCGATGGGAAAATTGGTTGAAGAGAGAAACAAATATATTTACCGAAGAGAAAGAAGAAACATAAAAAAAAGAGGGTTGCAGAGGGGAAACGAAGAGAGCAAGCGGTGAACATATACGAGTGAGCGAATAGCTAAGAAAACAAGATATTGGGGGTGGGGTATTTGGAGAGAAAAAAAAAAAAAAGTAGAAGGAGAAGACTACGGACGACGACGACAACGACGACGATGAAGAAGAAGAAGAAGAAGAAGAAGTTGAAGGTGGTGGTTGGTTTGGAGGAGGAAAAGAACGAAGCCAGGAGAACCAGCCTCCGCCGCAAGTAACCACGTGTTCAGTATAGTAGCGCGTTATGACCCGGATGTTAGATTGCAGCTGCAGTTTCGCGAGAACCTGCCGACCCGGATGTCCCTCTCGACGTCGTTTAACCATCCTCCACTAATGTCCTCCTCCTGGTCATCGAAATATGTTCAATCGGTAAGTCCACGAGTTTATTTCCAATCAAAAATGTATTTGTTTTGCCCCCTTTTATTTCGATGTCATATTTAATTATTTTTATCCCAAAGACGCGTTTTTTCGCGAGTGTTGCCTTTATTTGGTGATTTAGTGGAAAAATTCGAAATTTTGGACATTATAAGCTTTATGGAGCTGGGGTGAGTAGAGTTGAAAAAAAAAAAAAAAAAAAATTCATTTCCTCGAGTTTCTCATTCAACAATTGTTCTTAGAAGGTAAAAAAAAAGGAAAGAAATTTTCATCTATTTTTTCTATTTATAATATTTAAATTTGCTGCTTTTTAAAATTTCTTTCCATTTATTTATTTATTTATTTTTTTTTTGTTTTGAAATGATTTGGAAAAAGTAAATTATATATGCAATCGGACAAAAAAATCTTTATTGTTCAAACGATTCTATTTTTTTTTCTTTGATAAAAAAGACAAATGTTTTTTTATATTGGAAAATCTAGTAAAATTTCTTATTGTCTATTAGAGAGATAGACCAAATATTTTTTTATTGGATTGATAAGAATGAAACTAAACAATATTTTTTTTTTTCCAACTGATTGTGGGAAAAGGAAAGGAAAGGAAAAAAAAAAGTTTCAGTTGAAAAAATAAAAAAAAAGATTTTCTAAAGAATCTTAAGAGTTGCTCGTTTAATTAATATTAACATTTTGGATCTGGAAAATAAATCTATAAATTTTCTGTTATAAATAATGGATAGGTAAACATTGACCATTAATCATGAATTAAACATGAAGTTATTTATTCCTATATGTATATATATATATATATATATATATATATATATATATATATATTCGTTATCGTTTACTCTGAAATTCCCATAAACTGAAAGTTATTTTTTCAACTTATATTTAAAGTTCAAATCTTAACAATCTTATTTTCAATATTTTAAATTAATTACTAGAATAAATTTCGCCATTTTTTCAGATTTATTAAAATTTTTTTTTTATTAAGATAAGATTAAATTGTTATTGTTAATTATATGTATTTCTAAGGCATTAAAAATTGTATTCTTTTTTTGTTAATTACTGTTTAATGCAATTTTTTTGTAAAGAATGAAAAAATTGCGAAATTAATAATAATTTATTATGTAATTAATGTGATATTATTAACAATGTGAATTAGCATCATAACGAGTGATAATATTGACTTTTGCTTGAAGGATAGATGCGAGCAAGTCGACGAAAGGTGCGAGCAAATTACGAAGGGACCTGATAAACGCAGAAATCGCGAATCTACGTGATCTTCTGCCTCTTCCGCCTTCAACGCGACAGAGGCTCTCTCAACTTCAACTTATGGCATTAGTTTGTGTCTTTTTACGTAAAGCCAACTATTTTCAGCACGGTGAGAAAGACATTTTTTTTTTTTTTAATTAATTAACATTCATTTTTTTTTTTTTTTAATTTAGAAATTGGAAAAATTTTACTAAAAACAATTTTGTCGTTAAGATTCAAAAAATTTTAATATTCAAGATTTAAGAAAGTTAAATTTAATTTAAAAAACTTGATTTAAAAAATTTATTTTTAATTTAAAAAATTTAATTTTCTAAATAGAAAAATAGCGTAGAATTGAAAATATTTTAAAAATTCTAAAATTAGAAAAAACCAAGGAACAAAATACAAGTTATCAAAATGTTCGTAAAATATAAATATAAAAAAAATTATCTTCATTTTTACCTTCGCATAAAAATTATTTTACTTTTATTATTGATTTATTTTACTATTTATTTTATTTAAAATAAAAATTTACATTTAAAATAAGTAATAAATAAAATAAATAGTAAATAAAATAAATAATAAATAAAATAAACAATAAAGTAAATAATAAATAAAATAATAAAATGCTCGAATAAATAAAATTTTAAATAACAAACTAAAATGACAAAAACCCCGGGGGGAAGGGGGTTAACAGGAATACCTTGATTTAATATAGATTTTAAAAGCATTGTTCCATTTGAGTACAATGTGTCCTCTCACAGTAAAATGAGGTTCATTTTTTTTTTATAGAAAAAATATTTTTCTTTTTTACCCTCCCGCAAAAGTTTGCAATATATATATATTGGTTTTTGTATCTCATTCTATCTTTGTGTTTCATGTAAGAAAAAAATATCGTTTACTTGTGGCGTAAGAACAATAGAAAGTACAATCTGTTTCAAAAGTGGCTTGGGGGTGCCCATGTATCAAGAGAGAAAGAGAGAGAGAAAACATTGGGTCACGAATCAAAAGATTATGAATTCAAATATAACCCCGGCTTCTCGATTACGTGGAAAATTTCATTTTTTCGTTTATTTATGTACATATACGAATATTAATATTGGTCGATAAAAAAAAAATTTTACCATTTAAAAATAAGTAGACAAAAAAAAGAAATCGAATTATTAGTCCAAAAAAAAAAAATGGGAATTAAAACGAAATAATTTTTTTTATTTTTATTAGCTATCAAAAAAATTGAAATTAAAACGGAATTTGTTTTTTATAAACGAAATAATTATTTCGTTTTTATTTTCTTTTTTTTTATTTGCTACCAAAACAAAAATATGGGAATTAAAACGGAATTTGTTTTTCAAAAACGAAATATTTTTTACGTTCAACTAATAAATTTTACTTATTCAAATTTTTTTCGGTAGGATAAGAATGGGAATTAATATTTTTTTTTTTTGAAAATTACGTTAAAATATGCATAGTCGAATTTCTATTCTCTTCTTTTATAAATATATTTATATTATTATAAACCAGTGTTGTAAGTTCTGGTTTCGATTTTCTCCCCTGTCATTATGAAATATTTCACATCCACTTCTTACAATGGATAAAATGACGCTGAATTATTATAAGTACTTGGTATTTCACTTCAAGCTCCTTATCCTTAAACGCCGATTCTATAAAACCCACAAAGGTTTCGTAGTAGTCTCATAATGAAAGTTTGATGTGGAAAAAAAAAAAAAAAAATTGTTTCCACCAAAGTGCAGCCATTTACAATGTTACAACATTATTCTTGAGAGACGCGAGGAGAAGAAAATATTGACTGTGTCGATTATCCTTGATTCTTAGCGGCGGACAATTTGATTTAGAAAATAATTCCTTTTGCCTCGCGAGGCACATATATCGCGATTTTTCCGTACATTGATCCTTAACATTAGAAATCGATATAAAAAATCTCAAGTCAATATTTAATTTCTTTTTTGTTCATTAAAATTTAATTTTTTAAAATATTTTTTTCCCAAAAAATCTCAAATTAGAAATTTAATTATCAAAGTAAAAAAATTTGAATAAAATAATTATTTTTCAAATTGCAATTTATAAAAATTGGGGAATTTTTTTTATTCTAATTTTTATTTTAGAGATATTTTTTTGGAATGTAAAATAAAAATTAGAAAAACAAAAAAATAATAATAATTTGATAGAGGAAACGATATAATAGACTAATATATAGAAATTGGTATATTATAATTGAACGTAGTATAGAGAATATAGACGAGACCAGACATAAGGTAAAGGCAAGAAGGTAAGAACCGCGGGCGCGTTCAAACTCCGCGAAGTCTAAGCGCGAGTTCCGGGTGATCCGCTGACCTCTCGGCCTCTGCAACAACACTCTCACGCTCCTGTAACCCATACTCCCCCTTATGTCCCCTTCATTCTGCCTCCCTCTGTTCCCTCCCACCCTATCTTTCTCCATAGGGGACTATGGTATCTCCCATAGTGTGCCCTCCTACCGCGATGCAAAATCCAAGCGCCAACGGAGCATTGCATTCTTCGTGAAAAGTTTTCCTAAGCGCCAACCTCTTATATATCGACGAAAATTTAAAAAAAAAAAAAAAAGAAAACTTAAATTTTTTTTCCCCTCCTTTTTTTGAATTGTAGAATTTTCTAAAAAGATTTTCGAAATTTTCCCGAGGGACTGATACTGAAAATGATACTAAAAGAAATAAATTTTTTTCCCTTTTTTTATAATTGTAGAAAATTTTTGATAAAGATTTTCGAAATTTTCCCCAGGTACTGATACTGAAAATGTTTCAAAAGAAATAAATTTTTTCCCTTTTTTTATAATTGTAGAATTTTTGATAAAGATTTTCGAAATTTTCCCCAGGGACTGATATTGAAAATGATACTAAAAGAAATAAATTTTTTTCCCTTTTTTTATAATTGTAGAATTTTTGATAAAGATTTTCGAAATATTCTCCAAGGACTAATATTAAAAATATAACTAAAAGAAAAAAAAAAAATTTCCTTTTTTTTTTAATTGATAGAATTTTTTATAAAGACATTCAAAATTTTCTCCAGTGGCTGATACAAAAAATGATACTAAAAATAATAAATAGTAAAAATTTACTTAAAAACAATGGAAAAAAATTTTCTGTTTGGAGTTACCTTTTTTCGATTTAATTTTTTTCGGTAAATATTTTTTTCACGAAAATGAATAACGATTTTTTTTTTAAGGAGCGAAAAAAATTTGAAAAAAATGGTATTTGTATTATTATTTAAATAGAAATAGAAAATAATTAAAAATTTACTTAATTGAAAAATTGAATTTAATATTGAAAAATATTTTTTTATGTTTCAGCCCTGAAAAGCAGCCCCGCGGATTCGTCAAATATCCCGACACCCAATATAGGATTTTCCAAAGTAAGTAAAGAATAGCAAAAAAATGAAGAAAATTAATTTTTTTATTTTTAATAATTAAAATAAAATAGAAAAGATTTCTAATGTAGTGATAATAATAATTATTATATTATATTAGGAAGAAAATGAATTCGTCTTGAAAATACAAAAAATAAAATCAAAAACTACTTTTTTTGTGTAATTTTGAGAAAATATTTTCTAGAATTGCGAAATTGTAAGAATTTATTTTTTTTGCCATTCTTTGTAATATTGAATTACAGTTAAAACTAAAGTGCATTTTCTCTGATAAAAAAAAAAGAAATATATATCTACATTTTTCAGGCCATGTCTGGGTTTATTATGATGATGACGCAACAAGGCAAACTACTGTACATATCTGAAAATGCTGCTGAATACCTTGGGCACTCTATGGTAAAAAAAAACGTAAAGATTGTTTTTCTACATACGCAAAATAATAATTAATTCATCGCAATTCTTTTTTTTTTTATTCGTTTATTAATTAAATATTCGTTTCTTCTTTCTATTTTAAAATCAGTTGATTTAATTTCAAATTTCATTTTTTTTTTTGTTTAATTCATTGATTTTCATCTAAGGAGATATTTTTTAATTAATATAATTATAATTTTATTAATAATTTTAATTTAAAAAAAAAAATTATATCTTTAATAAAAGAAAGTCAGTGGATTGACACATATTAAATAATTTCATATTAGATTTCTTTTATAATTTAAATTTTATTTTGAAGGAGGACCTCTTGATTCATGGAGATAGCGTTTACGACGTGATCGATAAACAAGATCATATGACGGTGCAAAATCAATTGGCTCGAAATAGTCCAACGGCCGATGACAAAAGACTCTTTCTCTGTCGAATTAACGTGTCACGAAATTCTCGTCGACAACTACGATTCGGCGATCAAAAGGTTCGTTATCAAAATAAAAAACATTTCTTTTTATTGTAGAACTCAATTACGCTTTTTCTATTATTTTACTATTATTTTTATTATTATTATTTTATATTACAATTATTATTAAATAATAGTAATAATAATAAAATAACTAACTTTTGGTTGTTTGCTTTTTTAAAATTAAGTTTTAATTTTTATTTTCAAATTATTTGTCTTTGTTTTCTTTAATTTTTAAATTTAACTTTTACTATTTCTCTTTCTCTCTTTTTCTAATAAATTTTCTTTTTAATTTACATTTTTTATAAAAAAGAAAGTGTAAATTAAATAAGTGTAAATAATATTTACACTTTCTTTTTATGAAAAATGTAAATTAAAAAAAAAATTAAATTATTTTACTTTCTTGAATATTTTTTTTTTCTTTCGTTTGAGAAAAGATGGGATTGTTTTCTTACTTGAAAAAAAATAAAATGAAGATTAAATTTTTTGAAAAGAAGAGGAAAAAAAAAGAGTGAGTGAGGGAGAATTTGGCTTTTATATTTTGTAGAGAATAGAATGCTTTGTATATATTAATATTGCGGGAAGAATAAATGTCTCTCTTTCTCTCTTATTTCTTGTTTCTCGCTGGAATGTTGTAACCGCTATATTGCTACGGCGACGAATTACGCGTAAATAAGCATGCTGCCGGGATTGCTAATCTTCCACGTTCTGATTGGAAAAAGTAAAAGCTTCGCACTGTCAGAATCCATTATGTATATATATATATAAATTTTTACAATATATTCATACTCGTTTCATTCATTTCTTTATAACAGACATTCGGACAAATTTGGTTTTCTCTTTAAATCTGACTTGATCCGCAATGAAGTATTATTTAATCCTTATGCAAATAATCTCTTTTATACAAGAATAACTCCTTCCGTTCTATCATTCATTTTTATAGTATTACGACTATTATTTATTTTTTTTTTTTTATTTTTATTTATTTTAATTACCTAAAAGACGGTATTTTTATTTAATAAAATTATTTATTAATTAGATTAGATTTATTTTCTCCATTGTATAGAATTTTTTTCCCTCAAACTAAAAAAAACTAATAGTGAATAAATATAAAGTAAATGACAAAATTGAAATACGAAATTAAAGTATAAATTATTTAATATTTATTATTTAATAATTATTGTTTAATATTTAATAAAATTGTACAAATTATTATTAGATTGGAAATTTTTTCGACACTTATTGAATGTGGAAAGGTTTTTTTTTTCGATTTAAATTAATTATTTAGTTGAAGTAATAAATTTTGAATTATATATATAATTATTGTAATTAATTAATTTATTGTATTCTAGGTTGTTTTGGTGGAGGGCCATTATTTGCCATTTGTGCCACTTTGTAATCGTAATGAATCAGTTTTTTTGGCTTCTTGTACCCCAGTGGTTCTTCCTGAGACAAGAGAAAGTGTCGTTCAAGGCGCCACGAATATTTTTACCACCATTCATTCAATGGACATGAAGTATCTTCACATTGATAAAACGTACGCGGTATTTATTAATTTTGCAACAAAAATTATCATTAATTAATTTCAAAAATTCTTATTTATTTAGAATTAAGAAAAAAAACTGGAAATCAGAAAGAAAACAGAATTTTTATTTTTAAAAAACCTGATTGAAATTTTATATTTTTAATTAATTGAAATTGTTTTCAATCAGGAAATGGGAATTTAATTTTTTCTACAAAAGTAGATCGATTTTAATTTCTTTAATTTTGATTTTTTATTTCTAATTTAGTTACTTTAGGTGAAATAATTTATTTTCATTTAATTTTTTTTTTGTTTTGATTTATTTTTCCCATTTTGTACTTATTACGAAGTTTTACAAATTTTTTTTCCTGAAAACTTAAAAAAAACTAATAATTTAGTTTATTAGTTATAAATTATATTACTTATAAATTACATTAGTTTAGTTACTTTAGCGTAAATATTACAAATAATTTTATTGGCGAATAATTCTAATTTAATTAAGAATTTCTTCTTTTTTTTTTTTTGCGAAAAAAGTGCAGAAAGTCATATGGAATATAGTCGTTCTGAGCTGGTCGGTGTTTCCTGGTACAATCTTCTTCACTGGGATTGCATACGAACAGCTTATTGTAAACATCAAACTGGTAATTAATCACATATTACAAAAAATCAATTTCAAAAATTAGTATTAAATTTTAAATTAATTTAAAAAAAAATCCAAAATTGGATTCACAGTCATTCAATCGGATCAAGAGCGTTCGAGTACAGCATTATTGAGGCTACAAAATCGTTCCGGGAGATGGTTTTGGATACATTGTGTTCTTCAAGTCAAAGATAGTTCTGAAGAGTGTCAGCATCCCATTATTGTTTGCACCAATCAAGTATTAAGGTAGAAAAATTTCGATCCGAAAAAATTACTAAATTTTATCAAATTTTTTGTTTCTTCAATTATTTATGTAATTTGTTTCAATTTTTTTATATATATATTTTTTTTTTGAAATTTATTTTTTATTTGCAGCGAAAAAGAGGCGGAAGTGATGCGAGCGAGTACCTGGCTCTATCAGTATTCATCCCAATCGAAGTTTACCTATGGTATTTGTCCAACAGGACAAAATCAAACAATTCCCTATTCGCATCATCATCATCATCATCATCACGATTATGTGAGATCGAGTTTTATTCCCGAATCAGAATCGTCGCCATCGTATCCAATTGAAGAATCGTGGAAGGATCGTCCTGTTAAATCTGAGGGCGATTATGTAATGCCAAAATGTGGAAGATTAACAAGCGAAGAAGCTGAACCTGTTGATATGTCAATTAATAGTTCCACGGAACATGAGAATAGAATTCTTCATCATTCGCTTGTTCATTCGTCATCATTAAATTTTACTCCAAAATCACATCATCATCATCATCATCATCATAAGGTACAACAACAAAAATGTTTGACAAATTCTGTTTATAGATCGAAATTAACACATGTTCCTAATCAATTTACAACTGGCGATACGAATAAGTATAATATCATTGATTTGGATAAAGGACATGTGGAGGGTTGCGATAATAGAAATTATTCTCATAAGCGATTGGTGGTGAAACCATTGCCACAAATGACAGAACCAACCGATTCTGTCGAACATTGGAGCTCGAGTCCATTATGGTCCGATACTTTGCAAAGGGTACCCGATGTTGTTCACCAGGTTGGTTTCAATTCAGATTCACAAATTATTCAATTTTTTAAATTTTACTTTTTATTTTCTATTTTAGTATTTTTTTTTTTTTGTTTTTTAATTTAATTTTTACCAAACGACAATATTTCGATAAATTAGTTATTTATTTACTTTTATAAACTGGTAAAAAATACTCAATTTTCCCGTAATTTTCTCCTTTTAATTTCTGAAAATTGATAAAATTCTCGATTTTCCCCTTTACATTGTACAGATATTTTTTTAAATTGAATTTTCCTTTATTTTTTTTTTTTATTTATTATTTTTATGAACTAAATTTTAAATTATTATATTTATTCTATTGTTTTTCATTGCTTTTCGCAATTAAATCAGTATAATTATGAGCGAATTTTAAAAATTTTTGTTATTAGGACTTGAGTCCCTATATAACTACCCCAACTACTCCGGCTGATACTCCGGACTCGGAGTTACATTCGGATGCGCCTGTGTTCAATTTTGACTGGACTGGAGAGCAGCATGTGCCAAATCTGAAGATCTTCCGCAACACTAACCATGAAACGAGAAAAACTCATGACGTTCAGCCGATAACTCTTCAGCTTCCGAAAAAGAAGAATCATTCTGAACAGTCGAGAGATTTTTCCAAGTGAATAATAGAAAAAGGCTTTAGATTGTTTTTTTTTCCTTTTTTTTTTTTAAGGAAAATTTTCTAAATTTTCTAAATACCCTACATCGAGCCTAATTCACGACTCTATTAACAAAAATTAATGGAATTCAATTCAAGTAAGAGTCTATTTTAATATATAATTTATTTTATTTTTTTTTTAAATTTAAGTTAAAACTATTAATTTAAATTTAGAAAGATTTTTTTTATTAATGTTTTTAAGTTTTTAAATTTGCAAAATTTATTATTTGTATATATTATTTTAAATGATAGATACAGATAATTAATTTTAAATAATATTTCATTTTAAATGAAAAAAAAGGGTTGAATCCTTAAAATTTTTTTCTGGAAAAATTAATTTCATTTGAAAAGAACTCTTCAGTTTTGGTTTGTAGTTAGAAAATTTTCATCATCGTCGAATTAGTTTTCACTTTTCACAAACAAAAGTTGTTAAAGAATTTTAAAGCTTTTTATTTTACAAAAGAAGTAAATCAATAAAAATATTTTATTAGTCAAATTTTCTACAAAATTAACATAAAATACTGAATAAAGTATAAATAAAAATTAAATTGAAACATTAAAATAAAAGCGAAAATTTGTTTTGTCTCCTTAATAAAAAAGAAGATTAATTAATTCAATGTTTAGAATTCAAAAAATATTTTTAAAATTAAAAACTATGATAATGAAAAGAATTAAAAAATTATAAAACTAGTAATTAGAATAAAATTGAATTGAAATTGAAAATTTCAAATATTCTTTAAACGTAAGATGAATTTTCAATTGTTGCCTTTGTTTTTAGATTCGAAATTTTGAGATTCTTTAACGAATTTTGTAATCGAAACCGCGAGTGAACAATTTTTTCCGATAATTTTTTTAGTTTATAGATAGTAAAGACAATAAAAGTAGTTAAAACAGATATTAAAATAATTACTGTAAATATACGAAGCGAAATTCAATTCAACAAATTGAAAAAAAGTATTTTGATTTTCAATACAAAGTTGAAAAAAATTCTCAAAATTCAAGATTATGGGAAAATTTATTACAAATATAGATAATTAAATTGTAATTAAAAATTTTTTTCAATTAATAATTTAATTTGAAATATAATAATGAATTTCATAAATACGCTTTACAATTTGCTGTTAAGATTTACGTCGTATATATTTAAATAAAAAAAAAAAAAAAAAAAAAAAAAGTAGAAAAGTGCTGCAAATACAGAAAAATCATTTTTGTATTTTATAAATTTAAAAAAGTCAATCAGTATTTTATTTTTACGTTATTTAAATTATAAAGTTGAATATATAAATGATATCTACGAATTAATATTATTTTAAATAAAAAGAAAAACTATTCTGCTTTTTATCATCATCATTATCATCAAAATAATTTAATTAATACCCAAGAAATTAATTATTTAAAATTTCATTATGAAAACGAATTAATAATTCACTAAAAATTAAAAGATTAACAAAATGCAATTGCGACAATATAAATATAATAATAAAATAATATTTTATGCACGCTCAATATCACATGAAAATTTTATTCAGTAAAATTGTATTTTTAGATAATATAAAAAGAGAATGACATATGAGAAAAACTACTTTTATAGAGAAAAACAGTGTACATTATGATGACAGCCAGTAAACTCTTGATGGATAGCATCTCTTGAGGGTGAAAAAAAAATGGCTTTTTTTTCTTACTTTTAACATCTCATCGTCTAGACAACTATTGCTCCCCAAAAAAAAAGAAACGATAGATTTAATTTTCCTAAAATTTAATTTTTGAGTAAACAAAATTATAGGATTAAATTAAATTTATCGAAATTTTGAATAAAATTTTATATTTTAATTTTTAGAAAATGAAATATTGAATTTTCGTTCAAGTTTTTTTTTTTTTTTTTTTATTTTTCAGAGTGAAAAAACTCTCTTAACAAAATTGGGAATATTTTTTGTACTATGGGAATTTTTACTGAGACAACATAATTTTTCCTTTTAGAAATGAAAAGCACTCGGGGTCATTTATAAGGCGGGGAATCTTGCTTCTGCTTTTACTGCCTCTTAGCACTTCACCGTTTGACCCCTTTTAAACTTCTTCAGCCCCATTTCTTTCTCGTTGCTCACGTAAATGCTCTCGATAGTCTTTATAATTTTTTTTTTTTTTTTTTTACCTCCCTTTTTTCACCCACACAACTTTAATCGATTTTCCGCACTTTTCCCTCTTCAGAAATAGAGAAAAAAAAACAATTTTTTTTTTATTTTTATTTTCCAATAAATAAAAAAATTTTCTTTTTTTCTATTGGAAATTTTTTTTTTCGTTTTTAATTAAAAAAGAAAAGACTAGAATATAAATATATAATATTTTTGAGGAGTTGAGAGACAGAAAAGGAGAAAAAAGAGAAAAATTCAAGACCCTGTTAATCTTCTCTTTAAAGTCAGAAGAGCATTTTTCCTAATGCTCGAGGTACTCTTGATGAAATGAATGCGGCAACAGAGAAACAAAGAGAAATTAAAAAAGAGAAAGGGGGAAAAAAAAGAGTGAAATAAGTGCAGCATGTAAATATAATAAATGGGGTCGGAAGCAGTGAAACGATCATTCAAGGGTCAGAAAAAAAATAGAAGAATACATCTAATATTTTTATATCCAATTTTTTTTTTTTTTCGAAAGAAAAAAATAATTTAATATTGTTCATTCCCAGGACATTCAAAGGTTAATTAAAAAAAAAAAGGCAAAAAAATATTTTTTTAAAAAATTCTTTTTCTATACAGTGTCTCATTTTAACTTATCGAAATAATTTTTTTATTTGATTTTAGAAAAAAAAAAATTTTTCCGACTTTTTATCGAAAAAAATAATTTTTTTTTCTAAAATCAACTGATAAAAAAATTATTCCGAATTAAAATAGAATCACTCGGTATATATATTTTTTAATATCACGAGACAAATGTCTCTCTTATATAGCTCCCAACTTGACTTTTATCTGAATTTTTTAACAAGTTCCTCGAGAGCGAAAGAAACAATGGAGAATGCTAATTTAAAAAAAATTAAACATTAAAAAACGATGCGAAGTATAAAAATAGAATGAAAATGGTTTTTTTTTTGTTTTTTTTTTTTTTTTCTTAAGACAGATTTCGTTTATTTTTTTTTCGGTTTAAAAATTGGACTTAGCCTCGTTTTTTTTTCACAGCGAGACTATTTTTAATTAGAAAATTTTTTTTGGGGGGGGGGGGGGGTAAATGAACTTAAAAAACAATCTTTTGCTTAAACGAGATATAGAATCGCTCGTTTTTTAAAATTCATTTCTTTTTACAATTTTTTCCCCTCAAATGCATTTACAGTGGATCAGTTTTTTTTTTTTTTGCAAAAAATTATTTTTCGAAATTTAATTTTTCTTTTAAATAACGAATTTTTATTTAACAGAATAATTATAATTTAAAAAAAAAAAAAAGAAATAAAAAAAATTGAGCTGTAAATGCATCTCGATCATTATAAACTGGACTCACAATTTTTAAGAGTAGGCGTTTCTTGTTATTATTTTAATTTTTATTATTAATTATAGAAACTTTGGCGATAATTTTTTTTAGAGACATAGTTTCTGAAATATTGAGACAGAATTTAATAGGCATATAATTTTTTTTAACGCCTATCTTTAAAGTGAAATTCAGATAACGATCGGATATAAAGGTCCATTTGCGCAGAGAAATAAGCAGACTGTGTGTATGTGTATTTGTAATCAGAGAAAGTGGGCCTCAAACTTTTTGGCTGACAGGTCAAAAGTTCGAAATGGACCGTAAACTTTGGAGCCCATCGATCTCGATATAAATTGCGCTTCGAACTGTCGATAGAGTTGACCTAATTCATATTGTAAAGAGAAAGAGAGAATTGTCTCCATGAAACTATGATGGTGATCATTTTTTTTTTTTCCATTATTATTGTGACGCAATCAATTAATTCCTCATTTTATTTACAATAAAATTTCAAATTATCATCATCAAGAAATTTGAGGCATTTATTTATTTTTTTGTTCTCAATAATTAATAATTATTATTTTGACAATACAATTGTTTTTTTATTCTATAATTTTATTTTTGTAAATAATTATTGATGAACTGTTTTTTTTTTTTTTTGTAATTATAAATTGATTCTTTTTTTTCGTAAATTTTCACTCATAATTCGTAATTCATAAATATAAATTAACAAACAATGTTATTTGTTAATTTATGATTATGAATTTAATTAAATTACGATTTATTGAAAATTAGTTTTCTACAATGAAGAATATTTTTATTAATAATATCGAATAAAGGTAGAAAATGGCAATCGTCTCAAAGTGACACTAGTTTTATTCTGATGGACATGAAACTCGATATGAAACTAATTAGTTTTGTATCGAATTTCATGTCTGCGCGAATAAAAAAAAACTTAAGTGGAATTTACTTCTGACATGATTTTTCGATACAAAACCTTTATTTCTGATATTCGCGTTTCTTCTATTTTTTTTTTTTTTATCGAATTCATTAATTTATACAGGAATAAAATTCCGTTTCGAAAAATGAATAATTGAAATCAAATAATTATCAAACGAATATTGGGAGGATATTTTATAATTGTTTGGAAATATTTTTTCTTAGAAAGAAAAATCCAAAAAAAAATTTTTTTTAATTTTCAATTTTTTGCAAAAAGGAAAATTTATCTCCCAAATTGAAATCACACAGTCTACTTTTTCTCTGGCCCTCATTTTTTTTTATTTATGAATAATATATTTCGTAAAAACAGTTTTTTTTTTTGTATAATATACGTATGTTTCTAACAATTAATGCCACTCAGCTCTAATCAATTCTCGCCGTGCTCCAAAGGGCTCAACAATATTACTTTGAGTGTGACCCGTTTTGTATTTTTCGTTTTTTTTTCTTTTTTTTTTTCTTTTTTTTTGTCTTCTCTTATCGACTTATAATAATATTTTGTTTTTTAAATAAGCCTCTTTTCATTCCCTGGTACGTTATAGATAAACGTCCTTTTCTCTAGACTACTTATCATTCTACACATTCATTGCTCAGTTTTTTTTTTTTATGGGTATCTTAATTACAAGTTTTTAAAATTTTTTTTTCGTTAATATAAAACACGTATATAAACATAGACTGAGTACATCGGTGTTTACAATATTATTTATAACTACCCTTTATTTTTTTTTAAAAAAATCGCGCACGTTACATACGTTTCATCGTATACGTGTGTGCGAATTTGTTCGTGCTTTTTTTTGTGTATATATGAAAAGGAGAATGCCAATTTTTTTTTCTTTAATTTGAAAAATCGATTTCTGAAAATTAATATTGAAAATAAAATTATTTAGATATAGAAATTGTTGAAAAAAGCTCGAAAATTCGATCAATCTTCAAATTTCTCGCTCCTGATTGTCATTGCGAATAGATTTTTTTTTTATTGTAATTCTACTTCTAATTTTAATTATTATTCCATCTGGAAATAATAATTGCAGGGGGAAATAATTTTACAAAATTAAGAGAATCTAAAATAATAATATAATTTAATTTTTTTTAAATTGATAAAAAAAAATATTTTTTAAAACTTTTTTAATTATTAAATTATTGAGAAATTTGAAAAATGCTTAAAATTATTAAGAATTATAGAGAAATTATATATTAATAAAATGTGAAAATAGAAAAAGAAATTACACGTCAATTTTTTTTATCAGATATCGATTTTTCTAAACTTCCAATATAATTCCCAGCATCCTCCCTTTTATGTCTTCGTTTCCCATTGTGCGTGGAGAGACATGAGGACCCTTGTCAGAAAAATCATTTACAAAAAATTCAAAATCTATTTAAAAACAGTTTTTTTTTTAAAAAACTGTTTTTGCAAATTTTAACAATAATAGTGTTTTGGCTCAATTCAATACACTATTTTTAATTTTACTGAAAACAAAAAATATTTCTAAGCCAGAAAAAAAATAAATATCGAAAAATTAAATATTTATTATAGTAATTTATTATTTTTTTATAATAAATATAAGAAATATTTTTAAAAAATTAATTTTTCCAACAAGGGGACAAAAGTGTTTTTGTTTATTTATTTATTTTTTCTGTGTTGTGTAAAAAGTGCTTTCACCAAATTACAATAAAAAATTGCAAAATGAGAAAACACTCTTAAAAAATTTTCGTTTCTCGATCGTTCGATTGGTATTTTTTTTTTTTTTAAATTCAGAAAATTAAATGTTTATTTGCGAAAAAATGTTTTTTTTTCAAATAAACATTTACTGAATTCCACCTGGGAAAATCGTTAAGCCAAGCTTAATTTTTCTTCTTTTTTTTATTAATATATTAATATTATATATATTAATAAAAATCCAATTTACGAGATTGTTATACAATGATACAATATATTACAATAAATAATGTTTACAAATATTTTTCCTCGGCGGAATTCAGTTATTTTGTTTCTCTCTCTTTTTTTTGTCGAGATCACTAATCTATGAAACAAGCAATTATGCTTCATCTATTTTTTTCTTTTTTTAATTATATTTCTTTGGTTTCGCTTTTTTTCTCGTTTTAAACTGGAAATCTCTACGTTTTTTTTTCTTTTTTTTTTTTTTTTTTTATTCGTCGATATCTTTTTTTAAAGCTTTGTTTGGCACGTATAATTAGAATGTCATTCAGTACGGAAGCATTCGATTCTCTGCGTCGTTTTTATTAAATTTTTTTTTAAAAACCCTTTCCCATTGTCTTCCCATCGCTATATATTTTTTTTTATCTCCCTTCATCACTATATACCTATATAGAACATTCATTTACGATTTTCTTACTACTTCTTAAAATTAGAAAAAAGTCTTCCGTTTTTTTTTTTTTTCGAAAAAGAAAAACTCGCGATTCGAAACATTTCTAACTATATATTTTTAGGAATTTCTCCGAGTAAATATTTTGTGCGGTTTTTTTTTTTTAATTTTATTTCTCGTGCCTCAAATATTGTGAAAAAAAAATGAAGAACTGCGGATTTTGAAAAATATTCTTTTTAAAAAATCCAATCGGGAATTTAAATAAAAAGTGTCTTTCTACTTTTTTTGTTATCTAGCGCGCAGACTTCTTTGGAGGCACAAAATACAATGTTTTGAATTTCACTTTTTTAAGAAATCCAAAAAAAAAGAGACTGAAAAAATTCGTAGCAGTCTTTTTTTTTTTTTTTTTGTTGGCAAAAGAAAAAATTGAATTTTTTTTTTTCACCTGCCACCTTAAAGAGGAATATAAAATGAACCCCTTGAAATTTTTTCAATAGCCACGATTCATTGCAGTTCTATTTCGACTATGCCACTTGCACGTGAGAATCCTGACGTAGGTACGACGAAAATTCGCGTTACACAATGCATAACACACTGGATTCACTGTACTATTAATATAACAAAGATAATAGCACAAATCCCACATTTCCTGTGGTATACAGTCTGTGCATGCGGCAAGGGGTTTTAATAGAACAAGAATATTATAAGGTGTCCAGGTGATGATAAAGGCAAGGAGAATTGCCGATAATGTTTTAGCCGCTTTTTTATCAGCCTTTTTCTCCTGTGTTTTCTTTTTTTTCTTGACTGGTGGCTTTGAACCAATACCTTTATTACCACCACCTGTTGTTAATGTTTTTGGAACATTACGAGCATTCAATGGTATTCTAATGTCAGGTATATGCGATGGTCGTCGAATTATTGACGATGGACTCGCCAGCGAAGTCTCTAAATTCAATACTTTTCCCTTATCCTGATGACGACCCTCAACTGCATTATGAACACTGAATGTCATCACTTCGTCGTGATACATTTTTATACTTGGACCCTCATTTCCAAAACGTCCTCCGTCCTCCTTTGTTGGCAAACGAATCAGTATTGTGTAGACCTTAAAAAAAAAATTACAAATATTTATTAACTTTTTTTAAATTAAATTCATTTAGAAAACAAAATCTACAATTCAATTGTCTTGAAAACAAATTTTTGTAAATGAATTTTTAATTTCTAAAATTGTTATATTTGGAAAAATAAAAATTAATTTTAATTTAGAAAGCGTCCAGTAATTAAATAAATTAATGATAAATAATTGAATTAATTATTATTAACAATAAAATTAAAACAATTTAATTATTGGAAACAAATATTTTTTTTTTGTTAATTTTCTTTACAAAATACAAACATTTTTTATGCGAAACTTCTTAATTACTGTTATCTAGTATTATTAAATAAACATTTGCTAAAATAATGAATAATTATTCGTTTTAAAAATTTGTTTATTAAATTTTTTTTTTATAAATTTTTTGGTTTTTTTAAAATTAATTTTAAATTGAAACATTTTTAAAACACAAATTTAATATCTGAAATTTAATTGGAGATTAAAATTAATAAATTATAAAATACTAAAATTAACCTACGAAATTTTATTAACTTTTTTAATTAATTAAATTCATTTATGAATTTAGATAACAAAACCTACAATTTAATTGTCTTGATTTTTAATGAATTTTTAATTTTTAATTTCTAAAATTGTTAAAATTGGAAAAATATAAGAAAATTAATTGATTAATTTGGAAAACGTTCAATAATTAAATAAATTAATAATAAATAAAAATAATTTAATTAATTATTGTTAAAAACAAAATTAAAACAATTTAAATAATTTAGTAATATTAAATAAAAAATTGTTAGAATAATTAATAAATATTTTTAAAAATTTGTTTATTAAAATAACAAATATTTATTAACTTTTTTAAATTAAATTCATTTATTAATTTAGATAACAAAACCTACAATTCAATTGTCTTGAAAACAAATTTTTGTAAATGAATTTTTAATTTCTAAAATTGTTAAATTTGGAAAAACAAAATTAATTTTAATTTAGAGAGCGTCCAGTAATTAAATAAATTAATGATAAATAATTGAATTAATTATTATTAAGAATAAAATTAAAACAATTTAATTATTGGAAACAAATATTTTTTTTTTGTTAATTTTCTTTACAAAATACAAACATTTTTTATGCGAAACTTCTTAATTACTATTTTCTAGTATTATTAAATAAACAATTGCTAAAATAATCAATAATTATTCTTTTTAAAAATTTGTTTATTAAATTTTTTTTTATCAATTTTTTGGTTTTTTTAAAATTAATTTTAAATTGAAACATTTTTAATACACAAATTTAATATCTGAAATTTAATTGGAGATTAAAATTAATAAATTATAAAATACTAAAATGAATCGAAAAAAAATTAACCTACAAAATTTTATTAACTTTTTTAATTAATTAAATTTATTTATGAATTTAGATAACAAAACCTATAATTTAGTTGTCTTGAAAATTTTTGTAAATGAATTTTTAATTTTCAAAAGCTGTTAAATTTGGAAAAACATAAGAAAATTAATTTGATTAATTTGGAAAATGTTCAATAATTAAATAAATTAATAATAAATAAAAATAATTTAATTAATTATTGTTAAAAACAAAATTAGTACAATTTAAATAATTTAGTAATATTAAATAAAAAATTGTTAGAATAATTAATAAATATTTTTAAAAATTTGTTTATTAAAATTTTTTTTTTTTAATTAATAGAATTGGAACTCTTTTAAAATACAATTTAATATTTTAACATGTGGAATTTAAATTGGAGAGTAAAATTAATAGTGAATTAAATTAAATAAGTCGAAAAGAAATTTTTTGCTAATAAAAACAAATTTAAAAGTGTATATTTATAATCGAGATTTCGATTTATATTCAATTAATTTAATTGATTTGGAAATTAACAGAAAAATTTAATTAAATTTATTGAATCTAAAAAATTCATTTCAATTTAATTAGAATTAAAAATTCATTTAATCACAAGTCAGAAAAATATGAATTAGAAAAGGGAAATAAGGCAAATATTTTTTTCGGGGGGGTTTTTTCCGCTTGTATTTACAGAATCAAAGTGGATGAAAGGTTTTGTGGAATTACTTGACGTATATCAATATAAAACGATGAGAGAGAGAGAGAGAGAGAAAGAGAAAGAGAGAAAAATGGGGAAAATAGCATTCACATCATCAGAATACTTTTATCCGTTTTTCTACTTTATTCATCTTTTTTTTTTTTTTTTTTTTTTTTTTTTTTTTTTTTTTTTTTTGCCCTGTAATTTCACTGTTCTTCATGTTCCTCTTGACTTGATCCCAGTTTATTTTCTTCACTTTAACCGTGTATGTCCTACTTTTTTTTTATATACGTATCTTCATCCTATCTAATTTATCTTCTATCGTACATTATCCTTCACCAGACTTTATATAGCAGTTGGCGCTGACAATTTTCAAAGCAAAATACAAATTCAATTTAAAACTTCTTTTCAAAAGTGACATATAATAATAAACCTCTCAATAAAGATTATTACAAAACTGAAATGATTTTATTTTATAAACTGCCAGTGATTTTAATTCTAATGATTGGAGAAAAAAGACATTAAATTTTTTTTTTATTTCGTCTAAAAAAAAAGAAAAATTTTTGATTTCTATTTTAAGGAAAAGTTTTTTTTTTTTGTTTTTTTGTCAAATTTCCGGTGTGAGCCTATACATTAGGAAATTGTAATTTATATTTATAAGCGAATAAGTTGAGAAGGCTTAAAAAATACAGAATGTCGTGAAAGACGGGGGGGGGAGGCTTTCAATATATTTTCCTTATTATATCTTTAACACAATCCATCAAAATAAAGTAGTCTCTCTTGTCATTGGGGTGAAATTTCAGCCCAAAAAGAAGAATCACCCTGATATAGTTAAACATCTCTTTTTTCAAATCACACTATATATATATATATATGTGTGTGTGGATAATAAAGAAAGGCACAATGTGTTTACAAATCAAACACAAACTGGGTTAATAGGTCAAATTTTCTCTCATCGAAACAAAAGGGGTAAATATATTTTTTTTCGCTGTCTTTTTTAAAAGAATTTTAAAAACAATTGAATATTTTGTTGAATTCAGAACAAAAGGAGGAAAAAATGGTAAATTTTTTGAAAATAAAATAGAGACTAAAGAAAAGGAAAAATAAAATTTTGTCAAATTTTGGAAAATAAAATTGATATATAGAAAAAAAAAAGTGAAGCATACCGAATCGTTGCCGGCGGTTCTTGTAGTTGTTTTATAATCGGAATTAAGTTCAACGGCAGTGGCAGTGACTTTGTCGAGAGGCAAACTCGTTGCTTGAATGACACTGAGAGACGGGCAACGTGATTCCGTTGCTGTTATTGGTGTTTCGGCGGAAATTGGCGTAAGGGTTTCCTCGCAGCCAGCTTTACTGCTTTCTGGTCCGCCAATATCGTCCTCGTCATCCTCATCCTCTCGGCCACTGTGCCACCACGCGACACACCACATTTTTAACCACGTCCACGAAAATGGCCGATGCTTCTGTAACAAAGTCAAATTTCTTTCCTGATTTTCTCAATTTCAATAAAAATTTCAAAATTTAATTGGAACCAATAAAATTTCAGTCTATCGAAATTAATCTTGTTTAAGGGGATATTTATTTTTAAACAACAAATTTGAAATTTAATATTTTATTAAATAAACTAGAAAAGTTAAACGCGCGCCAAATTGAGTATTTAATTGTTTATTATAAAGAAATTAAAGATTAATATTATCAATAATAATTTAATTTATTAGAATATTATTACATATTAAATGATAATAATGAAAATTATATGTTTACAGGCCTCGGATTATACGACTTTTTTCAAAAATACGATTTTTATCGACATATTTTAATAAAATGCAACATTTTTTTTTACATTTGAAAAAAAATGTAAATAAAATATATTTTTTTAGTATAAAATCTAGATCTTCTTCAGATCTTCTTCAATTCAATTATTTAACAAATTTTGAACTAAAATGATTCTTCACTAAATTAATTATTTTTAATAATTTTAATGAAATACATCACAAATTCAATTATATCAAAATTATTTTTCAATTAAAATTTTTATGAAATTTAACAATTGTTTATAATTTAAAAAAAATATATCACAATAAAATTGCATTATTTTTTAAAAATTTCAATTCAAAATAAACATTATTACCCGAAATTTTAATTTAAAATCAATTAAAAATCCAATAATTATCCAAAATTTTCAATTTAAAATTTAATTATTTACCAAGTTTTCAATTTAAAATGAAATAAAATTCAATTATTTTCTAAAATTTCTATTCAAAATTAATTATCTAAGTTTTGCATCAAAAATGAGCTTAAATTAAATTATTATCCAAAATTTCAATTTAAATTCAATTATTTCCCAAAATTTTCAATTCAAAATGAACTGAAATTTAATTATTTTCCAAATTTAATATCAAATAAAATTTCATTATTCTCAAAAATTTGAATTCAAAATTAATTGAATTTTCAATAATTTGAATTTAAAAACATCTAAAATTTAATTATTTCTAAGATTTTCCATCGAAAATTCAAATTCAATTATGTATATCAAAATTATTTTTCAATTAAAATTTTTATGAAATTTAACAATTATTTATAATTAAAAAAAAAATATCACAATAAAATTGAATTATTTTTTAAAAATTTCAATTCAAAATAAACTAAAATTCAATTATTACCCGAAATTTTAATTCAAAATCAAAAATTTTCAATTTAAAATTTAATTATTTACCCAGTTTTCAATTTAAAATGAAATAAAGTTCAATTATTTTCTAAAATTTCTATTCAAAATTAATTATTTAAATTTTCAATCAAAAATGAACTTAAATTAAATTATTATCCAAAATTTCAATTAAAATTCAATTATTTCCCAAAATTTTCAATTCAAAATGAACTGAAATTTTATTATTTTCCAAATTTAAAATCAAATAAAATTTAATTATTGTCAAAAATTTGAATTCTAAATTAATTGAATTTTCAATAATTTGAATTTAAAAACATCTAAAATTTAATTATTTATAAGATTTTCCATCGAGAATTTTTTTTTTTTTTAAATTTAATAATTTCAATTATAACTCTAAGGAAATTAAATTATTTTTAACTATTTTAATAATATTCTTTGAAAATTCAACTATCTGAAACTATTTTTCAATTAAAAATGATTTTCAAATTATTGTATTTTGTCCGCATTTTCTAATAAATTTTTAGTGAAATCATCTAAAATTTTAATTATACAAAACACTTAAAGTTTCAATTAATTTCAACAATCTCAATTTTAAATCTTTGAAAATTCAATTAAATTTAAAAAATGTTTTCCAAAAATTGTTTGATAAATTATTTTTAGTTTTGTAAAATTAAATAATTGTTTGAAAATTAACAATATCTTTTGAAATTTAATTATTTCTAAAAATTTCAACTTTAACCCTTCGAAAAGGATTATTATTAAAAAAAAAATTTTTTATTTAAAAATCTGTAAAATATTTTTGTTTAAATAAAAAACAAATCCACTTTTTTTTGGAATATAAATCGACTAAAACGACTTTTTTGTGTCTTTAAGTTGATTCGAGGCCTATGTTTTTATAATTAATATTTAATAGGTATTTGTTGGTCCCTGGTACCTTAAAAATTAATTTTTAAAAGTAAATTTTTTTCAAATTACTATCTTGTACGAAATTTCCTGGCGCATCTTTTTTCTCATCATAAATTTGTTGTATTTGTATAGAATTTTTGAATGAATATACAACTTTAAAAAAAATTTCGTTGGTAAACGTTGTATACTTCAGCTTCGTGAATTGAATTTTTAAATTTGTAATTTTAAAGAAACTTATTCCGAAATTTGGAAACACAATTATACAACTTTGGCAAAAATGAGAAAAAGAATTGTCAAAATTTGACACGTCATAAGATTACTATTCAAAAAAACACGTGAAATCAGAAAAGGCCAACTTCAAGTTAGAACAGAAGGACAGACCAAGCATTTTATTATTATATAATAATTTTCAAAAATAGACAAAAATTCTATCAAGGGGAATTAATTTACAAAAAAAATCTAATTCCGATTTTTTAAAAATATAATTTAAACGAATGAAATAAAAAATTTATTGGCATATTTTTTTCATGTTTAATCTCAGCTTTTGGTTTTTGTGTGCGAGACAATTTATAATAGGATTATGTGAAAAATGAAAATATCCGAAACGATTACAAGTTTTATAATAATAAGATTAAAATATTGCGGATAAATTGTTTGAATTTAATATGAATAATAGAGTATTTTTTTATATAAAAAAAAGAAGGAAAGAAATAAAAAAAAAAAAAGAAAGAAAATTACTGACCATTTTATGTTGAGGATAATGCCTATCCAGATAAGAAACAGCGAAGTGAGTATTAAGTTCATCTGCGCCTGTACTTGACTCACTTCTCGGCCTCCTGCATTCATCCAGATCTAAGGCCTCATCGCTGTGGGGCATAAAAATTGATATTTTTAATGTAAAAGTTGATCTTTCAAAATTACCGGCGTTAATTTATATACCTTCAAAAAAAAAGTTCATTTCATTTTGTTTTATTATTTTTATTATTATTAATTAATATTATAATTACTATTATTTTTTTAATTTATATTATTGTTTTTTATAAATTATTTTTTTAATTTTTATTACTGTTTTTTATAAATTTTTTTTTTTATTATTCATTTTCAGATAAAAAATTGAAAATATTCGCAATAAAAATTGGGATTTCCTTTATAAAAGAAAGAAGAATAATCGCGCGCGCGCTGACAAAAGGAGAAAATAGATACCTGGAATTACTTCTTTTACTCGCGTCCTGATTTCCGGCTTGTAAATTCGGTAAGTCCTTTTGACGTTTTTCAGTTTCACGCCATATGCGCCAATAAAGAAAAATCATGACGCTCACTGGTATATAAAAAGCGGCAATTGCCGTGCCAAATGTAATATAATGATTTGTCTCAAGAAATTGTATATAACATTCGTTTCCTTGAACTGTTCGTTGGCCCTCAATATATGGCCACGCATAAATCCACGGTGGCCATAGTAAAAGCGATATTCCCCAGGCACAAGCTGAAAAATTGAAAAGAGAAAAAACAAAAATAGAGAAAAATATAAAAACTGTTAAATTTAGAAGAAAAATTTCTTACAACTAAAAATCATATTTTTTTGAAAATAATTCGAGCTTTCAGTGGAAATTATATAAAAAAAAATTCGATTTTGTATTTTGTAAAACAGAAAAAATTGAGAAAAGTTATTTATAAATATTAAGATTAAATTCGATGGAAAATTGGAAAGTATTTAAGCAATTTGAAATTTGAAAGTGTCGTTGGGTGAGTTTGTTGAGATCGGAAGACTTTGGGCACCGGAAGTGTTAAAGTTGAGTTACTTGGTAAATGGAAACACTCAATTTCAATTAAAATAGCTTAACTATTTACACATATTGCGATACGATAGTTTGATGGTACGGAATATATATATATATATATATATATATATATATATATATATATATATATATATACAACTTCAACTGAAAGCGTTTAAAGTCCACTCACGTGAATATTGCTGAAATTGAATAGCACGAAAACTAACAATGAATATTATCAAACTTTGATACACAACTGTAAGAGCTGAAAACGTTATATATATATATTCAAGTTTAATGATGAGGATATCTGATTGAAATTATTCAAGTTTAATAGTATGGAATTACTATTACCCGAAAAAAATACACTTTTAATAAAATTTTTTTTTTCTTTTCTTTTTTCGATATTTGAAAATGTTAGTTTTCTGTTGACTATTCAACAAAATATTATTCCACGTGATGCGAAAGTTTTTTGTTTTTTAATTGAATTTCGTTTCCTTTTTTTTTTTTGAATATTGATTTCTTTTATTTTTAAAATAGAAAAATTAATTGTAGTCTCAATAAAAACTCAGCCGGAAACCAAAGCAACGAAATTTTCATATAGACATGAAACCTAAAAATAACGCCTGTAAAAATAAAGATGACAAAACTAAATACAACGGAAATTAGGAGAAAAATATAGAACTAAATAGCAGAAAAATGGGAGAAAAATAGAATTTTTTTTTTAAATCAAAATTGTTGAATTTATTTTAAATCATATCGAAATCTTTCTTTTTGATTTTAGAAAAAATATCGAAATTTTGTTGTACACTGAAAAAAAAATGTTTTTTATTCAAATAATAATCGGTTATTATTATCAAATAAATATTTACATAAACTAAATAATTATTATTTAAGTCAATTAAATGGTATTTGTTTCAAAAATACAGGAAATTATTTCAAATAGTTTATTTATTTCAATTATTTAGTTTTAAAAATTTATTGGTTCAAGTAAATATTAACACACAAAACATTAATTTCAAAATTCCATGACTCTTCCAAGTTTTTCAGACCATTTTTCAAAAAAAAATTACAAACTCAAATAAAAAATTGTCTTGATATATTTTTAGAGCTAGTTACGACAAAAAAAAAATATCAATTAAATTAAGAGTCATTCTTTGGATTATTTTCAATTCAAAATTTGATTGCAACAATTTTTTTTTTAGATTCTACATTGCGAAAAAAAATGTTTATTTTTTATAATTTAATTTAAATTATTTGGGTTATTAATTTTTGAAAATTAACATTTACATGATCAGTGTATTTTTCATAAGTGTTGTTAATGTAAAATCCAAAAAAAAATTATTCTAAATTTTGAATGAAAATAATCGAAATAATGCTCCTTATTTATTCTGTAAATAATTAAAATTAAAATTATTAGTTTTCAATTAGATGAAAAATTTCCAGAACGAAATTTAATAAAATTCCCTGATATTTCCAGGTTTTCCATGACTGAAAAAAAAAATTCATAACAATTTCAGGTCTGTTATTTGATAATAATGAAGTAACCGATTATTTGAATCAAATAAATTTTTTAAATAAAAAATTAAAAAACAAATTTCAAATTAAATTAATTTAATTTACAATTCTGCAAAAATTGAAATAAGAATAAAAAAAACTAAAAATTTTCATAAAAAAAGTCTTTCAAGATCAATCAGGAAAATAAATTCTTTCTTTTTTTTTAATAATTAAATTTCAAGAATCAAAATTTAGAAATAAAAACCCGTGACTTGTATATATAGATATTTTTCCCCTTTCTTGTTTTTCATTTTAAAATATTTGATTTAAATTCAAAAATACAAGAATTCTGCAAAAAAAATTTAAATAAAAATTAAAAAACAAATTTCAAATTAAATTAATTTACAATTCTGCAAAAATTTGGAAAAATAAAAAAAACTAAATAGTTAAAAATTTGCATAAAAAAAGTCATTCAAGATGACTTGTATATATCGATATTTTTCCCCTCTCACCAAGAAGAAGGATAAGATCTTGAAAAAAAAAAAAAAAATGATAAAAAAAAAGGAGAGCAAAAAAAGAAAAGAAAGAAAAATTATTGGATAATTCTCACCAATCATGATGCCAGCCTTATAGGTGGTTCTCTTGGCACGATAAGTAAGTGGCCTAGTGACTGAGAAATATCTATCAAAGCTGATGATAAGAAGATTGAGTACTGAGGCGTTACTCGCGAGATAATCAAGTGCAAGCCATGTATCGCATATATGTGGTCCTAATGGCCAATATCCAAGTACATTATAAACAGTGAATAATGGCATTGAAAATAATCCAATAGCAAAATCCGCCACTGCTAAGCTAAATAGAAAATAGTTGGAAATTGTTTGTAATTGTTTATCAATTTTAAATGATATCATCACCATTATATTTCCAACAACAGTGACAAGACTTAGAAATGTTGCAACAATGACCAGCAATGTTTTACCCACTGGCGAGTAATGCGAGTTCCCCGATTCAGGATTTACTGCGCTGATATTGAAACTCTCATTGCTCAGGGTCTGAGTCACTAATGTTACGTTCATGTTCTGTCGTGACCCCGGCTTTCTTTATCATACCAATTTCCCCTCCCTCGTTACCTCTTTTTCTCTATCTCTCTCTCTCTTTTCTTTCTTTCTTTTTTTTACTCACATATCAACCCTGCCCACACCCCCATCATAACCCCCACCCGCCCCCCAAACCCCCTTTTTCGCCTCGTCCTCGTCTTCCTCCTCCGCCTCAGCCTCAACAAACCCCTCCAGTTGTCTTACTGTCGTTTTCTCGTTCTTAAAAAAAAAAAGAGCAACGTCAACTACATCCCACGACGTTTGTTCTTGTCGACAGGAGCATCGATTCTGAAATGAAAAAAAAAGAATATTTAAATGCTGTCTTATCAAATGATTTTTGTTCCGGACCTCCTAAAAAATTTATTTTAATTCCACTTTTTTTTTTTTTGTTTAAAAAAATTAAATTAAAAAACAATTTTTTAGCGGCTCTGGAACATAAAAATCATCATTTGCAGTGAAAATTTCATTTTCTTATTCATGAAATTGGAATATGCGGGGAAAATTTTTCTCTCTCGCTAGAAGGTTAGAAAGAGAGAGAGAAAAAGTAGAACTCTTTAAGAGAATTCTAGGAAATTTTTCGAATAACAAGTGATAAATTTCTCCGCGAAAAAGAAATGGAATGAGAAGAACCGATTTATACGCGAAAAACTTTGGGAGAAATTCGAAAGTTCATTTCTTTTTTCCTTTCTTTTTCAAAGTTCAACTGATTTTGAAAAACAGATACAACTAAATATTTAGAAAAAAGTAATTTTTCACGAATTTTCAATAGTGATTCATTCAAAAATTATTTATTCACTTTATATTCAATTCTATTCAAGGGAAAATGAATTTCTATTTTTTCAAACCGAATTTCTATTTTAAAAATGAATTTTCATTTAAAACTTTTATTTACAGTCTTTCGAATTTCTAATTAAAATTTATTTCCACAAGAATTTTTATCAAATCGAATTTTCAATTAGAAAAATGATCATAGAATTAAATTTTTATTTAAATGAATTTTTATTTCCTCACATTTTTTAATGAAACTTTTTTAATTATTTGAATTTTTATTTATTATTAATTTCTTTATTATTCTACTACATTTTTATTTACAAAAATTAAAATAGAATAGATTTTTAATTTAATATAATTTCCATTAAACCAAATTTATATTTAAACAAATTTTACATTATCACTTATTTATTTAGTGTAAATTTTTATTTAGATGAATTTCTATTAAAAAAAAAAAAGATTTTTTAATGAACGAATTTTTACAAACATGTTTAATAGAATTTTTATGGAATTAAATTTTCAATAAGTAGAAATTTTGTTATCGAACCGAATTTTCAATTAGCGAAACTTAAATATTAAATTAAATTTTTATTTAACTCAATTTTCATTTACTAGAATTTTTAATCATCGAAAATTTTCATTTATCAGAATTTTTATCATACTCAATTTTCATTTACTAGAATTTTTAATGATGGAAAATTTTCATTTATCAGAATTTTTATCAAACTGAATTTTCATTTACTAGAATTTTTAATGATGGAAAATTTTCATTTATCAGAATTTTTATCAAACTGAATTTTCTTGGGATAATTCTTATTTATAAAAATTTCCATTTTTCATCATTTCATTTTAGTCAAGATTTTATTAAATATAATTTTTGACATCTTAACTAAATTTTCATTGTAATTGAATTTCCATTTAATTAAATTTTCCTTTCTCTCTAATTTCTATATTTAAACGAATTTTCGACAAATCGAATTTTTAATTAACCGAATTTTAATAGAGCCAAATTTTCATTTATTAGAATTTTTCTGAAAATTAATTTCCATTTAACTACGAACATTGTTTTTTTTTTTAATTTTCATTTATCAGAATTTTTAATACGCCGCAAATTCTTAATTTCATTCAATTTCTGTTTTAATAGCAATTCCATATATTGAATTATTTAACTGAATTTTCTTCTGACGTAATGAATATTTATTTCAAATTTCGATCTAAATTTCATTTAATTGAAATTTCACTTAAACGAATTTATGTTTAAATGAATTTTCATTTAATATAATTTTTCTAAAATCATATTTTTATTTAGCGAAGTTTCAATTTTATTAAATAATTTTTATTTCAATGGATTTTCAATTGAATTACTAGAATTTTTCTAATAATCAAATTTTCAATTTCCTGAATTTAGCAGAATTGTTATAAAATCGATTATTTTTTTTTAGCAATTTCAATTAATTGAATTACAAGAATTTTTGTAATTAAATTTTCAATTTTTTTATTTAGCAAAATTGTTAAATCGAATTTGAAATAAAATAAAATTATTTAAACGAAAAAAAAAATGAACTGTAATTCGTTTAGTTATGAAAATTTCAATTTCCCGGAGATTATCACTGTTTGATTTTCAATTTGCCAACTCTCGAATTTATCTATATATAGATATACAATTTGTTTATTCAATTAGGGAACTATTCAATTATTCAGAGCTTAATTATACTTGTTGAGGCTAGTAATGTAAGCGAACTAATATTCCTTGGATATATTCAACACATATGTATAATGTTTGAATGTTAAACAAGAAACTTGTACTCTGAATATTTGTTCACAGGTTGGTTATCGTAATTTTCGTAAAATTAATATATTCACAATAATATATATATATATATATATATACAGCTTTGTGTTCAATTGTGTATTTGTGTTGACCGCACTTGTCTCTTTTGTAAGCATTGCCAACTTGGGTGTGGACTCTCTATTTGTTCAGGAAAACGTGACGAAAGTTTTCCTATATAGTCTCTTTCATCCTCTATTTTTCAATTCTTTCTCATTCTCTCACGAATATTTGAAAAAAAATGTTCTCTCTTCACAAAATATATTTTCTCGCTCATATATATTTATCAAAAACTTCAAATATATAAAGTGCAAATGTCCAGCACAACCTAAACAGCGTAAATATTGCTCGAAGCCATTCATTTATGCCAAAACGAAACTCCAATTACTCTCGCTGTTAATTTAATTTTCCCTTGAGACTGAACTTGCGTAAAAAATGGTGGAATTCCAGTTACGAGTTTCGAAATAGAAAAAAAAAAACTAAAACAGAAAAATAAGTTGATTAAACTTTTCCATTTTATAATTCTCCTTTTTCTCATTATTTGAATTATTTTCTTTTTTTTTTTTTTTTTTTGATAATCGGGATTGTAATTATAAATTTTTATAATACAAAAAAAAAAGAAATACAAGTTGAAGATTGCGAGAAAATAACTTTGCAAAGAATCTTTTTCATCAGGAGTGGAGATTATCAAAAGTTAATTCCAGTAGAAGAAGTTGGTGTGTAATGTGAAAAAGTGTGATGCATCTTTTATTTGGGTCTGCAGTTTGTGAGAAGCTGTTTCTACTCATCAGCATCGTTGTAAAGAAAAATGTTTATATGCTCCAGTGCAAACTCACCGCAAGTTTTGAGACTCATCTCAAGAGAAGTTTGTATGTTTTTGTCAACACTTGTTTTCAAGACTTCAAGAAGTTTTTTTTTCTCTCTCCCCCCTCAAAAAAAAAAAAAAAATAGAGACAACTTCTTGTAAACGATTAAACTATCATTTTTGTAAAATGCGCGCAATTTAAAAAAAAAAGATATTTTTAATTAAATTTAAAAAATAATTTTTGTTATTAATAAATTATTGAGAAAAATTTAATTAAAAATCGTGACTTTAAAATTAGCCTTATGAGAAAGTGAATTTTTTTTTTTTTAACATTAAAATTTATAATGAATAGTGTGAATTTTAAATGACGTACTCAGTAATTTTGCAACTCCATAATTCCACATTTTAAGGTCTCATACTCATGTTGATGCATTTGAGATGTAACAGCTGCATGCATTTTGCGCTGAAAGGGCAACGTTGACATCCCTCTAAAAAAAGTGCATGGTCCTTTCAGCTTCTAAAATTAACAAAAAAAAAATATATATATTCTGTTATTCAATTTATATTCTTTTAATATCGTGTGTCATTATGTTCTCTTGAGAATGAAAAATAATTTATTTACACCATACTTTTTAACTTTCAAATTTATTTATTTTTTACCACTAATAAATAAATTATTTTGTTTAAATTGCATTGATTCAATAACGAAATTAATTTTTAAAAAGTGAGGTTAGAATTTAAAGTGCCGGTTCAAAATACAGATTTTATTTTGATAACTTTTATATCCTTTTATTAAATTCCACTCTCGATAAACTAATTTCCTAGTGGATATATTTATTAATTCATATTTATTCTATTTCAATTAATTAAAATGATAAAAATATTTGCACTAGTCGACAAAATTTGACAGTTATACAGGTTATACACAGTTTTTACTCTTTTCAAATGTTGGTAGAACTTGTATATATCGAAAATATTAACGAATATTTAAAAACTTTTTTTCTCCACAGCAATTTGTTTCAATATTAAACAAAATTTTAATATTACTAATTATTAATGACTAATTATTAATTATTAATTATTAATTCTATTTATTTATAAAAATTTGTTTTTAAACTTCTTTGAAATAAAATTTTATTTCCTTAGATTGGTTAAACTGTATCGATATATCGATATATTTTTTGAATTCTCCTTTACCCATCATGCAATGCAACAAGCAGAAACAAAATGGCGTCATTTAACGGAAAACGAGAGCTTTTTGTGTGTTTGTTTTTTTTCTCCCCAATTGTTCTTATAGTAAAAGTGTGTGTAATCAATAATCAATTAAGCAATCCAGTCAATCGTATCAAATTGTATCGAACAAGTGTTAATAGAGTGTAAATAATCGTCGTTTTTGATCAGCGAATTACAATGTAAATCCTGGTATTATTGCTACCTTGTTCCAAAGCTTTTTTTTGTCTTCATTTTTTTTATGAGATAAATCGTGAAAGGATTTAATTAAGAATGGAGGCCTCTAAAAATAAAACAAACACATTTGGGGACTTTATTTGAGAAAAAAAAACGCTGTAGTTAATTTACATGGAACAAGGGTTATAAAGGATCAAAAAAAAAAAAAAAGTCGGACGTCAATCCAATCAAAGTGGAATGATTAAATTGAGTAATCAAAACTTTTCGAAATCAAGTTGACTCAACTTTGTATCACATATATACGTAAATCACAAAATTGGTGAGCATAAAGCATTTGAATGAGCTGGTATTTCTCCAAAATACGTGAGTAGCTTTCAACATAACCTCAAAATTGAAATTCATTTTAATTGCATGGCGAATGTTTCAGAAATTTGATAAAATAGATTTAATGAAATTGTTTTGTAAATTTTATTTTTTTTTTACTATTATTATTATTATTATTATTATTATTATTATTTGACTAATTTATTAGTTATTTATTTAGTAATTTTAAAAATAGAAAAAAATTGCGAATTTTGTGTTTATTATTTTTACAAATGAATTTGTTTGGAAATTTTAATTTTTTTTTACTATTATTATTATTATTATTTGGCTAATTTATTAGTTATTTATTTAGTTATTTTAAAAATAGAAAAAAATTACGTATTTTGTGTTTATTATTTTTACAAATGAATTTGTTTGGAAATTTTTAATTTTTTTTTACTATTAGATTTATTTTTTTCTCAATTGTATATTTTTACAAAGTTTTACAATAATTATTTAATTAGAATTAAAAATTAAATGAAATTTGTGAATTTTTTTTCTAAATTCTTTTTTCAACTAATGGTGTAAATTTTGTTAATGAGATCTTAAACTTTTATGGAATCTATATCACAATTCGAAAAACCTATTAATTAGAAAAGTTTTTAATTAAACGTTATATATATTTAGCTACATGTATATATATTTATATACGTAATATAGAAATGAGAACTGTTTATATGTATACGAGTTGTGAAAGCATTGAAAAGTTTTGTAACAGAGAAGCTTGCGAAATTCGTTTCCGCGGTATATGTTATCGGTCGTTTTCCATTTCCAGGTGACATTTTCTCCTGGCATTGAATTACCATTTGAGGCGCTTCTTGTTATGTAGAAATGTAAAGCAGGAAACTTGCGTTTGCTGCCCGCTATTCTCAATCAATCGGTTTTCTAGTTGGAGTTGCTGATATCGAATAATAGAGGGTGTGATCTAACAGTGTTGCACTGTATGCATAAATAGAGAAAGAGAAAGAGAGAGCGAGAGCGAGAGCGAGTTGTATTCTCATGACAGGTTGAGTTGCATTGAAAACCGTTTGAGCTTCAAATTCAAAACACCTCGCTATATAAGGTAAATATAATAGCCCACATTATCATTGTTCGTTTAATTAGAATATTTCTACATTTTTTGAACCAATTTTTTTTTCTTCATTAAAATTATTCATAATTTTATAATAATAATAATAATTATTATTATTATTACATTTTTAAAATGATAATTATTATTAGTATTATATATTATTTTTATGTATTTTTATAAAATACATTTTTTTAATTAAAATTTTGTTGATAATTAATTTTAATTTAATTTTTTAGTTCTTTTTTTTAAATATTTTTTTGAATTTACAATAATTTTTTGTTTCTAAATTATTAAACTATTAAATTATTTTGGATTATTAGACGATGTATTAGAATTTCATGAGATTTAAATTATTTGTGTTTAAATTTTGTTACAAGTAGAACTCTATAAGGAGATTAAATTTTTATTATCGAGTAAAATCTATATTTAAGAATTATATAGAGTTTATTGAATATTCTGTCTCTTTTTCCCTTATTTAATAATTAATTTTTTTTCTCGAATTCTAGTTTAAAAAAAAATATATATATATATTTTTTTTTTAGTAGGGGTCATTAATCTAAAAATTAGCTCTAACTTCAAAGGCTTTTTAAAAGTCATTTAAATTTGAATGCCATTCTCCTGGCAAAAAGTGAAATATAAAAGCTATGCAAATTGAAACGATTTTCGATATAGGTTTTTGAAAATTGAAAGCATTTTCAATGTTTAATTAAAAAATTGCTTTCTTTTTTCTTTTAGAGTTGAAAATTAAATATTCCATCTTACAAAAGGATATATTTTTTGTTTTGGAAAATATATTTTATTTATTTACAAAATTAATTATCCAGAGAGGAAGGTTATTAATTTTTTTATACATTTTAACTTATTTTGAATATTTTTACATTCATTTAATAACACAAATATTTTTTTTACAATCAATTTTCTTTATTACTATATTATTTTATTAATTATTTTTACGATCAGAATTAATAAATGTGAAAATAATAATGTTTTATGATTTTAAAATTTTATTTTTTTATATTTTATTATTACTGCTATTAAAAAAGACTTTTTATTCCATTTTAAATATCTTACAAAAAATTTAAAAAAAAAATGAATAAAAATGAAAGGATAAATAATAAAAAAAATAAGAAATATGCAAAAAAAATATCTGTTGCTTGCGGTTATAAAATTTGTATATTAATGCTATAGGGATATAAAGGAAATTCAATAAATTCAAATACACGACAATATTCATGATGTCATGTTCAAAAGAGCAATTCAGCAAAAAAAAAATTTTTTTCTCTATTTTTTCCGTATATATACATATATATATATACAGTAGCTTACCAATATGTTCTCGAATTTAAATTTTACACAAAAACCGCACGTGTTTGGCTGGTATTCACAAAATTCTCAGCTCTTGTAGAATTTAAATTGCGCATGTATAAAGTTGCAGCTGTGCTATACTCTTTTCTATATATATGTATATATACGTATCATGACTGGGCCTTTTAAAACGACAAAACTTCTCTTCTTCTCCCCAAATATCAACACGCGAAAATTCAGAAACTATTTAATTGCACTTCATCCCCCTTCCATTTCTAGACGGTTTAATGCTGTTTTCAAAACTTTTCCCAAATGCGAATTCCGAGAAACCTTAAAACATTGAATTTTACTTTTTTTTATAAATTGTCGCGGCAAAATGAAAATTGTCCAACTGAAAACTCGAGAATTAGAATTTAATAATGTAAATCTGAAACAATGGCAAATTTTGAATAAATAGTAATTCTTTTTTTTTTTTTTTGATTAATTAATTGACAATTGTTATTATTTATTTTTCTTTATTCTTAAATTATTAATATTTTTCACGTACTATTTTTTATTATTAAATAATAATATATATGATAATTATTATTTTTCAATTATTACATTTTTTACAATTATTCAATTATTATTATTATTATTATTATTATTATTGCTTTTTTCTATTATTATTATTCTACAATTGCTACTATTTTTATAATTATTATAATTTATTTATTTAATCAAAATTTACAAAATATCTAATTATTATAATTATTTTTGTATAATTTTTTTAATTACTTTTCGATTAGATTCAATTTTTTCTCCTTTTTCTAATTTCTATACAAAAAGTTTACAATTTTTTTTCTAAAAAACTTATAAACTATTTTTTTATTTTTAATTAACTGTAAATTAAAATAGAAATTTTTTTTTTCTAATTCTAATTATAAATTATTATTAATAATAAAAATAAAAATAATTTTCGTTAATAGGTTTTTTATGAGCAGTAAAATTTTAAAAGGACAATTATTTTAGTTAATTAATGAATATAATTAGAAAAAAATGGTTTCTTTAATTTATATATTTAATTAAAAAATGTAAAAATAGTTTATAAATTTTTACAATTTTAAAAAAATTTTAGTAGAAAAATCAAAAAGTTATTAAAAAATTATAAGAAATAATTATAGGTAATAATTTTTAAAATAGTAAGAATCGTAAAATAATAGAAAAAAACAAAAATAATAATACCAATAATAATACCAATAATAATAAAAATAATTTTATTAATTAATTTATTATTAAAATACCATCGAGTTAAAAATAAATTTTATTCTTAACAAAATTAATTATAATTAATTATTATAAAAGAATAATATTATTTAAACAATGAAATATAAAAATATATTCAGAGTGGAATATTTTTTTTTTCAACTATTCAAAGCATTAATATATAATTAAATTAATTATTGAAATAATGAAAAAAAATATATTGTTTTTAAATATATAATAAAAAAGAGAAGAATTTTTCAATTAAATCTGGCTACCTTGGAAAATGTTGACAGTATAATATGGTAGTTTTAATCCTGTCTAACTTATTTCGAAACGTTATAGTCTGACCGAGCAGGGGAATTACTACTGAAAGCACTGACGTCTGACAAGGCTAGTCTCTTCACTACTGCCCGACTCAACGCGATGTGTTCTACTGCGAGGCGTGTGCAATGCAGAGTTGTTCTCCTTCCGGTCCCGACATTATTACATATATATTTCAAACGTCCTTTTTTTTTTCTTCCTCTCATCCAATTCTTTCATAATTTCTCTAATATTCAATATGTTTCTTTTGTCTTTAACAATTTTATTATTAATTTTGTTTTCTTTTATTTTTTTTTAAAACAAATTAACTAGATACCGATTTTTTTTTTACTAATTTACATTTTTCTACTTTTATTTCGTGTGTACTTTACGAATTTATTTATTTTTTATATTTCATTTATTTTAATTTTTTATTTTAATTTTTTATTTTAATTATTTTATTTTAATTATTTTATTCTAATTGTTTATTTTATTTCAATTTATATTTTACTAGTTTTGTTATTTTTTTGAAATTTTATTATTATATTCGTATTTTTATTAATTTGTATTTTTTTTCGCAGGATTGATGTACGTGTTCGTGGAATAAACTTGACGGGCTCATGCGGAACTTTTCATTTATATAAATTGTGAAAAATCTGAAAAAGACACATGGAATTATGTAAAATATCGATTCGGACTCATACGCTTCCGTAATTCAAGGTATAATGACCTCTTTCAATTTTTATTTTTCCATTTATATTATTATAATTTTTTTTCTTTGTTAATTCAATTCATTTTATACTGAATTTTTTTTTTTTTTTTTTTTATTATTTTGAAATTAAAAACAATATTGATTTTAATTTACAATTTATAAAAAATTTAGAATTGTGATTATTCTTATAATTTTTTATTTTAAAAATATTTTATTAATTTTTTCCTTGTAAATAAATTTTATATGAAAAATATTCAAAAGAGAAATGTTAGAATTTTTTTAAGGAAAACAATATTTAAATAATTAATATTAAAAATTAATATAATTATTAGTATGCAAAATATATTTTTGAAATATAAATTTCGTTTTGAAAAGAAAAATTGATTATATAAAATGTAGAGGAAAAATGAATTCTACAATTAGCTTATCATAAATATTGTATCAATTTCTGAAATGTTTCACATGAAAATTTTTTGTTGCGAATATATATATATATATATATATATGTATATATATATATTTTTTTTTTGAAATAAAACTGACGGTTATTATTCGTTTATTAACTTCAATTAATTGTTCGCGGCAGGCATTGAATAGAGGGACTTCAATTAAATTCGTTATAGAATTTCATAACATCAATAACCTTATGGAAACATGAATTTGCTTTTGCCGAGTTTCACGACCCATTTTATGTATACATATTTTTTTTTCTCTCTCCGTTTTTTTCAAGTTTTTTTCATACATCTATATAGTAAAATAATTTCAATTCCATTTTAAAAAATATAATTTTATTTAGATTTTAATTTTATCATTTAGATCACATTAAATAATTTGCTTCGCAGGAACTTAAATTGGGGCAAAAAAAATATTTTCTTTTTCAATTTTATCAAAGGAACTGGAATTTTATTTAGAATTCTAATTTTTATTATTTTTATTACTATATTTATTTGAAAACGAAATATTTTCATTTTTTTTTTTTAAATTGAATCTTTTAATTAATTAACTTTTCTCCTTTAATCATTGTTTTGCAGCAAAATTCATAAAATAATTTCTCCCAAATATCGACATAAAATAATACAAATTTTGATATATTGCTTTTCCATTTACATTTTCAGCCCCCAGGGGAATATGATTTTTTGTTTCCCCTAAAATTTCGTTTTTGTTAAATATTGTTTATTTCAATTTCTTGTAATTAGAGAATTTTCGATTAAATTAAAAAAAAGAATACAGAAAATCTATATTTGAAAAAATTATAGGAAAATAATTTTTAATTTAAATTTAATTTTATACTAAAGATAATATAAATTTTTTTTTTTTTTGAAATTTTTCTGAAATTGAAACAGAGAATTTTTTTTAGAAAAAAAATAAAATATAAATTCAGAATTTCCAAATTTTGAGAATAGAGGAGGAAACTAAACTGTTTAGAGAAAAATCTGTTTCTTCTTTTTTTCTTCCTTTTCTTTTTTCTTCTTCTTTTTTTTTTGTTGTTGTATAAATAAACCGTGAGAGTGTAAAATGACCAGCTACCTGATTACTCAACTAGCTATTTACAAGGCCTTGCACTTTATGTGCATCACTTTCACAGTAAAAATAATTTTCCGATACACATAGCTTTTGTTGTGAAAATAACATGCGAGCTTTGCATGTTATATTGTCCTACATAAGTTCCTACTCTCTTTCTCTCTTGCATCTATACGCGCAATTGCGAATAAATCAGAAACGACATACATTTATAAACACACATGTATATATATTCTACACATTATAAATGCATCTCGCATATTATATTATTCTCTCGTTGACGTACAAGCCCTTTTCAATTTCAAAAGATTTGTTTCAATCAGTTTTCATACTTATTTAAACAATGACAAAAGTTATTTGCCCTTTTCCATAAATGTGTTCTCATTTTAAAAATAGTCTTTTTCTATTTAACATGCAACAACGATAAATAAACACTATTAAGCTCTTTTTGTGAAATCATGTTTTATTTTTAGTTTTTAGTCATGGGAAAATTGTTCTTTCGATTTTTTTTTTTACAAAAATAGATTTTTAATTGTAAAAAAAAAGTAAATTAAAATGTAATTCAAAAAGTATTTCCAAGTAAAAGAAATATTTTTAAAATTCCAAATTTATAGAAAATAATGCTCATTTTGAAAACTGAAATACTATGAAACGGCGTTTATCTTGCTTTTAAAAAAAAAAAGTGTGCGCAAAAAGAAAAAAAAAATTTGGCCTACATTGCAACTTTATTTTCCAAAGTGGAATTTTTCGTCTCCGCTTGCACAATTTTTCATGAACCGGTGAAAAAAAGAAAATTTTATTTCGCTTCGTATTTTCAAATATTTGTATACATATATATACACGCGACTATATCGTGGCGAATGAGGCGCGAAGGGGAACATTTTCGGCGTCCAAATGGCAAATCATATTGCTCACAATACTGGACATTCGAGATCGATTGCTTTAATAATTCATGAAGTGTCATTGAATAAGTGGTACTCGGAGTTTCAAAGATGAATAACACGCGACGAACGTGACACACGATCACCTAACACGTTGACAATTTCAAATTTGCACACACGATAATTTTCAGAGAATATTTATTTCAAAAAATTGCTCGATTTTTGTTTTTTGTCAAATTAAATAAACAAATTTTGACAAATAGTATTAATTTATCTAAATAAATTAATTTAATTTTTAATAAAATAAAATTAACTGAATTTTTATTTTCAGAAATTAACAAAAGTGCAGAAAAGTATTTTCTTTTGGTCTTTCTTCAAGTCGATTTTCATTGCCATTGAATTACCGGATAATAATTAAAATTACCATTACTTCATATTACCATTTTGGAACTGTAATTACTTGTGAAACTACTGTCGCTTGAAAGTATCACTAAATTGCAAGTATAATTATTTGAAATTATCACCAATCATTCTGTAAGTATAAAATTTATTAACTATTATTTGGAATTGCGATTTCGAGGAGTTTTTTAAAGGTAGACTTTTTTAATAAGCGAATTTTTTTACTTTTTAATTTTTATTTAACAGAATTTCTATTTAGCTGCAATAATAATAATAATAAAAATAGTAATAAGGAAAATATTTATCATGTAAGTAAATTGATTAAGAATTAAAAATACCGATTTTGATTTATAATGTAATGCAACGAAAGCGAATTTTTTTTTCAACGGCTTAAATTCGATCCAAAATTCTCTAAATGGAAATTCTGTTAATTGAAAAAAAAAAATTCAACACTAAATTTCGATACGCAAGAGAAATTTTATCCGTTTTTCTTTTGCGTAGCAAATCATTTGGTTAATGGAAATTTTTTTTTTCTTTTTCCCTATTTCTATATTTGTTCAAAAACAAAAAAAAGAATTGCTACTTTCATCAAAATTGAACATTCTAAAGTAAATTTGAATTTTTTTTTTTTTTTGCTTAAACGATGAGAAAAAATAGTTGCTAAATTCGCAAATTAATATATTAAAAAAAAATTGTATTTATCAATTTGTAAATTCTAATATTTAAGGAAGCGGAATAATAAATTAGTCAAAACTCCGGCAAACAACTTCCGGATCACACGATATCAATAATTCGATTCTCAAGTTTTAGGTGCTTGCATCGTAGCTTTTTAAAGTTTAAAGTCACGAGAGAATCTATTTGAAAATTCGAGTGAGGCAGCTGGCCTAGTCCATGTTTTATAAATTCTTTTTATCGTGTTTCTTATTCCATTAGAGTGAAACTCTTATCTGTCTTTATTTTATTTTTTTATTTTTTTATTCAAAGCTCTCTATATTCGCAGAAAATTCGAAAATAAAAATTCAATTAACAAAACAAATGAAAGGAAAATGACAAATTAAGAGAAAATTATTATTAAAAAATATATCTCATCATTAAAATCGGTAAATTTTGAAAAATCAAAAACTTGGCATAAAAAAAATAAACTAGTCTGTTTTGTTTGAAAAGTTTTTTTTTTTATTAAAGAGAAACGAACGGAATGTGTTCAACGTAAAAATAAAAAAAAAAAATTACAAAAAAAAGGAACGTTAAAAGAGGGAGAAAGAGAGGAATAGTCGGAAAATTAGCTCTCTTCATTAGTGGCTTGAAAAATGAGGAAAGTTAAATTAAAAGTGTCCAATTCTTTTCAGAATTCGGAGCACGAGGGAATAAACGACTTTCATTGTTTTTGGATATAATGCTCACTTTATACTTGAGATTCCACGTTCTTTGTAGTTTAAGCGAAACACCTGCCAATAACAATAGCCATTTTTTTTTTTTTTTAGTTCAAGTTATTCAGAACAAAAGTTACACGACATTTAGAGTCGATTAGAAAAATTTTATATAAATTGTTATTTTTTTAAAAAATTTTATTATCTTTTCTCAGTTTACTAATTATTTTTTTTCTTTATAATTTGGCAAATTTAATAATTTTTAAATTTGCAAAATTAGCTGAATTTTGTTATTTACTAAAATAATTTTCATTTCTATTAAATTCTCATTTATTCCTTTTTTTTGTTAATTTCTTTTTCATTTCTATTATTTTAGTTTTATTTTTAATTTTATTTTAAAAATCATTTTTTTTTTATTTATTTTAGTTTTAACTCATTAAATATCTTTTAAAAAGGATTGTTCACTGAAAAAAAAGAGTAAAAAAAAAAGACGAGGCTCTGTTGTTCTTGAAACAAAACAAACGAAAAAAAAAAATAAAAATAAAGACGAAAAGTTAGAGCTGTCTGTTTTGTAAAACTCCAAATAAAATACACTAACTGTAATGGAAACTTTGAAAAGTTAAGATAATGAATGCAGTTTTACTTGTAAAGTAACTTAAAGTTAAATTAAATTTTGATTAGTTGTATGCGAATAAAAAAAAAAAAGCTCTTTTAACTTTTCTACTTCCCTTTAGTAAATTCTTTGAGAATATTTACAAATTTTCAAAGAACAAAAAAAAGATTGACAAATATTCACATTTATCAATAAATTCTTATTTAAAAAAATTCGTTTCTAATCAAATTTAATTTTTCATTTCTCGTTTAATTAAATTAGTAATTTAAATCAATTAACTTTTAATAAATTTAAAAACAATTTTTAATCAAATTCGATTAATTTACATTTTTATTGTTTAATAATAAAAGGAAATTCTTTTTTTTCGTGTCAATTTATGATTCAATAATTAATGTTTTATTTAAAAAAGTGGAAAATAATAATAATAATATTACCTAATAATTTAATATTTAAATTTTCATTATTGGAAAATAAAAAATAGAAAGTTCATTACACAAATTGGAAAAAAATTTGAAAAATCAGAACACATGTTTAAACAAAAATAGAAAAAGTAAATAAGTCAAATAAAGGGAAAATAAATGTAAACGGGAATAAATGTATAAAAATATCGAAGGGGTAAATAAATAAAATGAGAAAGGGAATGGATAAATAAAAACGATAAATGAAAAAAAAGGGAGTAAGACAAATGAATATTTAAATGTAAATAAAAATAGCAAACAAATGAAGCAGGAGTCAATGTTTATTAAAATATAAGTTAATTATTTCTTTTTATATTTATTATTTTTTATTATTTATTTATTATTTTTTTACTAATTTTATTCATTTAAAATTTTATTATTTTTCTATATTTCAAAATTAATTTTTTGTAAAAATTTATTATTATTTACTAGTTTATTTATTTAGACTTTATTTATAGCCTTCTTTATTATCAATTTAAATTATTCCTTTTTTCGAATTTATTTATGAAAAAGTAATAAAATGAGTAAATCAAAAATGGTTTTGAATATATATTTTTTTTTTGCATTTATGATTTACTAGTCTCTTTTTTTAGGCAATATTTTGGAATCGATCAAAGACAACAACACGGGGAAAAAGAAAGCTGATCATTCAATTTGTAAACATTGGAGATACAGAGAGACGATGAGAAAAAGAGAAATTTCATCCATTTCCCAGCAAAGAATTTCGTATAGGAAAAAAAGAAAACCCCATCTTAAACACAGAAAAGGAAATCACGTTTTTTTTTCTTCTCTTCGATGCATTAAGACTCGTTGAAGGCGGTTTCCGGAGGGTAAGTTACAATCTCGGAAGTGTCCATTAACGGGCGCGGAAAAATATATATCAAACACACACAAAGTTGCTTTTTTAAAAAAAAAAAAAAAAGAAAAAAATAGAGAAAAATAAATTCACGTCATCACTTTTATGAATTGACAAAGAGAAAAAGTAAAATGAAAATGAAAGCATTCAAGATTGTAATCAAAGAATCACTACAAGTCAACACTCACGTGTTTTAGACGTTCATCTCTCTCTCGACGCAGAGGTTATTCTCAAGGGAGAGTCGAACTGGCACGCAGATGATTTCATCACGATAAACAATTGTTTTCTCTTCTGTTCTTTATTTTTTTTTCTCTCTTTTTTATCTCTCGTTTGCGCCCTTGATTTTTGTAGTTAATTTAATTTTTTTATTTATTTTTTTTTTTTTGTAAGTCCACTAGGTCACCTTATTTATTTTAAATAAATTTTTGCGAGCACGGAATTTGAAAACAAAAAAACGAAGCGGCTATAATGAGGAAGATCGAGAGAGGGAAAGAGAAAAACAAGAACGAGGCAGTGACCGGACTGGAGGCGCAAATTTGTGCCGCTCGGGCTCGAAGGTATGAGCGTGGACTAGGGCGTGGGCAATCCGAGGCAAACCGAGCGAGCGGACAGACTACATTGATTTTGATTTTCGAAGGCGCGCGCACTTGTCCCGAGACACGGCCCGGCTCTGCCCATTCATATCGTACTCCTTACCCGGAGAACATTGGTCTCTATTCCAACGAAGGACACCCTCCTAACACGCGCACACCTCTCTCTCTCTCTCTTTCTCGCCCTCTTGTCTCCTCGCGTGTTAAAAGGTTTCGAAAAATTTGGCGATGATTCAAGATAACGCTTCTTCATTTTTTTTTTTTTTTTTTTTTTTTTTGCAACCGGAAACGAGAGTTAAATCGTTTTCGACAAATTTTATTGGATAATTTAAGGAATTTCTTCCAAAAAAAAAAAAAAAAGAATCTTAATTGAACAGAGAGAAAGGGCTAATAAAATTTGATAAGTTCAGAGCTTGAAATTAGCTGTGAATTTGATCTCAACTTTTATTTTATTTTCTTTTCGACTATAATCTTGATTATAGAATGTAATTCTTTCCTAGGAGGAAAAAAAAAGAGAAAGAGATAAAGAATGATTTTCTTGCTTTTTCATGCGAGAAACTTTTCGTCATTTCGTTATAAACTTAGATTGAGTAAAAACGCATTACCTTGGGTGGAAAAATTTTAGGAAAAAGTAATTATTTTTTTTTAATATTATTATTTTAGTCAAATAGTTGAGGAAATTATTTTAGGACAAAAAAAAAAGAATTTCGAATGAAATTGAATGAGGGAATTTTTTAATTTCCAAAGTTTTTGAATAATTTTGGGATTTTGGAATTTTTTAGAATTTTTAGAATTTTTCGTTTTACGAACATGGAATGCAATGTAATTAAATTTAAATAAAATTCAAAATCGTGAAATAGAATTTTTGAAGGAAAATAATTAATTTCGAAATTTTTGAGATTTAATTTTGAATATTTTTTTTTTATTAATAATTTAAAATTGTAAAATTTTTAGAAATATTTGACTTTCGAATATTATTCACTTCTTTAGCAAAAAAAAAAAAATATTCAACTTCTAGAAACTATTAAAAATTATTTATTACTATTAAAATTATTTTGACTATAAAAAGTAGAATTTTTGAATTTAAATCTTGTTTTTTGGGGAAAATTGAACTTTTTGAATTATAAAGTTAGTAGATTTTGCGAAACAAATTTTTTTTCTAGAAAAAAAAAAATTGTAAATAATGAAAATAAAAAACGATTTATTTTTTTCTAGAAAATTTCTATTTAGAATTTGAATTTTCAAAAAATATATATATATAAATTGTTTCAATTATCTTAATTAATTGAAAAAAGAAAAAGCAACATTCAATTTTCATTTATCTCGAAAAATGGGATTTCAACTTATTCTATTTATTTAAATAAAAAAATTTAAATTATTATTAATTATATTATAAATGTAAAATTTAAAAATTATGATTATTATTATTTTTACTTATAATTTTAATAATTTTTAGTAATTACAATAATTATTATGTATTAAATACAATTATTATTCTAATGATTAAAATTAAAATATCAATTTTTGAAATCAAAAGCTCACTCCAGTTTCATGTATATATTATAATGAAGTTACCGTATAATATTTAACAATTAGCTGCGTATCTAGTTATAATTTGAAATACAATATTGTGAAATTATTTCTGATTAAATAATAATAATAATAATAATAATAATAATAATAATATTCCTTTTTTTTCTTTGCAGATGTAAAATAAATATAAAGTCTGGCGTAAATTTCAGGATCATCATTTTACGATGCAGTGTATAATGTTCCTAATCGGTGAGTGCGTCTTTTATCGATCATAATAATTATATTTGCGTCGTAACACAATAATTTTCATGTGGATAATAATTTATCATGACACAAACTATGTTTGTGATTAATTAAAAAATTACACACATCTTTAAAGAAAAAAAAAAAGGGGGCAAAATAGAGTAATTTAATATTAAAAACGAAAATCTTTCGTTTAAAAAAATTGAAAAAATATTAAATATATATATATAGATGAGAGTAATTAAGTATTTCGTATTTTGAAATTTTACTTTTATTCTCTTTTTTTTATCCATTTTTTGATTTTATGAAAATTTTAAATATTATGTGTTCTGGAAATGAATTAATTAGTCTAGTTAATTAAAATTATTTTCTTGGAACACATTTTCATTAATTACACTACTGGTTCTTTTTTACTAATTGAAAATTGAATTACACGTTCATTGATTAAAAAGAACCTGGTAGTTGTATCGACAATCATTGTTTTATAGAATGTGCATCGTTCTTTTTAATGAAAAAAAAGAAAAAAAACTTTAGATATAATTAAAAAAATCAATACTGTCATTATTTTTTTTTAAATTTCTTTATATAAATTACATTTTTTATGGTATATAAGCAATTGAATTATAAAAAAACTTAATTCACTACTATATTTTTTATTTAATTTTTTAAAAATATTTATTATTTTCAAAATAGTACTAAATTTTTTTTAATGTAGTTTTAATTATTTTAACGAATTATTAATTGTTTCTAAAATTGGTAAATAATTTTTTTTTTAAAAAAAAGTTCAAGAACATTTATTTTCTACGAAACAATGATTGATTTAAATTTTATTAAATTTACTTTGATAATCATATAGTAAAGTGAAAGATTTTTTTTTTTTTTGAAATATGTCCATTTATACAATATATACGTATATATAAACCAGAGAAGCTTATTTCGCGACGGGCGTAAAAAAAATGAGATGTAGAGAACCGTCGGACGAAGATGTTTTACGACCGAGGTTTTTGCTCGAGGGTGGATTCCTAACGGCGTATTAGTCCGGCCTTTACTACTAAAACTATATTTTGTTTCGTTCTACATACTCTGTTCATGCTCCAAAAAGATTTCTCTCCCCGAGAAAAAAAGAAAGTCCTTTTGAATTTTTATATATCGTAACAAACATTCAAATGTCGCGTCTTTCAGAAAATTCTGGTTCAAAAAAAAAAAAAAAAAAAAGAAAGAAAAAAGAAAAAATAGAAGATAAAAAGAAATAGTAGATAATTCTTATATAACACGAAAAGTCTCTTAAATTTTAAAACTTTATACACTTTGTACACTTAAAGAAGATTTTGAGAAAGTTGTATGAAGTTTTCCTTAAGTTTTACATATAGCTAAAGGTTAAAAAGTTACATTGAAAATTTCTCATGTCTTTTTCTCCTTCTCCAAGGAGATTATTTAAAATATGAATTTATTTTTGAAATTTCAAAAAAAAAAAAAATTATTTTTACAAATTATTTTTGAATTAGTGGAAATTAGAATTATATTTTTTTTTTTGGTATAAATTTTGCTTTGTACTTTGTAGGGAAAAATTCTGACGGACTTTTTTTTTGTGAATATATGAAAATTTGAAACAAGTCTATTTAGAAACAAATTAGCGCAGTTGCCTAGAGATAGATATTCCGCAAGTTTAGTCAAAATTACTTCCTTCATTGATTCAGTGCACACGGTAATCGTTGAATTCGATTGCCAACTCTATACACACTTGAAGCTAAAATTCACAGTGAATGTTTACTTCCGTTTCTAGATAGCATTTTGGTATAAATATATATATTACATTTTAGGAACTTCAGGCCTCGAAAATCGATGTGAATAAAAAATTGCTTTTTGAATTAACAAAAATTATTTTTCTAGAAAAAAAATTCGTTTTTTTCATCTAATTTGCTTTTTTATTTTTCTGCTTTTATAAATTTCATCTCTCATATTTTGAATTGTGAAATTATTTTGAAAACAGGTATTCAAAATTGTCATCAAATTTTCTGCGTTCAATTTATATTTAGAAAAAGACACACCCTTGGTTTCCAACTTGCATGTCAACGATAATGAATGAACTTTATCCCGAATATGCCACTCATTGGGGGCATCGAGGGGGATTAGAAGTTTTCAAGCGATAATGAATTCAATTCTGGTAATTTCATTCGATCAAAGCGGATTGACTTCCATAATGCCCGTTTGATAAGCTCCGCTTGCTCTCCTAATTCCTTTATGACGCATTATAATTCTCTTAAAATTATCCCTAGTGTGTCAAAAAAAAAAAAAAAAAAAAAATTCTTTTTTTCGAGAATCTCCAGCTTTGAAAAAAAGACATTTATATTTTTTATTGGAAAGTTATTTAACAGGCCTCGGATTGACTTTAAGGGACAAAAAAAGTCGATTTTTTAATTTTAATTAGTTAATAAATATTTTACTTTAAATATTCTAATTTTATTGTATATTATTTAATTTATTTTTTCATTCATTAAAAATAATAATTGAATTTTTAAAGAAATATTAAAATTATTAAAAATAGTTTAAGATAATTGAATTTGTAAAGAATTCCATTCAAAATCATTGAAAATAATTAATTTAGAGAATAATTTTAGTTAACAATTTTGTAAATAATTGAAATAAAAAATATCTGAAGAAGATCTGTATTGTATAATAAAAAAGATGTATTTTTTTTAAAAAAGTAAAAAAAAGTCGTATATTCCGAGGCCTGAATTTATTTATTTTTTTTATCTAAACTTTTTTTTGTTTCATAATTTTTTTATATTAATAAAATTTTCGAAAAAATATTTTTAAAATTCTTTAAAATATTCTTTGTTCAATTTGATTTTCTTTTTTTTCTTCTAATTTTTCCTCTAACCGGAAGTTAAAACTAAAAAAGAAAAAAAAAATTAAGATAGCGGGATCTCTAATTAAAAGATTCAATTAAGTAATTAAAATGACATGAGAGATTCTCGAAGCTAATTAATAATCAATCTTGGTTGTATAACGGGAGAGCATAAGTGGCGAGTGCTTCGGAATTTCGTTTAAGATTACCTTCAAAGAAACGAGAAACGCTCTCACTATCTCTCTTAGTGTAACCACTAAGGACCATCTCTCACCCCGAAGGTAGTTTCTAGCGAAAGGGGAGTTTGAGGGATGAAAAGAGGAAAAGAGAAGAGGAAGGGGGTGTATATTAGTGACGAAAGTAACTCGACGCTTCAGGCTATTCCACAGACGATAAAAGTGAATACTTAGCTTCAAGATGAGTAGTGTTTTAATTATTTCCCTTTTTTTTTCTTCTTCTTCTTCTTTAAAACGTTTCTAAATTAAATGTACAATAAAAATTTAAATCAACTAGAATCACATTTATTCTCGAAAAAAAAAAAATAAATCAAGTTACAATTATTCCACAAGCGCCGGTAATTCAAAAACAATTTCAATTCTAATAAATTAGATTTTGAGGAATTTTTTTTTTTCACTGGTTAAAAATAATAATATACAATATTTATTTCACATGAGAGAAATTTAAAATAATACGCCATTGATATGAAATTCATTATTGAAATATTTTTAATATTTTTTTAATTTTTGAAAATCATACATCTTCCATTGTGATTACTTTTTTAGTTACTGAATTCTTTTTTTGATTACATTATGCGCGCGTTAAAAAATAAGAAATTAGGCAGAATTTGTAGCTTCTTTGTCCCTTCTCTTTTTTTTAAAAAAAAGACTACTTATCAATATAGGAAATAAATACAAAAAAAGAGAGAGAGAGAAAGAATCACATGAAATATCCAAAACCAAAAGTTTGTTTAATTGAATTCCAATAATATCGTTCCCAGTTTTCTTTTGTTGAATCTTCTTCACTGAAAATAAAAAAAAGTAGTTTTTTTTTTTTTTTAATTTTATTTTTAAATAATTTTTGTTTGGAAATAAAATTAGAAAAATTAATACCTGGTTGGAACTCCTCGTTGTGTTAGATTAACTTCAGTGTGATCGTTTTTTTCTGAAATATTAAGTGTAACTTCACTAAAATGATCATTGGGCCATTGTTTACAACGCCATTTTTGAACAATTTTCGCTGGCGAAAGTTCAATGAATTCCCCATGAATATTGCCACCGAATAATTCAAATTTTCCCTCTTTTTTTGGATCTAATTTTACTGGACCTTTGGTAAAGGCTTGCACCATCTGTGTAAATTTTCGTTTTATTTCATTAATAATTTAATAAATTAAATAGCAAATGAAATTGAGAGAAAAATTTTATATAAAAAAAAAAGAATTTTTACCTCGGGTACTGTAAATGCATTATAAAAATCTTGTGCTCTACATTGGAATTTTTGTTGTTGTTTAATAGTTGTGGTATTAATTTTACAGCCATTTCCTTTATTATTTGATACTATGGCCGAATTCATTTGCATCTGAAATAATTTTATTTACTATTTTTTTCTATCTAAAAATTCTAATTTATTTTTAGTTAGAAATTTAATTTTTTTTCGTATTTGGAAATGCCTTTTTTTACATTTTCTTACCTTAACATTAAAACCTGATGTAATATTGGAAATACTTTCTTTAATTTCGCTTTTCTTGGGAAGAATCATTCCTTTCGAGAATTCTGAAATGAATTTATTTTTTTTTTAATTATGAATGTTAATTGGGAATTTTTCATTTTTTGAAATTTGTTTTTTTTTCCTCTACCTTCTTTCAATGAAGAGACGTATTTACTTAGATTTTCCCTAATAATATCCTTTCCCTTTGTGTGCAAAAAATGTTTAACTTTTTCGCCCTCATCGGTACTGTCTTTCAAAGTTATTTCGATCTGTGGAAATTTTTTTTTTTTTTGGTATTAAGTCATGAAATATTTAATAATAAATTTTCTTAAATAAATATTCTTACTTACATCTACTTCGGAAATATCGTTCTCCTCGGAAAGATTAGGAATGTTAATTTTCCCCTCGATTTTTTTTTCGTTTTCAAGTAATTTCCATTTAAGAACTATATTCCATTCGTAGAAGAAAATTAATTTTCCTTTTCTATTATTTGCTATGGCTTCTCCTTCGCATTTATCCACGCTATTTATAATACACTTTACTGAAAAAAAATTTTTTTTTGAATAAAAAAAAAAATCAATCGATTGCAAATAATTCAAATTTACTCACTGTCATCTCCTTCAATTGTTAAATTTGTAAATAATTCCTTTATTTTATCTTGTGACCAAGCACAAGCATTTTTCTCCGTCCTTAAAAAAAAAAGAAAATTATTTTCATTTCAGAGAAAAGTATTTTTTCCTCTGTTAGATACTTTTATTTTTTTTGTTTTTGTTAAAAATAAAAAAAAAGCAAAACTTAATAAAATAATTAATAATTAAATATGAAAAATAGCATCAAAGAAAATCAATGATCTTACCAATGCCAGTTATTGACATTTGTAGCGTCAGGTCTTTCCTCGACAATCCAACGTGGATCACCCTCGCCCCATTTGGCCATTTTTTTCTTTCTCTTTAAATTAGAGTTTTTTTTTTTTAAAAATACGTATCACTAAAGTAATAAACTTACTCTCTATAAAAAGGGGGGAAAAAAAGAAAATAAATTACAAAGCAAAACGCACGTGATCGTATATTAATGGATGGAACATAACCTAAAATTTTAATTTTTCTTTTCGAACAAAAAAAAAAAACCAGAAATCGTTCAATTTATTTAAATTAAATTTTTGAACAATAATAGCGTAATTATAATTATTTACTTACGTTAAAATTTTACTTAAAATAACAATAAAAGATGCTTAGATTCTTAGAATCGATTCTTAGAAATTTTAAAGTAAAATTTATAATTGATAATTTAAACAAAATTCAATTAACGAAATTAATTAGAAATTATTTTGAATTACGTTACGTAATTTTATTTGACAAGTCTAATTAAACATACAGAAATTAAGTAAATATTTCTCACTTTTCTTAACCCCTTTTTAGCAAATTTTCACAAATTCTTTTTTTTTTTTTCATTAATTTTAAACTGGTAACATTGATGGATTTCGATATTGTTCCGGAAAGTTCTAGAACTGGAAGTTGATACTTTAGAGCGGGAAAAATTAAAAAAAATTTCTATTTTTTTAGAAAGACTTTTTTTCAAGAAAAAATATTCAAAATGATTTTTACAAAATAGATCTATTAGTGTTCGAATTATTTTATTAATATTATTTTTAGTAATGTTTTTCTTATAAAAGACGTATTTTTTTATTTTTAAATTTAATACAATTTTCCGGTAAATGATGGCGCTTGGGTTTTAACACGTTGGCCACCCTAAGAAAACAAAAATGTGTTTACATACATAACCTTTAAAAGTTGAACTGTTTAAAAGTTGAAATACATTTTCGATATTGGAACATTTTTTTTTGATTAAAAAGGAGAAAAGCATTTTCTTTTGTTTTTCAAATATTAAAAAACACATTTTTTACGAGGAAGTTTATTTTTGCGTGTACTGATAAAAATAGTTATTTCAACAAGTGATTTTAGAGTGCGAAATGACTGACGTTTTCATTTCTAACCTATTTTTCTAAAAGAAACAGTTCAATTTATTGTATATATTTACAGAAAAAAGTGAATTATAATTTTATAATTTAGTGCATAAATACGTTCACTATTTTGGAAAATAAAGGTAAGTTTTTTTTGTTTTTATTCAATATTGTTTTTGTACATAAATATGTCAGTCCCAAGAAATAAAATTTACTTTCTTTTTGGTATTTTAATGATGAAATAAAATTTAATAACAAATAATTAGAGCTAATAAGTGTAAAATAATTTTTAAAAAAATATTTATATTTATTAAAATATTTTTCTAATTGAATAATATTTGTTTGAATTAGAAATTTTCTTCTGGACAAATTTTAAGACGAAAAATAAATTAACTGCAATGATTTTAAATAAATTTTGTTAAATTTAATGATGAAATTGTTTTTTTGTCAAAGAAATTTATTAAAACTGGAAGTAAAAAGTTGATCGAATATTAAAAAAGACAATTTTATCGGGCGCCGTGGCTTAGTTGGTTAAAGCGCCTGTCTAGTAAACAGGAGATCGAGGGTTCGAATCCCTCCGGGGCCTTTGAAGTAATTTTCATTACTTCTCTATTTTTTATTTTTTTTTTATAAAATTTTAATTATTCTCTAATTTTTTAGTATTAATTTTTAACATAATAACAAAATGATGTTGTTTTTAAAAATTTCATTTCTACTAATAAAGTATTATTTTATGATAATGAATATTTTATTCAATTTATTTAATTATGAATTTATTTTTATTTTGCAAGTTTTTTTTTTCATTTTTAATTAAATTAAATTAAAAATTACAGATGAATATTCCGCCAATTCAGCAAGTCGGTGGAATGGGTATGGGACAAATGGCACCATCTGGAAATCCTCAATTAGCTCAACCACAGCAACAGGCACAACAACAGGGACAACAACAATCGCAAGAAAAATTGGATAATATTTCAAAAGTTAAATCACTCGTTGGTCCATTGAGAGAGGCTTTATCGTTGACATTAAAAACTGCAACTCAAACATTACAACAAAATAGTCTCGTTGATGTTGGATCAACAAAAGGAATTGATCCACCTGATCATCGTTTTAATAAAAATATGGAGGATTTTTATTCAATTTGCGATCAAATTGAATTACATTTAAAAACATCAATTGAATGTATGTCACAACATTCGAGTTCAATTCGTTATTTGCCAATTCCAGTAATGCCAACGAGAACAGAAGCTGTTACACCACAGGAAGGTACTGCATTAACATATCCACAATTTTTAATGACAGTGCAAAATCAAGTGCAATTTAGTCGCGATGTTCATAATACAATGATGAAAGTTGGTAATGCTCTTTCAAACACTGATACGTAGATATTAATTTTTAATTTAATTTAAAAAAAAAACTTGAAAATTAAAATTCTAAATGTAATTTATAAGTACTTAATTTATATGCTTTTTTTTGGAGAAATAAAATATAATCAATATCTTTATACAATTTTATTTCAAAACAAGTTATAGAAATTACTTACATTTCGATATTTTTTTTTTTACAAGAAAATGCTTTTCTTTAATACTAGTCTTTTTTTAAATTTCTACTATTGAGCGTCTTGACTTAACAATGAAAGTTGCTCGAGAAATTGTTTTGCATTAATCAATGTTGTTGAACCGTAAATAATTTTTTTATTCATACCCCCATTTGTTTTTTGTTTCACATAATCCATGAGATTTTGATATTCAATATAATTACCACCACCAACGACAAAGACAATTGCTTCATGAAATTCAGTTTTTGTCTTTGGCGTTTGATCAATTGTTTTCACTTGTTTTGGATCTAAATAACAATAATCATTTGTTTGCGTTGATTGTTTCATTTCAATTAATTCATCGACAATTCTTGTAAATGGTAAATTATGTTTTTTCACCACTAAATTTTTAACACCCTCCATAACAAATGATGAGCCTTGATTCATTAATTTTGAAAACATACTCACTGTTTTTGTACCACCACCCTCATAATTATTTTGATAACCCGATATTTTCATAAAATTCCTCCATCTACGAATATATAATAATGGATTTAAATCACAACCAGCATTTGTTAATGCCGCTTCATATTTTCCATAATCAACATCAGATATATTTGTGAGTAAATAATAAATAATAAATAATCTTAATTTATCCTCAGGTAAACCACATTCATTATCATTGATAATATCCAATATTCCCGCATCAAGTGTTTGTTTACTCATTATTTTCTCCTCAATTTCAAAATATGTATCGAGTCTTCGTAATTTTATTGCATTTAAAATACCAGTTGCTATTGATGTATGCATATCAATTAATCGTTTTAATTCCATTAATTGTGGCAATGAATTTACTGCATTTGTTAAACGTGCCGTATTATTTGTTACAAAAAGACCCTCAGCTTCTGTTTCATCATCAACGCCCATTGAACTTTTTAGATCCTTTACTTCATGTTCAAAAACACGATATTGCTCCAATTCCTCTTGTATTGCCTCCGCGACCCTTGGAAATGGTGATCCTTTATGCTGCGACCAAAAACGATCCAAATTATTTAATTCACATATTCTTGGCTTTGAACGTGCACTACCAGTTGGTGATCTTCCACTACTCTCCTCAATAACCAATCGATTTAATGACAATTCTAAAACATCATGAGCCAATGCCTGATATGTCCACGTATGATGAAATGGTGTTGCAATATCACTATTACGATCTAAAACAATTAACACTGGTCTTTGAAAACTCATTGGCTCTGTTTTAAAACCCTCACCTTGAAATAAACTATTTCTTGAATTCCAAACATTTTCACGTAATTTTTTATCAAGTTTCTTTGACACCATTTCAGCTGCATTACCCTTTGGACAACGTATTATTGGAACAGTTCCTAATGTTACAAATACTGAAAATAAACCATCAACAATTGTATCAATGATAAATTCCATTTCAGTATCTTTTATTTCACCACGATTTAATGCATGATAAGAAATATCGTCACTATTTTGATGTCTTAATATAAAAAAATCCTCTTCAATTGTTATAAAATTTAAATATTGATCAAATACTTTTTGTATATTTGCAACAGCACCACATTGAACAGCTGATAATGCTAAATCTTCCATTTTTTGCCTTGTTATTGGCGATATAAAATTTAAATGATAATTATCATATAAATTATTTTGTAAATCCTGACCAATACGACATAAATTTTCATCAGACGGTGAACAAAAATAAATTGCCGGTACTTCTGGTATTGATTCACGATCCGAATGTAATTGCATATGTAATGTTATACCAAGTTCACGTAATTCTTTAACTGATAATAAAGGTGAAATAATATCCTGTCCTATACGATCGTAGATTAAAACTTTCCAAATTGGCACATCATTTTTACTATCCTGTCCATTTAAATTCAACATTTGCTTCAATGCATTTATCTGTTTTTCTCGTATTGTTGACATTTTTTTAAATTAATTTTTCACTTCAAAAATATTATTCTAGTACTTTTCTTTTAAGTTTTAATAACAAAAAATATGACAGATTGAGGTTAAATGTGTTTGACATTTCCACGTCTTCAAATGAATTTAAAGCAAGTTTCACAATTCGTAACGATTGGTTTTCATGAAACTTTTTTTTCTCCAATTTGGACAAATTGACATTTGGCGCTAATTTTCAAATCCAAAGGTTTTGTTTATCTGTGAAATTGATATTAATGCAAAATTTCTTAATTTTAATTTCAAAAATTCGAATTATAATCGACCTGTTCGAAATCAAAATTAAATTTGTAAAAAGAGGGTTTAATTTCGATATTCCCACCTGATATGTCAGGTGACCATTTCCAGTTTATGTCCCTTAACGCGCAGGACCACCTCTGTTTACCATATTTGGTAAACAGAGGTATATGGCAGCCCTCTCTCCACTTAATGTAAACCTACGCGTCTTTATTTACATCGCGATTTAAAGTAATTAATAACAAATTGAATGAAATTTTTTACCAATTTCGAAAAGATTGTACAATATTTTAATTATCCATTCAAATGAAATTGGTAATTAGTGTAATAAAATTACTAATTTGGAAATGATGGACTGTATTTTTCGAGCGTAGGCCAATTGGTGGGAGGAAAAGTTGTAATACGGTGAGAGCGAGCACGTAGGTCAAGTTACTCAGTTCACTCAGTTGACGGGGAGCGCTCTCGCGCGCTATTATTGTCCCGTTTACTCTATATATTGATGATCGATCACGTGGTGAATTAAATACCTGTGGTTATCAATTTTTAATTTTTTTTTTCTTCATGTAAAAAAAAAAAACCCCCGGAGAATTTTGGGAATTATAAATGTGCGCGCGTCCGTAATGGACAACCCCAGCGGCGGAAGTTACAGTATGGGCATGATGGATACGGAGATGTACGGACGACCGTCAACTTCACAGCTCGCAACATCACAAATGATGTCTGACGCCGCGACGCCCGGCGTTGTTCAACGTGGTGTTAAAAGATGTTACGATGACGGTAATGTGCGACATTCACAAATGATGCAGGTGCCTGAGAATTTAGATGAAACATTTACAAATTTGGGACAACCAAAAAAATCGCCACCATCGAATGGAAAAAAAACGAAAGGAAGGGTTAAAATCAAGATGGAATATATTGACAACAAATTAAGAAGGTACACCACCTTCTCGAAGAGGAAAACTGGCATTATGAAGAAGGTTTGTATATTATTTTTTTGCAAAACAAGGAAACATAACCTCGAAATTGTGTTTTCATTTTCTGTGAAAACATTTACCGGTTTCTTTTTTCTTTGAGCACCTGTGTGATTCAGAAATCACCCTGGGGGAGGACAACGTGGGTGGTGAAAGTGAAACAGTGAAATTGCGGTGCGTTCGTTCACTTTTTGAGGAGCGCCAAGTTCCACACATATATATATAAGTCACATTAAACTGCATGTTGAAATCTGATTTGTGTATGTGACACACACTGGTGAATGTGAGTTTCGAATTTTTTTTTGAGGTTGGGCTTTTATGCGTGGGAGTAGGTTCCGTGATTTGACCTTCGTGAAACATAACCTAACTTTCTCGTCACATCTGTCATTTTTCTTGGTTTTGACATCTCTTTGGAAAAAAATAGTTATTTTGATTACTAAATCTTGTTTTAAATTCTGTTTTTGAAAAATTGAGTCTTTTTTTGGGAAAAATTAAGGGCAAAATTAAGTTTATGTAAGTAAAAAAGAAAAGACATGTCAACAAATTGAACGTTTGCCAACTTAAACCATCCAACAATGTTTCCAAGGAAATGTGAAATTCTAACCACAGTTTAAATACCCAATTACTGTGAATTTGGCGACTATTAAACGTTTCGAAAATTTATGTCTATTTCTCGACATTGTAAAGCAGCTTAATTTGTATTTATCATCCCCCCCCCCTCCGTCCCTTCACTTGAAAATTAAATCACTAGGAGATTTTTTTTCTTTAAAAAATCAAGGAGTTTGAAATTTTTTTTTTTGCTTTTCAATTTGCCGGCTCCTGGAATCAACTTGTCAGATAAATTTAAAGGCGGGTCGCTGGCCCTAAAAATAAAATCTACAGCTGTCTCATAGTCTCTAATAGTGTGTTTTAAACGATGTTCGCATCCACTCACTGTGATTTTCATTACTGAAAAATCGTTGAGTGAAGAATTGACAAAAAAATTCATCCAGCAGCCCAAAACTGGTTTTTATATTCCCTCTTTGCATATCTTTGAACATGATCTAACCTAAATCTCAACTGAGAAGAAGTTGAATTGCGATTCTACTTTATTTTTTTTTTCTTTCATAATTAAAGGGCAATATGGGGAAAAAATTATTTTTAGCTTTCACTTCACTTATAATCAAATTTATATCCAAAAAAAAATTTTTTTTTTACACCCACTTTCATTCCTTTTAATGGGATCGTAAAGAATTAAATTTACAAAAAGGAATTTTTTTTTTTTTTTTTAATTATTTTTCTTAATTTTTTATGTTTGCGGAAAAATTTCGAAATGAATTTGAAATAATTTTTGGAAAAAAAAAAATTCATGGAGGAAAAAAAAATATTTAAGAGCAATTAAATTTTTGTAAAATTGCATTTACGCATGTGAGATTATTATGGTTTATTGCCTCATTATTTATGCATGTGTGTCCCGCATTCTTGGTTAACTATTATATTCTGCATCTAATTGCGAGTAATGAAAAAAAAAAAATTAAGCACATGTAAAGTTGTTGTTGGCAAATAGAGCTTGTTTTTTAATTTAATAAGAATTAGATTACGATTTTTGTTAATTTTTTTTAGGGGGGGGGGGAGGAACTAAAAACAAAAAAAAAAGAAAAGAAATTATTTTGAAATAAGAATAATTAAAATTGATAAACATTGACGAATATTATTTTTTTTTATCGGGATTTACTATTTGCATTTTAATCGACAATTTATGTCAAACGAAATAGTTATTATAAACTTTTGTAAATATAAATATTTTATTTGGGACAAAAATAGAATTTCATTGATCTCTTAATTTTAATGAAAAAGAGAGAAAAAAAAATATTTTATTTGTGAGATCTCTTTCTAAAATTTAAATTCAACAAGATGAAACTTGCTTTATTGGAAAATTTTCCATAGACACGACTTTTTTTTTTTTATATATCGTTTTCTATCTGCCCACCTATAGAATTAAATTAGATATTATGCAATGTCACTACTTCCCTCAACTGTCCATGAATGATGTTTTTAAAAAATTATGATTCACGATGACGAAAGTCTTTAATACCCCCCACACAAATATATAAAATTTAATAAATATATTTTTATTTATTTATCTTTTTAGAAAAAAAAAAATTTACATTACAATCTCATTTTTTTATTTCGTAAATTTTTTTTGGGAGAGGACAATCTTTATCTTTTAAAGAAAAATTTTTTTTTTAATTTTTAAAGTAATTGTATTTGTTAATATAAAAAATGTCGAAGGAATAATTTACAATTTTAAAATCATTTATCTCTTGATTGAACTCATCACGCGAATAAAACATTAATAATCGATAAATGGATTGGGAATTTATTTTTTTTTAAATATAATATAGCGAAAGTCGAATTTAATGGGAAATTATATTTTAATGGAACTATAACTATAAATAAAAATAAATATAAATATAGACTATATACAATTTATACGATTCTATAACACGTCTTATTGATTGGCGGAAATATATTTAAAAAAGAAAAAAAAAAAAAACAAGAAATTGCCATTTATATCTCATTCCTTCGAAAGCCATAAAATCGACTAATAAACCAGCGTTTAATCAAGAGATTGACGAGATAAGTAAAATATTAGTTTGTTACTGCGGTCGTGTTACATTAATTACCGTCTGATCTTTGTGAAACTATTTATTTAGTTCGACTTGACAATATTATAAAGAATACGAAAGAAAAAATTTTTTTTTTTGATTGCTGATTTTTTTTTTTTGAATTTTGGAAATTTGTACATAAGTTACCAAATTAATTGATTAATTACCAAATTAATCCTTAAATTAGGTAATTTATTAATGACCGAATTATTCCGTAAATAAATTCACTAATTACAAAATTAATTTATTAAATACCAAATTAATTCGTAAATTAATTTATTAATTACTAAATTAATCCGGAAATTAATTTACTACTTACCAAATTAATCCGGAAATTAATTTACTATTTACGAAATTAATCTGGAAATTAATTTTCTATTTACCAAATTAATAGGTAAATTAATTGATTAATTACCAAATTAATCCGTAAATTAGGTAATTTATTAATGACCGAATTATTCCGTAAATAAATTCACTAATTACAAAATTAATTTATTAAATACCAAATTAATTCGTAAATTAATTAATTAATTATTAAATTAATCCGGAAATTAATTTACTAATTACCAAATTAATCCAAAAATTAATTTACTATTTATCAAATTAATCCGGAAATTAATTTACTAATTACCAAATTAATTTATTAGTTATCAAATTAGTCCGTAAATTAATTTATTAATGACCAAATTATTCCTTAAATAAATTTACTAATTACCAAATTAATAGGTAAATTAATTTACGAATTTCCAAATTAATAGGTAAATTAATTTATTAATTATCAAATTAATCTGTAAATTAATTAATTAATGACCAAATTATTCTTTAAATAAATTTACTAATTACCAAATTAATTTATTAAATACCAAATTAATCACTAAATTAACTTATTAATTACCAAATTAGTAAATAAATTTATTCATTAGTGAATTAATAATTTAATTAATTTGCAAATAAGCAAATTGATTAATTAATTTTTCGGTAAATTAATTTGTTTTAGTAAATTAATTTATTATTAATTAATGAATAAGTAAATTTTGTTAATTTTTCAAATAGTAAATTAGCAACAAATTTTGTAATATCCGCGAATTGTAGAGAAAAAATTAGATAGATTCAGAAAATTTTTTTTATTCTAAATAATCTAGGATTTGTATTTTTTTTTTTTTTTTTTTTTTTTTTGAATCTTGAAAATTGAAATTATTTTTTTTTTTTTATTTGTTTATTTTTGTTGACTTTGAATAATTTTATCAGTTGTGTTAACTCATTTTTTTTATCATTTAAAAAGATCGCAAGTCTAGTTTATTTGTATTACTTAATTCGAAAGTAGTTTGTTTAGTTATAATTAAAAAGAAAAAAAATATTTGCAACAGGCTTATAGATTACAAATTTACATTTAAAGAAAAAGAAAATTCGATAATTTTCTTATTAATTATTTTCTAGTTTTTATGTTAATTAAAATGTTTACAACTTCTTGTCAATTATTGTTTATTTGATGGGATTTTATTTCCAATTTCAATAATTTTTCTTATTTTTTTCCATATATTTGAAATGGAAAAATAATTTCCAAAAGTAAATACATTTTTATTTTGGAGAAAATTTAGAAATTTTTTTTTTGAGATGATTTAATTATTTTTTTACACTTTAGTTAAATTATACATTTTTTAAAAAGATTGCTTTTCTTATTTAAAATTTATGTTTTAATTTTGAAATAAGTTTTTGTTACTTTATTAAAATGTATTTAAAAATCGTGTGGGATGTTTATCGGTGTGATTAATCAGTATTTTCTCAAGTTGTATATAAATACTAATTATAAATTTTATCAGATTGTTGAAGTGATTAAGATTTTAGTGACTTTAATGCTTGGCAGTTGATGAACACTGATAAAAGCCATACAATTCTACTTATAGTGCTTAGGAGAAAGATAATTACAATAATTGCAATGTAAACGCGACGCGAGCGCTTATTATTTTTCTTGTCAATCGCTTTTAAACATTCTCGTTTATTGTCCATTAAACATTTATTTTTTTCCCCCGTTTTTAATATCAAAATTAAGTCAGATCCTTTATAATATAGATTTTACAATTTCTTTCTCAAAAGAAAATTTTTCTTTTTTTATTTCTTTTAATAAAAAAAAAAAAAAACAAAATGTAATTAATTTTTTCCTACAGTTAAAAATTGTTTTCAATAAATAAAATGAGAATAAAAAAAGAGAAAAATTCTAGAAATGAATTTTTAAAATAAAAATTTTTTTGAAATATTTAATATAGCTAAATGGAGAAATAAATATAAAATGTACCATTTAGGAGAGATATTTTTAACTTAGAAGTGAGACAGCTGTTCAGTAACAAAATCCATCGGTGGATGGTTTCTCTAATACCAACGGACGTTGTCTAAATTAGGCACCCCTTGTTTACAATTCAGTATTTTAGACCCCACGAAAGCTCACTAATGAATCAGCTGATATTCGCTTCAGACTTGTGACATCCACACGTGATTTTTCTACAAACTAAAAATAATTAAATTACATTTAGAAATTTCAATTTTTTGGTTCACATTATTATTCAACCAAAAAAAAAATAAAATTAATTTTCTAATGTAGTAATTGTAAATTTTTTTTCAAACCATAAAATAGTTTTACATTTTGAATCAAAAGACTTGAAATTTCGATAAAAATTGATTTTTATTATTTTTAAATTTGTGTTTTGAATAAAATATTAATTATTATTATTAATTTCTGAAACGGATCGAAATTTCCAAAAAGTATAATAAATTTGTCAGAATTTTTTACCCAACTTTTTATTCAAAAGAATATTCTAATTTAATCGAATTTTAATTTTTTTATAATTTTCATACAAACAGAATATTTTAAGTGATACGAATTTATAAATGTAAAAATTTCTAATTCGACGAATCTTCGAAATTATCAAGAAAATTGTAATTAGTTAATTTTTAAAACAATGCCGAAATTTTTCTATCGACTATTTCTTTGGCTATTTTGCAATTTCGGATAAATGAAAATTCGGGGGTTTTCAATTAAATCAATTAAAAATTTGGAAATAATTACGATTTGGTGAATTGAAAAATTCCTGTATTTAAAAATTCGATCCCCTTAAAATTCTATTAAATGAGAATTCTGCTAAATTCAAATTCGATTTTAATTAGAATTCATTTAAATAAAATGTTTTTTTAAAGAGAAATTCTGTCAAATGAAAATTTTACCAAATAAAAATTTACTATCTAAAAATTCTGTGAAATAAAAATTTGTCTAAAAAAAAAATTCTGTCATAATTCGAAAAATAAAAATTTGGAGACGCATTATTATCGCATAAAAATCAGTAATTAGAATTTTCATTTTAGAGAATTTATTATTTTTAAATAATTAATTTTTTATACGAATTTTTAATTAACATTTTTCGTTACCGAAGTTTTATTTGGCAGAATTTTTATTTTCTAGTCGTACGAATTTTTATTTAACATTTTTAGTTATCGAATTTTTGTTTGGCAGAATTTTTATTTTCTAGTCGTACGAATTTTTATTTAACATTTTTAGTTATCGAATTTTTGTTTGGCAGAATTTTTATTTAACATTTTTAGTTACCGAATTTTTGTTTGGCAGAATTTTTATTTTATATTCAATTTACATGATACTTTTTATTGAAAGAAAATTTTAATTTAATCGTATTTTCAATTTAACAGAATTCTCATTTAATCAAATCACTTAAAATTCTTTTAAATAAAAAGTCATGTAAAAAAAAATGACTATCAAAATTCTGACTTCGAAAATAATTACAATTAAAAAAAAATTGTTTAAAATTATGATTTTTTTTATTATTGTTTTGTGTGAGAAATAATAATTGATGAAAAATAATAATTACAGGCGTACGAGCTTTCAACATTGACTGGAACCCAGGTGATGCTATTGGTTGCAAGTGAAACGGGCCATGTTTATACATTTGCAACGAGAAAATTACAACCAATGATAACAAGCGAAGCGGGAAAGGCATTGATACAAACGTGTTTAAATAGTCCAGATCCACCGCCATCGGGTTCATCGGGCGATCAACGAATGTCAGCAACTGGATTTGAAGAAACAGAATTGACGTACAACATCGCCGACGAGGAGCAGAAAGTAAGACAACTGGTGTATGGCTCACCACATGGGGGCGGTTTACACGCCGGTTATGCGACGGCCGGCGGACCGCCAGGTTCGCAGCACGCGCCACCCCCGCACGCGCAACATGCCCAGCACGCGCATCTCATTGCGCATGCGCATGCTGGTTCACCAAGCTCGCACTTGGTACCATGCTCGAGTCCTGGTCCCATGCTAGCCGGTGGACCCTATCAACAATCATGTCCCTCTCCCCTGCCACCGCCACACGCGAGTTACCATCCGCATATGTCGCATTCACACCCCCAGCGGTAGTAAAGGCTTCCTTTTTCTTTCCTTTTTCTTTTTTTTTTTTTTTTTTTATTCAATCACCTTCTCTGTTCAATTTGCTCTCAATTAAATGCTTCTTCTTTTTCTTCTTTTTGTTTCTCGATTTTATTTTGTTTCAGTGAGAAAAAGAAGTTTCTCCATTCGTGTAATTTTAATTCAAATAATCGCCTATTGTTAAATGGAAATATTTATTATGATCAAAAAAGAAATTTAATTGGTAATTTTAGTGAAAATTCTACCGATTTGTAAATTTAATGATAATTTATAGAAAATTTATGCTTAATTGATTTTTTTGGAAATAGAATTTTTAGTTAAAATTCAATATTCAGTTAGATTAGTTTACAATTAAATGAATTTTCATTATAGATGGAAATTTTTATTTGAATCAAATTTTTATTTAATTGAATTCTCCTTTAGTAGAATTTTTAATTACCACAGATTTTAGTTTCTAAATTACCGAATTTTTATTTAATTGTATTTTCATTTCAACGAATTTTCGTTTAATGTAATTTATATTTAATTTCTATGAAATAGAATTTTTTTCATATAAGATTAGTTTATAATTAGATGAATGTTAATTTAACAAAATTTTTATTTAATCGAATTTTTATTTAATCCAATTTTCATTTAACAGAATTGTCATTTAATATGATTTTTAATTGCTTCAAATTTTAGTTTCTTTATAAAAACTTTGAATTTATCACTCGGTAATTTAATATTAAACTGTCGAATTTTAATGAATTTCCATTTAATAGAACTTTCATTAAACGGAAAATTTTATTTCAATGAATTTTCTTTTATTAAAATTTTAATTTAGTCGAATTTTTAATTACCACAGATTTTAGTTTAGCTAGATTATCGAATTTTCATTTAACAGTTAACTCATTTTTTAATGAAAAATTTTAATTAATCGAAATTTCTATTTATTCAAATATGTATTTTACAGAGAATTTTTATTTAATATAATTTATATTTAACAATAATTTCTATTAAATAGAATTTTTTCAATTAGATTAATTTATAATTAAATGAATTTTCATTTAACAAAATTTTTATTTCATCAATTTTTTATTAATTGGAACATTTTTATTTGAATTAATTTTAATTTAACAGAATTCTCATTTAGTAGAATTTTTATTTAATCAAATTTTCATTTAATTGAATGAATTTTTAATGAAAATTTTATTATATAAAATTCTATTTATTCAAATATGTATTTAACAAAATTTTTTATTAATTGCATTCTTATTTAACACAGATTTCTATGTAATAGAATTATTTTAAAAATGAAATTTCTATTTAATAGAATTCTTCTAAAATAGAATTTCTAAAATAGAATTTTTATCAAATAGAAATTCTATAGTCAATTAAATTTTTATTCAATAGAATTCCCATTTAATTGAATTCTTATTGATCCAAATTTTTATTTACCAAAATTTACATTTAAAAAGAAATTCTATTAAATAGAAATTTTCTAAAATAGAATTTCTACTCATTACTAATTTTTTATTTAGCATTATGTAATTTATACATAATTCAAATTTTATTTAAAAGAATTTTCATTAAACCAATTTTAATAAATTACGAATAAATAAAAATTCATTTAAATAAAAATTCTGCTAAATAATAATTCTATTATATTTTGAATTTGATTAAAGAAAAAAATTTTTTAGATAGATTTTCCGTAATATAGAAAGAAATAAAAATGCAATTAACAATCAATTTTAAATTAACGAATTTTTTTTACGTTTTTATTTGTTTTGAATAGAAAAATTATTGGTTAAATATAATTAATTTTTCTAATAATAGTCAACGATTATTTGAAATAAAAAACAAATTTAAATATAGTAAATTTTTTTTGTTACAGAAAAATAAATTTTAATTTCTTTTTTTTTTTTTTAATTAAATATTGAGCTAAGTAAAATCAAAATAGAATTTACAATCACTAAATGTTAGTTATACTATCACTAAAAAGTTGTAATGTAAATAAATCTCGTTAAATTGATATTAAATAAGAAAAAGAGGGGGAAAAAAAATCCAAACGGTGAATCTCTCTTTTTTTCTCTCAAATAAAAAATAAGAATTGATTGGAAACGATCGATTGAGAGGATTATTATTATTACAATAAAAGAGGAAATTAGTAATTGAGAGAGCTAGTCGAAGCAATTTCTTGAGAGATCTTGAACGAAGGACTTGAACTTATTTCTCCCAGTGGAAGCTTTGCGCGCGGACTTTTCGTCCTCCTGCGGGTTATACACAGACACACATACTCTCTCTCTCTCTCTCTCTCTTGTCGTTAGTATTTCTGGGCAATTAAGGGGAGTCCGATGACCAAGCCTTAATTGGCTCTCCGCCTTTCGTACCGCTTTGACAAACTCGCAATGAGTCGATATATATATACCCGGTTTACTCTCGTCGGCGTGCACGGGCTAATTATTTATTTAACCAATATATAAGAACGTCACGTGGTGCGTTTTATATACAACTCCGAGAGAATCAGGCGCGTAGAATCTTCCTTCCACTTTGTTTAAGTGGATCGCACCGTGATTCGATTTTTATTTTATATAGAGAAAGGAAAAATGAAAGCAGTTTTCCCTTTTTTTTTTTTTTAATTTCCTTATTTGTTGTCGAAAGAATTTTATTCTATCATTTATTTTATTTATTTTTTTGTTTAAAACATATTTCAAAAAAGGGTTCTCTCTATTGTTTCCTCTCTCAAATTTTTTTTGAAAAGTCACGGAATATTTATTCTTTTGTTAATTTATTTATAGAAATAGAAAATTGTTGCTTTTTTAAATTTTTACGATGCTGAAGTAAAGGTAAACGATTTTAAAATATTTTTTTTAAATTCTACTAATATTCGTCACAAAAATATTTTCTACAATGTTTATTAATCAAAAATTACTTTTTTAGATAAATTCTATGAATTATTGTCTGAAAAATATTTCTCTATGTTTATTAATCGAAAATTATTATTTTTTTAAAAATAAATTCTATAATTTTTCGTTAAAAAAAAATAATTTGTTTTCTAATCGTTGATTATAAATTTTGTAGAAACTTCAGTATCGTAAATTTGTTTCGGTTCTTAAATTTAAGAGGCGCATGAATATTTTTTTTTCCTCTAAATATTTAGTGCGAATTTTCAGTGTTTTGAAATTAAAATCGAATTTTTATTTAACCAAAAATTAAATTTTATATGGAATAATTAAACGAATTTTTTGTAACGAACACTTTTTTAATTAGTCGAATTTTTATTTAATAGCTTTTTGAATAATTGGCAGAATTTTTCTTGAAATCGAATTTTTTACTTTGGCAAACATTAATTTTTTTTTAGAATTAATTAATTGATTTAACAGAATTTTTTCTAATAAAAAATTGTGTTAATTGAAAATTGAATTAATTAAAAATTCCTGTAAGTACAAATTTCGTAAACTTTAAAACGCTGCCAAAAAGATTTGAATAATTTATAAATTATAACAAACGAAAATAGTGATAAATAAATAAATGAAAACTCGATTAAATTAAAATTCGGTTAATTATAAAAATTCGATTAAATGGAAATGCGACTAAATAAAAATTCGATTAATTATGGAAATTCCACTAAATAAAAATTCGATTTATTAAAAAATACTACGAGAAAATTCATTTTTAAATACTAATTCTATGCGTTATGAATTTTTTTTAAAGACTAATTTAAAAAAAAATTTCTAACATTAATTTTAATAAAAAATTACCTTTAAATAGAAATTCACTCATTTTAAATTTGTCAATTGAATGGAAATTAAGTAATGAATTTCAGAAAATATTCATGCGTCCTCTATTTGATTTTCAATATAAATTAAATTTTTTCGATTGAAAATTAAAATTGAAACTTGATAAAAAATGCGAAGCAACTATTTTCCCCTTTTTTTAAAGCTCACATGAGACTTAGTCCAAAGAGCTGTTTTTATCCACTTTTTTTTTTCTTTTTTTTTTCGACAAATTTCTAACAAAAATTAAATAACGCGAATGAATGTTTTTTTTTTAATTGTGCGATTTTAATAGTTTTTAGTAACTCATGTGATGATTTACTTGTACAGTTGAGTATTTTGTTTTTATTATTATTTTTTTTTGTAATTATTTTTATTACTTAATTTAATTCGTATTTATTAAAAAAAAAAATCGTTATTTTTCGTGCGTACTGGTCATGACACGATCAATTCATTTTTTTTTTTTTTTTTTTTTTTTTAATCGTTGATGTATACAAAAGGCCAATTAGGAGGCATAATATAAAAATTATTATTATTGTGTATAAAGTTACGCGTGTAGTTAGAGATTTTTTTTCTTCTCAAAAACAATTTAGATAATAATTAAATCCCCGTTTTTTAATTTTTCTCAATGAATTTTTTTTCTCCGGGGAAAAAAAATTATATTTTGAAAAAATTTTGTAGAAAATATATTTTCTATAATTTATTTGCCTCGAATAAATATATTTTTTAATCAAAATAAATTAGATTTTTATTTTTTTATTTGAGGTGAATAAATATATTTTTTTTAATTTTTACAAAAATTACATTTTTTTCCGGATTAGTGGCGGAGGGCCGAAAAAAAGAAATAAATCCCCCACCCCCCCCCCCCTACTTTAAAAAAAAAAAAATGGTGCGAGTTTAGGTCCATGGTGCACGCTTGGCATTGTTACATGTAGAGTTGTA